TAATTATCACTTTTTACATAAAAAATCCATTTCAGTAAAGATAATGTCTATAAAAATATCGACTTAAATTTACTAATTTACTCCTGTTTTTATTTTTTCTAATATGTTATTTTTGAAAGTAGTATACATTGTAAGTCCATTTGGAATTAAAAAAAATCGTTTATTTTTTCAAGAATTGTAATTATTGTTTTTTTATAATAAAATTTAAAAGGTGTGTAGTAATAAAATCACTTAAATAGATTAAGAAGGCTTACAAAAATATTTTTAAATTAATTGAAATAATACAAAACCTTAAATATCTCGATACATGAAAAAATGGATGATGATGATAACAATAATGTTTTTTAACTTTACCCTATAAAATTATGTTCAATCTTGTCAAATTCGGATATTCTAACGTCTCATCTTACTACTGAGTCTTCCTCAAATATCAAAACTTTCAGTGTTATTTCAACTTAAAGAAGCGTTTTTTTTATGTGTCATATTTCTCATGGTAAAAGAAAGGGCTCGGAGGACTAATAATGTTTTTGTTTGATATAAAAAGGAAAAATCGCGAGACAAAGAGGTCATTTAAAATATTGTTCGACGAAAATGATTATTAGGGCGAGGGCCATTTTTATTACCACCCATGTGAATAGCATTATAAATAACCGCTGACATAAAGAAAGAGCGTCGAACGCCCCGCTATTAATGCATAAACAGAACTTGGCGCTTATAATATTATAATGCGCTATCAACACCCACGTTTCAATTTCCTTGAAAGTTTCAAGATCATTTAATTGCCCAGAACTCGATTGTTTCTTAGTTTAAGCCGTTTGAGCGGTTAACTACTACTTAAATTGAGGAGCAGTCAAAGGAGGAATATATTAGATAGCTTAGAAGGAATAATAAATATAATTAAAATAATAATATTCATTCTACATGTCTGTGTAACCCAAATAATGCTTTTTCTGCATTTAACTAGAAAAATTGAGAAGCTGTCACTGAAAGAAAGTAAATAAGATGGATCTTCCAACTAACTATTTCTCCCCAGTTATAGCAAATATTAATTAACAAAATTTATGTTTTTGTTTCGACTTAAAACATGAATTAATGATTTTCATTTTCTACATGTGAGCGAAATTTTTTTTGCTGCATTTTACTGGAAAAATTGAGAAGCTGTCACTGGAAGAACGAAAAAAAGATTGATCTTCCAACTAACTATTTTTCCCCAGTTATAGAGGATATTAATTAACGAAATTTATTTTTCTGTTTTGAGCTAAAACATGAAATACTAATTTTCTTTCACAACAGTGCGAGCGATATTTTTTGCTGCATTTTACTGGAAAAATTGAGAAGCTGTCACTGGAAGAACGAAAAAAAGATGGATCTTCCAACTAACTATTTTTCCCCAGTTATAGAGAATATTAATTAACGAAATTTATTTTTAAAACATGAAATACTGATTTTCTTTCACTACAGTGCGAGCGATATTTCTTGCTGCATTTTACTGGAAAAATTGAGAAGCTGTCACTGATGGAAGAACGAAAAAAAGATGGATCTTCCAACTAACTATTTTTCCCCAGTTATAGAGAATATTAATTAACGAAATTTATTTTTCTGTTTTGAGCTAAAACATGAAATACTGATTTTCTTTCACTACAGTGCGAGCGATATTTTTTAAGCGTACTGGAAAAAATTGAGAAGCAGTCACTGATGGAAGAACGAAAAAAAGATGGATCTTCCAACTAACTATTATTTTTCCCCAGTTATAGAGAATATTAATTAACGAAATTTATTTTTCTGTTTTGAGCTAAAAACATGAAATACTGGATTTTCTTTCTCACTACAGTGATATTTTTGCTGCATTTACTTGGAAAAATTGAGAAGCTGTCACTGATGGAAGAACGAAAAAGATGGATCTTCCAACTAACTATTTTCACCAGTTATAGTAAATATTAATTAACAAAATTTATTTCTTGTTTTGTTTCAAAACATGGAAATACTGATTTTCTTTCTCACTACAGTGCGAGCGATATTTTTGCTGCATTTTTAATGGGAAAAATTGAATAGCTGTCACTGGAAGAACGAAAAAAGATGGACCCTTCCAACTAACTATTTTTCCCCAGTTATAGGAATATTAACGAAATTTATTTTTCTGTTTTGAGCTAAAACATGAAATACTGATTTTCTTTCACTACAGTGCGAGATATTTTTGCTGCATTTTACTGGAAAATTGGGAAGCTGCTCGGAAGAACGAAAAAAAGATGGATCTTCCAACTAACTATTTTTCCCCAGTTATAGGGAATATTAATTAACGAAATTTATTTTTCTGTTTTGAGCTAAAACATGAAATACTGATTTTCTTTCACTACAGTGCCAGCGATATTTTTTGCTGCATTTTACTGGAAAAATTGAGAAGCTGTCACTGATGGAAGAACGAAAAAAAGATGGATCTTCCAACTAACTATTTTTCCCCAGTTATAGCAAATATTAATTAACATAATTTATTTTTCTGTTTTGAGTTAAAACATGAAATACTGATTTTCTTTCACTACAGTGCCAGCGATATTTTTTGCTGCATTTTACTGGAAAAATTGGGAAGCTGTCACTGGAAGAACGGAAAAAAGATGGATCTTCCAACTAACTATTTTTCCCCAGTTATAGGGAATATTAATTAACGAAATTTATTTTTCTGTTTTGAGCTAAAACATGAAATACTGATTTTCCTTCACTACAGTGCGAGCAATATTTTTTGCTGCATTTTACTGGAAAAATTGAGAAGCTGTCACTGGAAGAACAAAAAAAGATGGATCTTCCAAATAACTATTTTTGCCCAGTTATAGGAAATATTAATTAACGAAATTTATTTTTCCGTTTTGAGCTAAAACATGAAATACTGATTTTCTTTCACTACAGTGCGAGCGATATTTTTTTGCTGCATTTTACTGGAAAAATTGAGAAGCTGTCACTGGAAGAACGGAAAAAAGATGGATCTTCCAACTAACTAGTATTCCCCATTTGAAGCGAATATTAATTAACAAAAATTTTTCTCGACACATCGCGGAGTTGATTTATCGGGACCGGGACGTTTGTTATTTTTTGCGCCAAATATCAGGTTCCATCCAGAAAACATAACCAAGTGCTGCTGCCAGTGCAGAAAATGGAGAGACCGGCTGCAGTGGAATGGACGTCCGTACGTCAACCAATAATTCGTTCATGTTAAACCAGACGACAGGAGTTTGATGTGATCGCTCTCGAATAGTTCGATGGCGTAACCATAGAGAAAGGGAGATAGAGAGATTAGCGCGATTTAAATAGGTTTATAACACTGTTTTGCACAAAGGGAAGTGAAATTCAAAACTCTAAGCCCTTTAGAAATTTTATTAAACGAAATTTAATGCCGGCCAGAAGAGCGTGTGGCGTTGCCATCGCGATGTAACAATTAATTGTTATTAACTGCCTATGAATGATGTAGAAATGTAGTATTATTGACCGTATATGTTACTACACTCACTGGCACGAATAACGGGCACCTTGAAATTTTCATGTATTTTAAAGTTTATTTTATTCTAGTGGGCCGATTTTGATGATTTTTTATAAGCAATATGTAGCGACTTTTTATTATCTCCTAATTATATGAGACAGATGGGAATTTTTATTTTTAATTTAGACAAATACTAAAAAATCAAAAATTTAGCTACAAATTGCTAAAAAGATCATCAAAATCGGTTCACTAGAACACAAATAAAACTTTAAAATATGAACTTCAATAATATTTAACTTGGACCAGTAAAAAAGTAGAGAAGACCGCTTAAAAGTTTACAAAAATACGGCTTTTTCTGGATAGGATAATTAGGATTATTGCGAATATTAGATATTTTTGGTATAATTTTAAAAATAACCCGGAAATACATTGTATAAGCTAATGTAAAGTTAAGTTTTGGAGTGCTAAATCAAGAGATTTGTGAGTAATGATTTTCTGTTCGGTGCTTCTGTCTGGATCGGGATAAAATAAACTTTTTCCTTATATAAATATGCTAGAAAATTGAATAATAATGCAGGAATTTACATGTAATATTAAATGGAAACGGGGCTCATTAAAATTATAAAACAAAATTTATATAATAAGGACGTGATTAAACGTTAAATTTATAACGATATATGGAGAGTTTAGTTATTTTGTTCCAAACTAGAAAATACTTGACCTGATAACCTATCTATATACTCCCAAACTTAATGAAAACTAAACAATTTTATGTTTTCATAGTAAATTATATCTAAGCCCATTTTCATTTAATTTCACCTACATATACATGTAAACCAGTAAAAGGGATAATATGTTTTCTAATATTTTTTTAAATCATCCCAACAAGCTATCAAAACAGATTTTTCTGTTATATGGTCGGACTAGGCTTTCCATACGATCTACTCGCATTATTTTGATGGCATTTTTCTTCGGTTATATATTTTCTTTCGCATGCTCCATTGGATTAATGACAAATATAACGTTTCGCCTAAGAATATCGCTTCCTCTTTGACCGGATGTTATTATATGGTCATCTCCTGTAAGCAGTTTCTCCAGACAACTAAGAGAAATGAGCCTTTTTACTGCCACTAACAAGAAAAAGAATCTCTGATTTTTTCGTATTATTTTTTAAGGAATACTCGTGAGAATAGGTATAATAATAATTAAAATAATAATCTAATCCCTACTGATCTGGAAGAATCCTTAAATAATCTAAATAATAACTTAATGCATGCATTAAAATTAACCTGGGTTGTGTAGGAGATGGAATAAAAACAGCAATTATTTTTGCAACAAATTATTTACAAAATATAATCCTTGATTATTAGACAAACATATAATTAAATATACAAAAAGTTTATTTTAGTACATTATTTTAGTACATTTTTATATACGTTAGCAGTTTCCTGATGTTACAGTTATCTATTTTTACTCTTATGGTTTCCTTGTAGAGGGCGCCAGATGTTTTAAAATAAAAATCCATAAACAAATGTCAAAACACAGCTGTTAAATTGACACGATTCTAATATTTGACGTTCATAACAATTTGGAAAAGAAAATTAATTACTCATAAATGTTTTAAACTTATTTCTTTCAGACACATGTCGACATGCTTTGAGCTAAGAGACATTTAAAGGAAATAAACAATTCTTTCTAGTTATCATGCTATTTAGATGAGAATCCGGTGATATAACGTTCAAATAGCTAATAGTTCTTTCATCAAAAATCAAAATGGATTTGGCAAAATCGTTATTTGAAGCTAGAAATCATGATGGATATGTTGGAAAGGCAGATCACAATGTAAGTTATATCTAGAGAGTTTAATATTTTAATAAAACATTAATTTTAGAAACGCGAATTAGAAATGGCTATTGAACCTGACATTGATGACTCTCTTGTGGATAATTTAGGAGGTTTAAATGTCGAGGATCTACAGACACCAAGCCCAGGGGGACCCTTTTCTGCCTTAACGCCTAGCATGTGGCCCCAGGAAATTATGGCCAAGCAGTCGAGAGAACAAGAAGACCCCAACTCTCAGCCTGAATATAGATTTGATGAGTTTGGTTTTAGAGTTGAAGAAGAAGACGGCCCAGAACAAAATTCAAACAAATTATTAGGAATTCCTTTAGTTGAGGATCCCCAACATAGGTATGGGAAGTAGGGATTGGCTTTTAGCTTGTTTTAATAGACTTGTTTAGATTACAGTGGGTAGCTCATTTAGAATTTTCTCACAGCAAGGAAGTTTCAGATTTAACATGGGATAAAGTGGAAGTTCAAATACCAAGAACTGACAAACTTCTTCAAATGGTACCAAACTTACTTTTCACCTTTCTCTTATAACACAGCATACTTTCAGGTGAGGTCTGGTATACCACATTCGTTAAGACCACAAATGTGGATGCGTATGTGTGGAGCTCTTGAAAAAAAGCAACATTCAGAACTATGTTACAAAGAAATAATTAAAATGTCCAGCAATGATTCTTTGATGACTTCAAAGCAAATAGAGAAAGATTTATTGCATTTAATGCCTACAAATGCTTGTTATAGTCATGCCAATAGCACAGGAATTCCTAGATTAAGGAGAATCTTAAGGGGAATGGCCTGGTTATTTCCAGATATCGGGTTAGTAATGCATAATTTTGTTTTTGATATTCTGTTAGAGATGTTTCTTATAGTTACTGTCAAGGGTTAGGAATTATAACAGCTTCTTTGTTATTATTTATGGAAGAAGAAAATGTATTTTGGATTATGGTTACTATAGTTGAAGATTTACTACCAGCATCTTATTATAGTTCTACATTGCTAGGTACAGTCGTCAACACTTGGTATAGAGGCATTACTTCTAGATAATACTTTTTATAGGTATTCAGGCTGACCAAAAAGTATTAAGAAATTTAATATCCAATTATTTGCCTGGTATTGATGAAGTTCTCAAAAACCATGATATAGAATTGTCTTTAATAACCATGCAGTGGTTTCTAACATTATATGCTAATGTTGTCCATATGAAAATATTGCTCAGGATTTGGGACTTATTTTTCTTTGAAGGTTCTATAGTTTTATTTCAGATCACTCTAGCAATGTTAAAAATAAAAGAACCTCACTTAAAAACCTTAGAAAACTCTGCACAAATTTTTAATGCTCTTTCAGACATACCAGGAGACATTGATGATGTTGATAAGCTTTTAGATGTAAGTATAACAATTTGTCTAGTTTGATACTGAAACAGCAATTTTATTGTAGATATCCATCGAGCTAACTAGTTCTTTAAACGATGTAACAATTGAAACATATAGAAGAAGGCATTTAGCTTATTTAATGGCCGATCAAGGTACTCTGGTTGGAAATCCAGAATCAGCTCCTAATCTTCCTAAGCAACATTTATCTAGGTCAGTATTTTGTTAGTTTCGGAGTTTTACACATACCGTACATAGATTTTTTACGCGTAAAAAACTAGTTTTGTGCTCTGTATTTTTTTTACTAGACTATTCCTAATTCCTGCAATACATTCTATTACAGAAATCTTTTTTCGATCTGTCACTTTCCGCATTATCCGTCATTTTGACAATGCTTTGACATATTTCTAACCTCTAAAATTGATGTGAGTAACGGGAGTTTGTGTCAAAGTATACTATTCATTTGTGATTCTTGTTATGTTTGGAGACTTTAAAATAAAGTAACATCTTTCTTAAATCTGTAAATACAAAATATTATGGATGATGGAAGATCTGAGAAGCATGAATTAAAGCAAAATAGTCATGACAAAGTAAAATCCGTAGTCGCAGCGTATTTGAACAAGAGACAATTTGTCGATGTTAAACCTAGGAAATCTCCAAGAAAAGTTGTTTTAAAACAAGCTCTATTAGATAATAGAATAAGTAGGTGTAATTCTATTTTATTCAGCTTTGAGAATGACAAAGACAATACATTACTAAATGAATATGGTTCAATGTTTCAAAAATTTGTATATTGGTTAAAAGACAAAATTGATACTAAACAACAGTGTATGGATGTGGAGCCGTTAGTTGGACCCTTATTTTGCCACTTGTATCTAGATTTACAGGACAGTGGTCAAGCCCAATTAGCTAATTCATTTTACATGAACCATATTGCTAAAGTAGATGAGTCAAAATGTGACGAAACAGTAAGGAATTTACTTAAAAGCATACACAATGCTGATCTAAGAGCAAAGTTTAGATCAGCCAAGGTAGTTGTAGATATAAATGCAGAATCCTTATTACTGTTAAGGAAGTTTGTTACTCAGACTTGTCACGTAATTTTTCTTCACGCATTACAGACATGGTTTGAGCTGAAAACTACTAAAATAAAACAACAGGAGTCTTGTAAAACCAGTGTACCAAAATCTGATAAATTTCATGAAGAACGTCAATTAATTGAGGTAGTAAATAAGGATGTGAATGATGAATTAATGAAATTGCATAATGCAATTCAGTCAGTTCAAAAGTTGCCTCTTGGCTTATGTAATGTTGGAATAGTGAACAGTAAATTTGATATTAGTTGCGGATTAATCAAAAGACAGGCTGGATTAATGGCTTATGCAGAAAGCAATGCATTGTTGGTAAAGTCCATAAAAGCTTTAGATCCACCATTTGGATATGAGGACCTGGGTCATATTAAGTTCACAAATCATTCTAGACAAATTTACTGTGTTAGTCTTTCATCAAACAATGATATTTTATGTACAGGATCGGCAGATCACACTATTTCTATATATAGCCTTAAGAAACTCAAGATTCTCAAGAAATTATTAGGGCACCTGGGCCCTGTTTACACCATAGCCTTAAGTCCAGATTCAAAATATTTATTATCAGGATCAGCAGATACTACAGCGAGATTATGGAGTTTGCAGACAGGCAGACTATTAAGGGTATTTGCTGGACATTTTCAGGCAATTACTTCAGTTGACTTTCATCCAAACACTCTTTATGTAGCTACTGGTTCAGCTGATAGGAATGTGCGGCTGTGGTCCTTACAAAAAGGAGACCCTGTCAGGTTATTCCATGCTGCCAGGAAAGAAGTTTACTCCGTAGCCTTTGGTCCAAATGGATATCTCTTAGCAGCCGCAAGCGATGATAAAGTAGTAAGAGTATATGAGTTAGCGTCTTCCAAAGTTGTACATGAATTTAGAAATGAGGAATCAGTAACCTGCTTATTATGGTCTAGCAACAGTAAAGAGCTGTGTGGTGGGACGTTATCAGGTGTAGTAAAAGTTTGGGACTGCAGCCTTAAGGACAAGGAAAAAGAGATAAAAGACGAGAGAGATCATACAAGGGGCAAGAAGTATAATGATTCAATCTTTCGGAGAAATACTAATGGTCGAATACTTTCTTTAGAATTTAGTTTAGGTACATGGGCATGCCTCACTGTTCCAAAACTAGGACATTCTCCCGTTGATACTTCATAGATCTCTTTGTATACATATTATAGTAATTAAGCAATTTGACAAGAGTACAATTTTTTTTTCGTTATTATTTGGCAATTCAGTAGGATGTTTTTAAGTACTTAATATTGTTTCACAATCACGTTTTTATTGTTAACAATATTACTGAGAAAAATGTATCTTTTTTTTTGAAACTGTGTAGCTAAGTAAGATATATTTCTAGTGAATTATGAATGATTGCATAAAAGTTTATTTCAGTTGAATCAAATTATTGTTTATTGGAAATAATTTCCAATTATTAATTCAAGGGACTTTTGTTAAATGACGAATTAAAATCTTTTTGTTGAAAATTACAATTAATTTTTCTTATTGTATTAAACTATTGTTAATTGAATAGTAAACGGTTTTTATTTTATTACTTGTAGTATTTTGTAAGATGTTTTTGAATCTTAAATATTATTCGCATTCCGTTTGTATTGTTAACAATATTACTGAGAGAGATGTATCTTATTTTTACAGCAATATCTAATGTATATATATTTCTAGTCATTTATGAATCATTGCATAAAAATCATTTCCATTGTATCAAATTGTCATTGACTAAAAAGAATTGGCAGTTTTTAATTCGAAGGTTTTTTTATTAGATAAATTGTGAAAATAATTCCACTGATGATAATAAACGTTTATTTTATTAATTATAATTTCTTTTTTTTTTACATATCCTATCTCTAAATTAATTGTAATTATTTGTAAATTGTCAAAATAAAAATAATATATAGTAACTACCCAAAGTAATGGCAGGAAAGGTTTATAGTTTGGTCATCTTTGAAGCTGTATCTCGACTGGAGTACTTTTCCTGTTTCTCCGGTCTTTGATCATATGTATACGTTTTTTATAGTTTATTTTAGGACAAATTAATTATAGAATTGTAAATATAAATTTAAGAACACAGTACAGTATTTTTTTATGAATCTGGACTCTAGAACATTTCTTGAATTATTCCAGTATCCTTTTGAGTACTAAAAAGTAAAAATGTTGCATTTCATGCAATATAAATATTAATATTGAATAAACTATTGTGTGTTGTTATTATTATTTTGCAATAATATAAAAACAAATATATTTTAGGCGACAAATAAAAAAGAATAAGTCTGTTATTCAGTTGTTACTTTTTAATGAGAACTATGAAGATGAAATTAAAAGCAAGAACATAAAACAAACAGAGATTCTTGTGGACCTCAGGGAAGCTATTTTACAGGTAAACGTTACAGTCATTAAAAATAATGGACATTATAAAACGAAGATTTCATTTGTTAGGTAGTTAGGCACTTTTTACAATTAGATCCAAAGCTAAGTTCAGAAATATCGTTAGTAGCTGATTACACCATGGAAAGTCATTCTCAGGATCATTCTAACTATATTAATGTATCAAAAAAACGGAAAAGGCGGGCAAAAGCTTTGCTGGACTTTGAAAGACACGATGATGATGAGCTGGGCTTTAGAAAAAATGATATCATTACAGTTATCAGTCAAAAGGACGAACACTGTTGGGTTGGAGAACTAAACGGATTAAGGGGTAGTTAAAAAAATACCAGAGTTATTAATTACTTATTAATATGCACCGGATCTTTTTAAGGTTGGTTTCCAGCAAAATTTGTTCAGTTACTCGATGAGAGAAGTAAACAGTACAGTAGTGCTGGAGATGATAGTATATCAGAAACAATAACTGATCTTGTCAGAGGTGTGTTATGTCCAGTAATTAAACAAGTTTTAGAACACGGCATGAAACGTCCACATTTCTTAGGTAAAATCTGTTTTTTTTTCTTCGAGGGATGTAAATTAGTATTTTTTGTATTATTTGTACCTATTAATTAATTATTAGTAATTGACAACTAACTTTATTTTATTTAGGGGGTCCTTGTCATCCATGGCTGTTTATTGAAGAAGCTGCTACAAAAGAAGTAGAAAAAGATTTTAATTCTGTTTATAGTCGTCTTGTTCTTTGTAAAACTTACAGATTAGATGAAGATGGAAAAGTTTTGACTCCTGAAGAGGTAAAAGAAATGATACTCGATTTATCATAATTACATTTTTATTTTAGTTACTTTATCGCTGTGTGCAGGCTGTTAATTTATCTCACGATAATGCTCATGCTCAAATGGATGTTAAACTTCGCTCACTGATTTGTATTGGCTTAAATGAACAAGTGCTGCACTTATGGCTTGAAGTCCTTTGTTCTTCTGGAGAAGTTGTACAAAAATGGTTTGATAACAGTTGTTTTATGTGATGTTTTCATATTTAATAGTATTTTTAGGTATCAACCTTGGTCCTTTGTATATAGTCCTGGCTGGGTCCAAATCAAATGTGAATTAAGGATTCTTTCTCAGCTGTCCTTCAATTTAAACCCAGATTGGGAATTGCCCAAAAAAAGAGAATCTAATAACCAGCCATTAAAAGATGGAGTCCGTGATATGTTGGTAAAACACCATCTATTTAGTTGGGATATATAACAGTTACTTTTCTTCCTTATATATTCATTTGTCTTACTGGTTTCATAACAGCAGTTAATTTGTGTTATTTAAGAATAAGTTACTAATTCTAAGCTATGTACAAATATTTATTAATCTCAAGTGATGAATAGTACTGTTAATAATAAAACTATAATTTATTGTTAAAATGGTTTTATATATTTTCGTATCCCAAAGCTTTAGGCAAAGTAGTTCCACAAAGGCCAGGAAAATGAAATTTGAAATCCTCATTTGCTGGTTCTTCTGTTAAATTAAATTCAGCCACTGGTTTCCCCCTTTCTGCCACAAGAGGAGCAAACATAGCGGCAGGATAAACTACAGATGAAGTACCAATTATTAAACATATATCACAAGTTTCTATTAATTCTCCTAAAAAAAGAATTAAAAACATTTTCAAAATTTTTAAAAATTACTCCTACAGCATAGACAACTAATCATGCACCATTTATTTAGTTACAGGGATGGGCTAGATATATATTCGCAAACAAAAGTAATTTGGTAAAAAATAATTTATAATAAAGGGTTTATAATTATATTAAACACAAATTAGTCTATTTTAGATTTTTATAAAAAGCAAGAGTTCCCGAAAAATTTATTTAAAAACTACTTACTGGTTCTGTTCAATATTTTTGCATCTAAATGTTCACCAAACCAAACTATATGAGGCCTGGAAAGTTTACCACATTTTGAACATTTAGGAAGGTCATTAACATCTATTTCAGGTATCTCTTCATCCTTACATGCAGGATCCCTTGAAAATAGGGGGTAAATATTCATGACTACATTAGGAATTATTTTAAATATACCCTCTGTCTCTTAAGGCCTCACATATTGGACTGTTTGTATTTTCTTCAATATTTTTACATTTACTATTTGTACATCTTATCTGGCGTAAGGCCCCATGAAGTTCAATAACATTTTTTGATCCAGCTCTTTGATGTAAACCATCGATATTTTGAGTTACAATATGAAATTGGCAATCATTTTTCAGATCGTTCTCAAAATTTGCTAACGCAATGTGAGCCTAAATATTGTCAGTTTTATATAACATATACCTGCACTAAAACATAATATTTCACCTTATTTGGCTGGGCATTAAATGCCACATTTCTCCTGTAATGGTAGAATTCCCAAACCAGTGCAGGATTTTTACGAAATGCTTGTAGTGTGGCCAAATTTTCTACATTGTATTTTCTCCATAAGCCTCCAGCTCCCCTGAAAACTGGAATTCCAGATTCCGCAGATATCCCTGCTCCAGTAAGCACAACAATGTTTTTAGCCTCGTCCAAAAGCCGTTTAAAGCCAGCAAAATCATTGATTTTTCGTTTAGACATTACCAACACCTGATGCAGAGATATTCTTTTGATATTCACTGGACGTACGATCAGGAACAACAAATACATGAATGTTTTCCAAATGTATTTGTTGTGTGAATACTGTGAATGAAAATGAGTCACTTTTTTCTCGTTATGATATAACTGAATATAACCTATTCATTTATTTTTATTTCTAGTGCAAACCCAGGAGGAGAAAAACAGATTTTCCTTATCCATTTATACCTGTTAAAAAGAGATAAAAATCGTTTAGGAGTAGTAGTTAATTTAAAAAGGAATAATTCATTAACAATACAGTGTCAAATGAAATGCGCATATTCACAGCGTAATTTTATTTAACCCTTTAACGGTTACACTGAATAATTTAATAATTATTCTCCTTTAATCGCTACGTAGTGGTCTGGTAGACACCTCTATTAAATTACGTAAATTAATAGAAAATAAAATGTTTTTGTATCTCTCGATACCATGGTAAACATAAAAATCTTTTTTCGATCATTAAATAAATAAATAATAACTTTATTGTCTGACAGGAATACAGGATCCCAATTAATATACAATTATAAATAATAAACAATGATAATCAATTGTAATATCGGTAGATATATTTACCTATATATGGGAGAAGACTAAACATTTAGATGATAGTTTGATCTTCTTCCAATGCTTAAAGATATTTTTAGCCGACCATACCAACAAGTATGGTAGGCTATTAAGATCGGCAAAAGAATTTTTTTTTAATTTCATTCAAAATGAGTTATTTGGGTCATAAATGACCTAAATACAAAATATTTTCATGGTGTCTGTCTGTGCGTCTGTAAACGATAACTCAAAAACCGCTAAACCGATTTTAACCAAATTTGGCACAAAAATACTGTGGACTGTGGCACCCAAAGACATCTAAATATAGGTAGACAGAACACTCCATTCATAAAACTCAATTTTTTAGAATCATACATGGTTTGGCACTTTTATGAGAGTTAAAAAGAGATGGGTACATAAATATGACAACACGGTTGAGTTTCGTCTGTCTTTCTGTCATTTCACTCCATCAGTGGCGTGACGGTTTGCAACAAAATTTGTAAATAACATCAAAATCAGTCAAAGTCGCAGTTTTTGAGATATTCCGTGTTTCCGTAGTCCGTTTTGTGGAGAAGTCCAAACTCCCATCGGACGCGACCCCAGGTGGCGGATAGGGGAAATAATCGCGGACCAAAATTGGAAAAATTCCTTTACTTTGAAACTAAAAGAACTGCCTACCAACTTTTTTTATTAACATATTTTAGAATGGGCGGCTATACGTGTAAATATTTGGTGTAAATATACGTGTACCTCCCGGCGCCATTTTTTTTTTGAATATTAAGGTTCTGTTTGGTTTATTTTATTATAATACGTTCGGTATGATTTAGTTTTTGTGAGTTGGCAAAGTTATATTTTTTTATTTTGAATAGAAAAAATGTTTCGTTCGGTTCCTTTTTTTATAATATGTTTACATTTTTTCTAAAGTAAATAGTAGTTTTAATAAAGTAGATACATGTATGTATGCTTGTTATGCCGGGTCCAGACCAAGGCGACAAAAAGTAAACACGAGACAAAAACAAGACAAAACTTGCTACAAAAAATGGGGAATTCTGACAAGACAAACTTGAGACAAATTGTCCACACCGCAAGGACAAAAGTACAACAAAGTCAAACTAAAGATTTCTTGTAAAGATTGTAATCAGAAATATGTTGGGCAAACTAGAAGATCAATATTAACTAGATTTAAAGAACATTTAGCTCAGATAAGATATGGTAGACCGGATAAATCTTGCGTTGCCGAACATATTGTTGATAAAGAACATTGTATAGATCTTAATAATTTAAAATGAATTAAACAAGTCTCAAATTACAGGCAATTAGATGCATATGAAAGCATCAGAATTAATAAATGTGAAGATAGTATGAACAGAGTCAACGGTCCAATTCCTTCAAGTTCTTTGTTCCTACTACTCTAGTGGCGGAAATCTAACTGTTACGCTCAGTGGGCTCTGACTCGGTTGACTAGATTTTGCCATGCCCACTCGGTGCCCACTGAGCGAGTATATAAACGCTCAACTTGTAGATTGTACTTTAGTTTATAATCATCTGCTGATGATGCTAACATGGTTAGTGAAACGCGCGTCCAGTGTAAAAGTAAAAATGTTTTGGTGTATTGTGGTGATTTAGTGTTTTTATTTTGCTGTGTAACACCAAAGGTTCCAACCCTCAACTGTAAAGTCAAAAGTTTAGTTGTTGTAAATGAGTTTTATTAACACTTTGATCTTTACCGACTCGCGACGGGACATTGAAAAGTCTCCGAGTTTTGAAACAAAACAAAAATGAGACAAAAATATCGCAGAAATGTATTGGATTTGTCGTAAAACATGAATGTTTCTGTCTTGCCGTTGTTTTGTATGCTTGGTCTGGGCCCGGCATTGCTGTTTAGCGTGCTAAATTTTACAATAAAATTATTTGGAATTACAGAATACTTAAAAAATATAAATGCGGTACGGAATACCCGCTCGTGTGATTCTTACGCACCTGCCCGAGGGTTAATGAAATAAAACATGTTTATATTTTTAAGAAAATGTATTTAAAAAAGTTACATACTGTAAAGTAACGTAGGACAATCGTAATATGTATTTTTGTATTTTGGAAAGCTTTTTAAAATAAAATATGGCAAAAATAAATCTTAACTATTTTTTCCACCTTACGTCCTTCACAACTAAAGATAATTTATTAGTTTACTGGAAGAAATTAAAAGCGCTATTGAAATTGCTCTATAAAAAGGATATATACAAAATAAAGAAAAAATAAGCCTCCAATAAAATAACAAATTTCCATTCTAAATAAAGCTATAGTGTGGCAAATATAACGTAACATTAACAAATACGAAATACACTAAAATAAAATATTTAAACATCAACTTTGTAAGGCGATCCAGGGATATGATCGTCTCCCCATTTAACAATAATTAAATATTCTCCTCTGTCCCTAATCATGTAATTAACGTCGTAAAGATTGTGTCCTTTGTGTTTAATAAAAACTTCCTCGCAGGGTCCTTTCGGTCCGTGCACGCCCACAAACAAGATGTTTGTGCCTGAAAAAATAACAGCATTAAACATTATTGTGTCAAATTACTTTCCTTTTGTGCACTCACCAGCGTCTTGAGCAGAGACTGTAAACTGATTCTGTTTGCCTAAGTAAGCTTTCTTCAATCCCATTCCTTTACATTGAACTTTAGAGGCGTCACTTCTGAAGTGAGGAAGAACGACGCCTTTGTGGTTGGCGCCTTTGCCTACTTTCGCTATGGTTTCAACCACAACTGAAGAAGATTCTTGGCCACCGATGTCGGCTACTTTGGCATCTCCTGAAAATGGATTAAGATTTGAAATAAAATCCAAACCACCAGTTTTATAATTTGATATAATGTTGTCTAGAGTACTTTTTTTAGTTACCTTTACTAGTAACTTTGAAAGGAGAGCCTACTATGTGGACGTTGTTGTATTTAATACTGATGTAATAATCCCCAGGGGCAATAGGCGTGTATCGAACTTTGTAGCCTTCCTCGACTTCGGTACAATCCATGGAGACTTTGCTGGGACCGTCGATGTTAACTGCCAGCGTTCCAGCACCGGCATTCACAGTATCGACGATGAAATCTGTTTTGACACCTGGAATAATAGAGAAAGAAACATTTTAGTTAACATACATAGTCCAAAATTAATTTTATTATTAGAGACTAATTTACCTGTCTTTATTTCTTTATTGATTCCATTTCCATGGACATGCACTGCGGCGGGATCTGCTGTATCTTTCCCTACTTTGACGCTGAACGGGGATCCGGGTATATGTACTCCATTGAATTTGGCGTGGATTTTATGAATGCCATTCTCTCTGGGCATGAACCTGACAGAATATTCCTCCATGTCGATAATCTGAACGAAGCAATCGTCCTCGTGTCCAGATGGGCCAATAATCTAACAAGAATGTGTTTTTAATCTCACAGCTCTCGTCACAGCAGAGCGGCAAGCTCTCAGAAAACTTAAGTCTTTTTTTCATTTAAATAATTTTAATGACTCAAGTCGTTTGATTTTAAGTCATATTTCGAAAGATGATTTAAGACTTTTTCTTTTAGATTTAAGAAGTTTAAGTCATTTTCAAAATAATTTAAGTCTTTACTCCGAAATTTAAAAAGAAACTTAGTCGTTAAAAAATTAAAGATTTAAATAATTTTAGAAAAGATTCAATTCTTTATCGAAACGATTTAAGTCAGAGTTTTCATATATTTTTTGATAAATTTTTAACAGCGGCATTTCCTTTTCAACTGTCAAGCGGCAGCCGGGCAACATATCAGTAGTAACCCGTGTCTCAAATAGTTTCTTAATAATTTTTTTTTAAAGATCCCATTAATTTTATATCTCCGAAACTAAAGTTTCAAAAAAAGTCGTACTATATCTACAAATTCATTTACCCACTAGTAGATATAAAAAAACATTTTTGGTAAACTCTGTCTCAAATAGTTTCTGAAAAATAAAATTAATTTTTTTAAAAGGTCCGATTAAATTTATATCTCCGAAACTAAAGTTCCAAAAAGAGTCGTACTATATCTACAAATTCATTTACCCACTAATAGATAAAAAAAACATTTTTGGTAAACTCTGTCTCAAATAGTTTCTGAAAAATAAAATTAATTTTTTTAAAAGGTCCTATTAAATTTATATCTCAGAAACTAAAGTTCCAAGAAAAGTCGTACTATATCTACAAATTCATTTACCCACTAGTAGATATAAAAAGCATTTTTGGTAAACTCTGTCTCAAATAGTTTCTGAAAAATAAAATTAATTTTTTATAAGGTGCTTTTTAAATTTATATCTCCGAAACTAAAGTTTCAAAAAAAGTCGTAATATATCTACAAATTCATTTACCCACTAGTAGATATAAAAACAATTTTGGTAAACTCTGTCTCAAATAGTTTCTGAAAAATAAAATTATTTTTTTTAAAAGGTGCTTATTAAATTATATCTCCGAAACTAAAGTTCCAAAAAAAGTCGTAATATATCTACAAATTCATTTACCCACAGTAGATATAAAAAGCATTTTTGGTAAACTCTGTCTCAAATAGTTTCTGAAAAATAAAATTAATTTTTTTAAAAGGTGCTTATTAAATTTATATCTCCGAAACTAAAGTTCCAAAAAAAGTCGTACTATATATCTACAAATTCATTTACCCACTAGTAGATATAAAAAGCATTTTTGGTAAACTCTGTCTCAAATAATTTCTGAAAAATAAAATTAATTTTTTTAAAAGGTGCTTATTAAATTTATATCTCCGAAACTAAAGTTCCAAAAGAAGTCGTCCACTATATCTAAGCAAATTCATTTACTCCACTAATAGGATAAAAAAAAAAACATTTTTGGTAAACTCTGTCTCAAGAAGTTTCTGAAAAATAAAATTAATTTTTTTAAAAGGTCCTATTAAATTTATATATCTCCGAAACTAAAAGTTCCAAAAGAGTCGTACCTATATCTACAAATTCATTTACCCAATTAGTAGATATAAAAGCATTTTGTAAACTCTGTCTCTAAATCGTTTCTGAAAAATAAAATTAATTTTTTATAAGGTGCTTTTTAAATTTATATCTCCGAAACTAAAGTTTCAAAAAGTCGTACTATATCTACAAATTCATTTACCCACTAGTAGATATAAAAAACATTTTTTTGTAAACTCTGTCTCAAATTAGTTTCTGAAAAATAAAATTAATTTTTTAAAAGGTCCGATTAAATTTATATCTCCGAAACTAAAGTTCCAAAAGAGTCGTACTATATCTACAAATTCATTTACCCACTAATAGATTAAAAAAACATTTTTTGGTAAACTCTGTCTCAAATAGTTTCTGAAAAATAAAATTAATTTTTTTAAAGGTCCTATTAAATTTATATCTCCGAAACTAAAAGGTTCCAAAAGAGTCGTACTATATCTACAAAATTCATTTACCCAATTAGTAGATATAAAAAGCATTTTGGTAAACTCTGTCTCAAATCGTTTCTGAAAAATAAAATTAATTTTTTTTATAAGGTGCTTTTTTAATTAAGATCTCAATCTCATCGAAAAGATTTAAGTCAGAGTTTTACATATATTTTGATAAATTCATTAACAGCGGCATTTCTTTTAGACTGTCAAGCGGCATTTTGGCAAATATCAGTAGTAAATAGTTTCTCAAATAAAAAATAATTTTTTTTAAAGATCCTTTTATTAATTTATATCTCCGAAACTAAAGTTTCAAAAAAGTCGTACTATATCTACAAATTCATTTACCCACTAGTAGATATAAAAAAAACATTTTTGGTAAACTCTGTCTCAAATAGTTTCTGAAAAATAAAATTAATTTTTTTTTAAAAGGTCCTTATTAAATTTATATCTCCGAAACTAAAGTTCCAAAAGAGTCGTACTATATATCTACAAATTCATTTACCCACTAATAGATATAAAAAGCATTTTGGTAAACTCTGTCTCAAATAGTTTCTGAAAAATAAAATTAATTTTTTTTAAAAAGTCCTTATTAAATTATATCTCCGAAACTAAAGTTCCAAAAAGAGTCGTACTATATCTACAAATTCATTTACCCACTAGTAGATATAAAAAGCATTTTTGGTAAACTCTGTCTCAAATCGTTTCTGAAAAATAAAATTAATTTTTTATAAGGTGCTTATTAAATTTATATCTCCGAAACTAAAGTTCCAAAAAAAGTCGTACTATATATCTACAAATTCATTTACCCAGTAGTAGGTATAAACACATTTTTAGTAATCCGTGTCTCAAAGTGTCTCATCTTTAGTTTCATAAAAATAGTAGCACGTAATAGGAAACCGGTGTATTCGACGAGAGACCCTGTAAAATACACAAAAATGGGACATCCTGTAGAAAGTATCACAAAAAATTTAATTTTATATAAATTGTGATTTTATTTTCTTGATACTTATATTTTTTTTATTGTATATTATTTGTAAATAAATCGTTTTATTTTAAGTGGTTTTATTCTTACATGTACCTATAATAAATTAATAATAAAGTTAAAAGAAAATCGGTAATACAACAAAATTAATGTTAACATTTAAAAAATATATAGATAGGTAGGTACTTAAATTGAATTCTGGTTGTCTTGACTTGAAGGTAATTATATTGATTTTTAAGTCGAAAATATAGACTTAAGTCATAAAAACGACTTAAATAACGTTAAATTGATTTAAGTCTTGTCAAAATCATTTTTGAACTTTATGTTAAAATTGACTTAAGATTTAAATCATTTTGATTTTCGAAATCACTTGAGACTTCAGTCTTTTTAAAACTGACTCGTTGCAGCTCTGCGTCACAGTGACTATTTATAAACTTGCTGAATAACCATCCACTTGTTGGTATTATTCATAGCATTTCTTTCCTATTTATAACGGTAAAGAGAGACTAACCTTTGCATCCAGGTCCCCTTTAGCGCCATTTCTGCGTACAATAAACTGAGATGGTTTGTCTGCCTGGATATACCCTTCTGGAAACTGGGCTACTTCTAATAAATGAGCATCCCCCACAGCAGGAGAAATATAAACTTTGAACGGGGAATCAGGCACATGCTCGTCGTTAAATTTCAATCCTATCCGGTATTCACCTGTAAAAAAATCATCTGCTAGAGTGGAGTTCCTTAGAAAACAACAGGGATGCGTCAATGATCTCTAAATTAACACAGAGAAGTTATTACATAACATACATGACTAATGCAAAGGTGCCAAGGGAACATGTGTTTACAAAAGGAAAAACAATTTTTAATAGTCCGGACTTACCAAATCAAGTCTTAGTTAATTTTATAGAAATTTGTATTTCACTGAATCATTGACACATCCTAGTTAAGTTGTCTTCACACTTATAAATCTGGAATCCACGAGGTTATGATTTTTTTCGAGTGCGGATCAATAGCGATCGATATTTGCGAATGAACGCTCCCCACCTTCATTTTCCGACGAATTATTTGTTCCAAACTGAATTTCCTGACACACCTTATACATCGTCTCTTACTAGGAAAACATTGACCGTGCGATGGCAAGATTATTTTCTCTCTACGCCATGTGGAAGCGAATTTTACCAACTATTAAGTACTAAGTACATGATTCAAATTCTATAATTAACTCGAAAGACTACCTTGAAGTTTTTTTTGTCACAGCTTTGAAATATGCGCGCTGTAAACTTTTGTCTGGAACAGTGCCAAATAAAATTAATTTTTATAATATCTCGCGTTTATACGCACTTTTTTTCTCCATTGTCAACAGCTATTGGAAAAATGCATTCAATAAAAAATGTCTGAATCTCTGTGACGGATTCATCTCCTCAAAAAAGTCCTGTGGGTATTTCGCTATTGCACTCAAGACTGCAAGAAAATCTACGAAATAAAATAGTTATTTTTGATAAACGCTGTTGCTTTAATCTAAAGGAGACCAACTTGTCAGCAGGGATTTGCTAATAAATTTTCCTAACGGACAAAAAAATGCTTAACGTTTCGGGAAGTATTTCTTCCCGTCGTCGGAAGCAAAAAAAAACACAAAGAACAAATAAAAAAACTATATAAAATATCTAAATACTAGTTTTTTTTTCAACAGATACGTCTACCTGGTGCGTCTCAAAAGTGTCTCTACCTCTATAACTTTTTTATTTTTTTAGATAAAAAAAAGAGATTTGGTATGTTAGTATATGACATAAATTAGGATTGATTGACGTATTGATTGTTTTCGGTCACTTCCTGTTTCACCGGAAATGACTACAACTTTTGAATTTTAAATGGCACCATCGGTATTTTTTTACTTTATTCGATAGAAAATGACACTCTGAATTGAATGACATATCATATGTCAACTTTTGACATATTCGCTCAAAAACAAATTGTATTTTAAATTTCTATATAGAGTGCCATGGCTTGATTTGATCGTCTAATGTTTTTAGTGTCTTGTCCTGGCCGGTTAAAAGATGCCGCAATCGTATTTTTAATCATATCTCAATTTTTTTAAATGGAACGAGGGTGGCTCATTAGCATAGTTAGAAAAAGCATTTTTTACGAATAATTTGATACCACATACTCGGTATTTTGAGTCAAATTGTCGTTATGAACAGCAGGTTACAATTTCAAATAAACCATATGCGCAAAAGTTGACATATGATGTCATTCTATTCAAAGTATCATTGTCGTATAAATTAAAAAAAATATAGACAGGGTGCAAAAATAGAAATTAGAAATAAGTGCAAGTATTTTAACTGGTTGTATAGTTCAACCCCAGAAACACGCCTATGAGGTTTTTTCGCGAAAAAAAAATGAAAATTCGGAATTTTTGGGAAATGTTTTTAGTTTTTAGTTAAAAAAACATAATTTCTCGATAATATGGCAACATCGGTTGTAGATTAAATTTACAAGAAAGAAAACCCAGAAAAGATCCAGTGGTTCTCAAAATTTTAGCAAAAAGTCATTTTTTTTGTCAAAATTTTCAAAGTAAAATAACTCCGTTATTTTGGACTTATTTGAAAAATGGTAAAGAAAAAATATGTTTCTTTTATCGACATCTACCACCCCTTAAAAACTTGCACTTATTTTAACTGGTAGTATATTTCGGCCTCAGAAACACGCCCATGAGGTATTTTTTGCAAGAAAAAAATTTTGAAAATTTGGAATTTATTGAAAAAAATTTGGAAATTTTTTTTAATTTTAAGTTAAAAAACACAATTTCTTGATAATATGGCAACATAGGTAGTAGCTTAAATTTACATGAAAGAAAATCCAGAAAAGATCCAGTGGTTCTCAAAATTTTAGCAAAAAATGATTTTTTTTTGGAAATTTTCAAAGTAAAATAACTCGGTTATTTTGAACTTATTTGAAAAACGGTAAAGAGAAAAAATGTTTCTTTTGGCCAGATCTACCACCCCTTAAAATATTTGCACTTATTTCTGGGACACCCTGTATATATCGAATAAAGTAAAAAAATACCGACGGTGCCATTTACATACCAAATCTCGTTGTTTAATATGAAAAAATAAAAAAGGAATAGGGGGTGAGCCACTTTTGAGACTCACCCGGTATATAAAAATAACGTCATATAAATAAATGTATTGCTCAGAAATGTGTAGAAGTAGAATGTATGGCTGGCTATATCTTCTTTGATATTAATGAACATAACATAAGTAAAACATTTAAAACAAATAAAAAATAATCATATTGGTACAACTTAACAAGTATAGCTAGAGACGTGAGAAATATAAAATAACACGGCGACCGGTGCTATCCCCAAGTCTCTTCCTATATTTGTACAACTGTACAGAATGTTTGAGGCTCTTTGCTTTTACCTCATTAAGTAATTGTTATCAAGTCGTTAATAATTAATTTTGAAATTTAACTTAATATAATGACATTTTAACAGAACATCAACGGTTTTTATAGGCGTATCTGTTGAAAAATTAAAGTGTTAAAAATTAAAGTTGTATTTAGACATTTTAAATATATTTTTTTATTTGTTCTTTGTGTTTTTCTTGGCTTCGACGACGGGAAAAGATATACTTCCCGAAACGTTAAGCATTTTTTGTACGATAGGCAAATTTGTTTATTAGTAAATCACTGCTGACAAGTGGGTCTAATTTGGATTAACGCAGCAGTGTTTACAAAAAATAATTATTGTATTGCTTAGATTTTCTTAGAGTGCAAGTGGCGAAATACTGATATATAGGACTTTTTTGAAGAAATGTTTCAAGTACCATTCCCGAAAATAATTTATTGGCAAAATGCTGGTGTAGAGATATTAATTTTATTCGAAAATATGTGATCGCTTCGTGTCACGATAAGCTGCCCGTAATTAACATCGGTTTAACACGCATTTACTATGATATTTGTAATACAAAATAATTGAAATATAGCCGTGCTCTTGCCAAATATCGGTCTCATTCATTGAGTAGTAATAAAACGTACCTGGTTCGGATACTTTGTACGAAACGTCACAAGATCCGTCCTTGCGGTCGGTAAAGTTGATCTCTGCCTTACTAGGGCCTTCCATTGAAATGGCCAATTGGCCACTTCCTGCCTCCCTGGTCCAAACATTGAATTCGTTCAGTTCACCCTGTTCACCCCTCTCTAACCCAACACCTCCAGCCTTGACCAAGTGAGCTCCGTGATCACGGTATGGACCTACAGTGAACTGGAAGGGCGATCCTGAAATTAACTCGAATAAGATGGTGATTTAAAAATTATATTATTATTATACCAGGAATATGAATGTCCTTGTATCTTACTGAGACTGTATGGACGCCCAGTTCTTTTGGAACAAAATGAACGGCATACAATCCGTCTTTGACCTCGTTAATTTCAGCATCTTCCGTTACACCACCCGGAGATGAAACAGTAGCGCTCAAATCAAAGGATGTGATACCTAAAAAACAGGAAATAAATTTAGTGCCAGAGAAATATACAAAACTATATAGAAAAAGGATTACTTTCATCTGGTCCATTAAATATACTTATATTCCAGATTAAGTTTTTTTTTGCTAAATAGATTAATTTATTTATTTAATCTGCAATTTGGCCTCAGTGCTAACGTCAAGTGCCAAGTATGTAGGGCAAAATGATTAACAGCTTGAAACTTTACTTAAAATTATAACGTGAGTTTATTTTCCCAATAATATTTCTTTTAACATAGGTTTTAAAACGACACATATTAAGAGTTTGTGCCTGCTAAGTATTTCTGCGTCTCAAGCATGTCAGGCCATATCTGATTTATGGGCGTCCTGCGCTCCGTTTTAGGGTAAAAGTATTCCTAGAAAAGCGTTCAAAATCGAACGATGATTGGTCGAAACAATTCTGTTTCGAAAAGAAAGTTTGGGAATATTACCTAATGCAGAAAAATACACGTATTCCGACGTACAGTACAGTTTTGAGTGCGGTGGCGTGAATAGTGTGTCAGTTAAAGTAAAGTTAATTAGTTAGTTAGTGCAGTGATATAAGCAGAAAGCAGGGGAGTACATCTCACTAAGTGTCGTAGTTTATTAATTAATTAGATCATGAATATTTTGATAAATATATTGATACGTTTTGTTAGATATCATTTGCGTACACATATTATTAAATATTACATTAAATAACTGCGCCGTATACATGCTAGGTCAAAATATAGAATATGAAAGTTAGATAGGGTTAGTAATTAAATAATGCGGCGGTATACCGATGCGGCAGCTACGTGAGCTTTGTTTAGATAGGCTATTGAATCTCTTTACTCTGTAGAGTCGGTGCTGTCTAGTCAGGAGGAGCGCAAGGATAGGCCCGTTAATGTTGCTTGGCAGGATCTGGGATCCCGTAATGTCATAGTAGCAGGGACGCGATTCCTCGTAATGTCGCAACGGTGTAGGGAGTAAAATCCTGGTTATCACCGGTTTTTATATTGTGCCTCTGGGCGTAACCAGATGCGGGAGCGGGACCCCGAGAGATTCAGCCGCTGTATCCGGGTCTTCTGGTTCGTCTAGACCGTGCCACGGGGGGGCGTGGACGGGGGCAAGACAGTACGTTAGTATTTGATGAGATAAGTAAATTTGTAATCAAGAGAGAGAGAGAGATTGGATAGTTCTTTTATAAAGTACCTAATTAGTTAATATGATAGCCACGTAAGCTTTAGGTGGATTAGTGAATTTCTGTTCTCAGTAGAGTTAGTACTGCTTAGCTTGAGGAAGCGCAAGGATAGGCCCGTTAATGTTGCTTGGCAGGATCTGGGATCCCGTAATGTCATAGTAGCAGGGACGCGAATCCTCGTAATGTCGCAACGTCGCACACGGCAGGGATCTGGGATTCCGTACGCCGTGTGACAACGGACATTATTATTATGTCTGGGACGGTACCTCCGGGTCTTCAGCGGCGGGAACAGGCCCCCAGGGTCCTCGAATCTCGGGATCGATATGTTGTGTTTATTCTGTTGCCCGTGCGGCTGATTACTCTGGAGTCCGCGCCATCAGGGGGTGCGTGGGCGGAAGGCCAAGCAGTGCATTTGCATAGATATGTTTGTAAATCTTGTATTGAGAGAGACAGAGATAAATTAGTCCATCTAGTAAGATAAATAGAAAATAAATAATAGGTAGTTAGGGCAAAACAATATCGGCATATAGCAGTTAAGTAGGTCGGAATTATGAACTGGACACTTATCCTTACTTTTAATTGTGACAGGTATTAAAGTACGCCTCCGCTCAGGGTCAATGCTTCAGGGATTATTTGGTGGGTCTGTGATTTATTATATATTTGCTTTCCTGACAATATAATACTTTAAAACATTTTAATTATCCTGTCACGAGTTATGGTTTTGTTAGCTGGTGAGATTGTTTATTATTTTATAAAGAAAGTAAACATGAAAAAAAAATCTTACAAAATTATTTTTAAGCCGCTGCAAAAACATTTATTTACAAGATTTTGAAGTAATGACCGCTCACATTGAATTTCGGACGTAAAATATATCTATAAAAATATAGTTTATTTTTGATGTGTATTTATTTAGCGAGGTAATGATGACATCAATGCACGCTCATCAAAATACTCTATGTAAACATACATATTTTTCTGCGCGCATCTATAATTCTTACCGGGCATCTTGAAAGTAAGCTTGCACTCGCTACCAACTTCTGTAACTGGAACTGCATCTCTTTGCCTTTGAATCTTTTCGCGTTGCCTGTTTGATCCTTCACCAGTTACCTAAAAGAATTATTGTATTTTAAATTGAATCTCACCTGGAAGTAGAAATTTAAATTTAAATAAAAACTTACTTTAACAGTAAATGGCGATCCGTCAACGTGATGATCAGCGAATTTCAGATTGACGATGTAATAGCCAGGTTCAGTGGGCTTATAAGAAATGTTAAGTGTCCCATCTGTATTGTCGTTGCATTGAATCTCAGCTTTGCTGGGCCCTTCGATGGAAAGAGACAGTCCCCCGAAACCTGCATTTCGTGTGTCGACCGTGAAAGTGTTATCTACGTGGGTTTTGCCATCTTTCAGCGCACTTCCGTGCACCTTCACTTTCTTCGAATCTCCAACTTCACGTTCGCAGACGTTTATTTTGAAAGGCGAGTTCGTAATGTGATTTCCCATCTTTTTAACGGAAACGATATGTTCGCCCACTTCTCTGGGAGTGAAAGAGATTCCAATATTTCCACTGGCGAGTTTTTTCAGGAAGCAAGGCTCCTCCAAGCCGCTGGGGGCTTGAATTGAAGCATTCAACGAGCGAATGTCGGCGTCTGTTATTTTCCCTGGCAGTGACACCTCGCTGCACGACCCAACAGAGATCTGGTTCCTCTTTCTGCCTTCTCCGGTGATTTTGGCAAAGAAGGGCGATCCTTTGATATGTTTTTCGCCGAATCGAACCGATATTTTGTATTCTCCTGGAGCTGTTGGAAGGTAAGAGACGGAGACAGTGCCATCTTTGTTGTCGTGGCAGCTGATTTCGGCCTTGCTGGGACCTTCGACGGCCATGGAAAGACCCCCATCGCCTGCACCTTTAGTGGAGATGGTAAAATTGCTAGGCTCTCCTGTGACCCCGTGAGTGAGGCCCGCGCCGTAAGCCGTGACGTAACCAGAACTAATAGAGTCCACATGGAACTTGTAGGGTGATCCTTGAACGTGTTCTCCATTGAATTTGACGGCTAATTCGTGAACGCCTTCTTCCCTAGGGTCGTACTTTATCGAAACTGTCCCGTCATGGTTGTCCTCGATTATGGGTCGGTCTAGTTTTCCGCTGGGCATTTTTACTTCGGCTGGAACGAGAAAAAAATTGTGTCAAAATAAAGAGACGCGCCGTTGTAGCGTTTGGCAGTCTGCCTGATGCCCATATTTTTATTAAGCCAAAATTAAAACTTTTTATTTTCTTGTTTTTGTTTGCGGAGGATGAACTGTGGATACCGCTTGTCACATAGATATAAACTTGTCTAAATATAGAAGTAATTTATATCGAAGTATTATGGTATTATTATTATGGAGAAAAGATTATTTTTGATTTAAAGTAAAATAAACAAGGATGTTGGTCATTCTTGAGCACATTACAGTATTTTTTCTTGAGCACATTACAGAAAATTAAAGAAAACATGAAAATATGGTTGCATTTTTTCCTAAATCCTAAAAATCTATGGTAATATAAATTCTATTTCATTCTTTGATGTTTATCATTAATTTCGATTAACGTCATATTTTTGCAGTAGTTAAAGTATCACATTTTTCGATAACTATTATAACCATTTCCGTTAGCACTGTACTAAATAAAATATGTTGTGCTTTTTTAACATTTTAAGACGGGAGTTATAAATATGACGTTAACAAAAAGTCTATCAATAACAATCTATCAAAGAATGAAAACGAAATTATATTGCCATAGAAACGCGTTTTTAATTTTAGGACTGATAAAAAATTCAACTATACAGGGTGTCCCAGAAATAAGTGCAAGTATTTTAACTGGTAGTATATAGGTTTTTTTTTGCAAAAAAAATTGAAAACTTGGAATTTTTTGAAAAAATTTTTGGAAATTTTTTTTAGTTTTAAGTTAAAAAACATAATTTTTTGATAATATGGCAACACAGGTAGTAGATTAAATTTACATAAAAGAAATTTCAAATCAAAATTTAAGCAAAAAAGCATTTTTTGTTTAAATTTTCAAAGTAAAATAACTCGGTTATATTTTGGACTTATTTGAAAAATGGTAAAGAAAAAAAATGTTTCTTTTAACAAGATCTACCTCCACTTAAAATACTTGCACTTATTTCTGGGACACCCTGTATTTTCAGTTTTTTTTAATTTTCTCTAAAACGGTATGGAAATTTGTAAAAGTATAAACGGAATTAACCATTTTAAAACAATTTTTTTATGAAAAATGCATTTTTTTATCAAAATCTCAATAATAAAAAAGCTTTTCTTTTTGTAAAGACAATCCGGGGACATAATGTATGTACTGAAAAAAGTTCGAAAAAATTACTAATTTTAAAAATTGGAATTTATAAATATTTTTTAAGGAATTATGATACTTATGAAGAACTTGTTACCGATTGAACAAAAAAAGTTAAGAATTAGAATTTCCATGTAATTCTAATTTTCATGCATTAATTTCAGCAACAATGCATGTGATAATCGTCTGTTATGCTATATCAGAGCTCTATAGTTATATTCCTGGAATATAGATCAAAAGAGAACAGCGTTATCTGACTGGAAAAAAATTGTAAAAAAACTGAGCCGGATATTTTCAACGCGCTTTTAACGAGCATGCTAAAAGAGCGCTTCCCGTTTAATTAATCGAAAAAGCTAGGACTATTTAAAGCGGCACACACAAGCCCACGGTCACTATTTTACCTTTCTGTGTATTTACAGCGAAGCACGAAAGAAACGTGATAGGAGTGAAGTCAACTCCAAAACCTTTACCACCGACTGGTAGAGACGGAACGTTCCTATAAACCACCGGATGCTCTTTTTTGTTCAGCTCCGAGTGAGTGACCTTTTTATATTTGGGGATGAAAATCCTAGTCACCTCGTTCCAAGTGGCTTGTGGAGGTTCGGGTACGTTAATCCAAGAGAACATTCTGAACGAAGAGCTTAAAACATAGTACTGGTACGGAAGAACGACAGATACGAAGTAGTGATTTGGCTACTTCGGACAAGATGTATCGAAGACTGACACTTGATGTTATGGAAAGGCTAGCAAATGTATTTGCAGCCGCACCGCTAGGGAATGTCTAAGGTGGAGATAAAATTCGATATCTAAAAATATCAAGATGCGGTTTTTCGTGTAAAAATTGCCAGTTGAAGATTCTTAATGCCGTCCGATATAAATAATATCAAGATGCGCGTGCAGTATCTTTCAGGATGCCCAATAAATCGCCGACTCGCCGTATGTACACAATAAAAAATGATATTTTTCAAGAGAAAATCGCATCTCCGGCTTAAAATACCCGTCGTACATTACGGATTAAGATATCTTGAATCCAAAAAATACTGTTGCTTAAAATATCCTCCTCGACCAAGAAAAACAAATAAAGCTGCTAAATATTTTACAGCTATACATCACCAATTATTTCAATAAATCAGATTTGTTATTATTCAACGGAAACCTGCTATACAGGGTCCGGCAATAGTGCGTCGGGCATTTGTAGCTCCTAGAATAAAAAACTTGAGAATTTTGTTTAAGTCCAAACCTAAAGTATGTACCAGGATGTATTTCAGGAAAATATTTTAACTTCTATAGGGTGGCTCAAAAAAGTGTGAGTGGACCTGGATGATTTTTTTTAAATGGAACACCCTGTATATTATTGCATTTTTGGCTTTCTTTCCGATCACTTTACATAAGTCTAAGATATGAATAAATACATTTCGATAGTTTCAGAGATATTAAAAAATAAATCAAAAATATAGATTTTTCAGCCCTTCTTAAACAAATTATTAAAAATACAAGGACTGTTCTGAAATCAAAACTATATTAGGTACTTACTTTAGATGGTCTGTACTTACTTTGCTATAAATATGAATATCGTAAATTATACAGGATGTTCAAAATTCTACGCCAAACTTTCTAAAATACAAAATAATTTTTCTTCGTTTTTTTAAATGGAACACCCTGTATATTATTTTTTCATTAGAGGGAGAATTAAAAAATGAACATTTTTCGTATTTAGAGTATTTCAAAATTTTTAACGGTTTTGCAGATATTTGCGGTTTTATATTTCATATGGCATTTTCCACAGTAAATTTTTATCAAAGCCACCTAATGATTTTTATCTCTTATTTTACCATTGAAAGCGCCATATGAAATAATACTGCGTGTATCTGCGAAACCGGTAAGAATTTTGAAATACTCTAAATACAAAAAATGTTCATTTTTAAACTCTCCATCTAATAAACAAATAATATACAGGGTGTTCCATTTAAAAAAACAAAGAAAAAATATTTTATATTTTAGAAAGTTTGGCGTAGAATATTGAACATCTTGTAGGATTTACGATTACCATATTTATAGCAAAGTAAGAATAGACCATCTAAAGTAAATACCTAATATAGTTTTGATTTCAGAACAGTTCTTGTATTTTTAATAATTTTTTTAAGAAGGGCTGAAAAATATATATTTTTGAACTATCGAAATATATTTATTTATATCTTAGGTGTATGTAAAGTGATCTGAAAGGAATCCAAAAATGCAATAATATACAGGGTGTTCCGTTTAAAAAAAATCATCCAGGTCCACTGACACTTTTTTGAGCCACCCTATAGAAGTTAAAATATTTTCCTGAAATATATCCTGGTATATACTTTAGGTTTGCACTAAAACAAAATTCTCAAGTATTTTATTCTATGAGCTACAGATGCCCGACGCACTATTGCCGGACCCTGTATATCTCTGGCTTATTTTAAGAAAAAATGTTTAGAAATATAAATCCATAGAATTTAAAAAGGGTATATTTCCAAAATAGAAAGTAAAGAAAATAGGAAATAGTAGGAGAATATATACAGGGAGACGCAGAAATAAGTGCAACTATTTTAACCGGTTGTAGTATATTGCGGTCTCAGAAACACGCCTATGAGGTATTTTTTGCGAAAAAAAGTTTTTGAAAATTTGGAATTTTTTTTTAGTTTTAGGAAACATAATTTCTTGATAATATGGCAACATAGGTAGTAGTTTAAATTTACATGAAAGAAAATCCAGAAAAGATCCAGTGGTTCTCAAAATTTTAGCAAAAAATCATTTTTTTTTCAACAGTAAAATAACGGTAAAGAGAAAAAAATTTTCTTTTGACCAGATCTGCCACCCCTTAAAATACTTGCACTTATTTCTGGGTTACCCTGTATATATTGGGTATAACTAATACACAGCTCGGGATCTCTACTACCAGAAATCAACAGGAGAATTAAATTAGCATTACTTACGGAAGAAATTCAATCATATTCAACAATCTAGAATGCCACTTTATCTATAGAAGAAAACATTCGACTAATGTGTACTACCAGTCATGACCTATGCATGCGAAACCTAACACTTAAAACGGACATTATAAGGAAACTACAGGTTGCACAACGCTCAATGGAGCGAAATATGCTGGGAATAACCAAGAAACACTGTAAAAGAATAGAGTGGATACGAAAAAAGATCCAGTTAATAAATTTTATCAGCAGAATCAATTCCCTCAGACTTGGGCCCGCTTAGTCAACAATGGACAACAATAGGCTCAATTACAAAGAGTGTATCTAAATATGTGAGTGAGGCTACACCATAATTGGAAATGGTCGAATAAGCTGAAAATGATGATGACATTTCCAAAAGAATTACACCACAAAAAACAAACTATTTTTCGTATTTATTTCAGGACTTTTTGTAGTTTTAGATATCCGAACTCTTGTGCTAATTCTTTTAAGTAAATTGCCATCTGCAATTAAATTTTTAACTGCTTTATGTTCATCTAATACTGACCTGTGACGTGCCCCCCTGTGCTTGGCAAAGGAATGTTATCTAAATTGACCGCCCTGTATTTTTTCTTCTCCGATGTTTTGCTTTGACTGACGCTGCTTTGCTCGGTTTTGCTCACCGATTCTTCAGCCTGCAATAAATCTTACATCAATATCAACAGGACATCGTTCGATTGGTTTTAATATGTTGAAGCCGAGCCAAATCCAAATAACAGAATATTATTTTATGTGTATCCCGCCGCGAAAATGATACCAAGCGTTAAGCTTCGCCAGTGTTGTTTATTCAAAAGCGAACAGTCTTCGTTTGGAATTTTTATTTGACAATAAACACATCGGAAAATGCGAAATTAGAACTGGTCTTTATATATTTAAAGTCGAAAATATGTTACATATATACAGGGCACAGCGCAAATAATTTAGTCATAATTACAGTCCGTAAATTATTTTTCCACTCCAGTTCTTCTCACCTAGAACTAAAATTGGATTGCAGGAGATATTTTCATTTGATATATTAAGAGCAGGTGGAATGTACTATATTTATTACCAGCCCGGACTGTTTTTAATATGATAGAAACGGCAATCATAAAAATTTTAATGACATCCCATGTCGCTAATGCAGATTAGAAAAAACGCCGATTCGCGCCGAACAAGAAATCGAAATAATTTGGCTCGGGACTGTATCATGCCATTAATCAACCATAACGAAATGTGAATAAATTCATCATAAAACTATTATGAATAATATCCAGACATTTTTCAAGCTCAAATCTACGCGCAAGTAATATTTTATCCTGTTTTTTCTTTTCGATCTTTTTTCTCAAATAATGACATATAGAGGACTTCCCTAATCGACAGTGGCAGTTGGTTTTAATACGATAGATGTTTACTAACATATTTTGCCAAACGGTAGAGATGTTAGATAGGTTTTCCCTTCTGGCCCAATGCTGTTCAAATCCACCTTCATTAGCCGATGTAAATATTCTTTTTTATTTCGTTTAATAGAAGATTGGCTTTTGTCCAGCTGCCTTCTGGCTAGTAATTAAAAGTAAAAATTAATTTCCTTCGCATGATTCGTTAAATTTGTATTTAAAAACAGCGCACTTTACAAAAAAATCTCGCTTACTGATTTTAGTATCTGCTAAAATATAGATCCATAAACATGTACAATCTATTATTGTTTGCAACTATGCCAAAATATTTTTTTAACACACGCAAAATATAATATTTTAACAAAAATCTATTAAATATGAACTTGTTTATTTTGCGACGATTATTTACAATAAGGCTAAGATAAATATAGATGCAATTCTATAAATAAATGTAGCAAAAGCTAGATGTTGCCTTAAGATAGAAAAAAAAATCAAATAATTGTTATTTTTTTAAAGGTCTAAAATTTTTCGTAAAGAAAAAAACAGCGGCTAGAAAGTGTTACCTTTTTCTTTAATAAGAAGGCAGTAAAGCTAAGTGAACACTATATGAACATACCTCCTTGTTGGAGCGCACTAATAGGCCACAAGATCAAAGACAATTAAATTATATGCATATGAAAATTTCGAAAAGCCGGTGGGTGAGGACAAGAGATCGGGCGTTTTCGAATCAGTTCGGGCGCTATAATTTTGTCAAAAATAGAGCTCAAGTAAAGGAACAAGAAAGAAGTCAAGGAACTGTTCCAGGATACGGAGAATGGTTACAGTCCGCATCGTAAAAGAGACCGTATTTGCGATTGAAAAAAATATATGTATATTATGTATACGTTCGAAGAATTATGATATAAATTAGATTTAGACAGGTGCGCTTAGAGGCGGCATCGTATGTCTTGGAGACGCCAAAAATCATCGTTAAGCTAGAAAATCAAATTTAACAGGACCGCACTTAATCATATTCATGTAGAGAAAAAAATCTAGTCAGGACGCATAAAAAACTGGTAGAAAGTTGAAGACGAAAGCGTAGAGCTGCCATCGGAACATTGAAAAATATGTTTACAAATAAAATTTACAGTTTTCTGTAAATTTATACTTTTTCTGTAAATTTAAATTTTTCTGTAAATTGCATGCGAAATATACTACCCAACAAGACAACGACGTCTCGGCATCCTGTTCGTTACTCGGCAGTTAAAAGGTAGCGTTGTTCTCTGTTCATCAGAGATTAGCCTTTTTTAGCCGATTACAAACTTAAGCCATATGTAATTTGCATAACAGGCTGCATAGACGGATTTTCACGTTACATTATCTGGTTGAAAGCTGGTCCAAATACCAGTGTCTGTCGATAATTATCATTTTATGACTCTTCTGAATAACTGGCGTACAACGGAGATCGATGGGAGCTGCTCGCAGAATAATGCACCACTTAAAACACACAAACTTACACTTTTTCTGTAAATTCTAAATTTATGCTTTTTCTGTAAATTTACACTTGTAAATATACGCATAAGAAGCGTATATTTACAATTTACACTTTTTCTGTAAATTCTAAATATACGCTTCTTATGCGTATATTTACAAGTATAAATTAACAGAAAAAGCGTAAATTTAGAATTTACAGAAAAAGTGTAACTTTACAGAAAAAGTGTAAATTTTTCTAAAATATTTTTCAATGTTGCGATGGCCGCTCTACGCTTTCATATGAAGAAGATCTTTTGTGGTTTAAAAAAATGGGATGGATTGCATATTTAATTCTTTGAATTTTAGTCGGTACATTTGATGAGGTTATCTATATTTTGCCGAAATAATATAAGTTAGTCAGGTCCAGTCCTGGATTATTTATGTTCAGAATTTTAATTCGCTGGCCCGTTCACCAGCCAAATTTTCGGAATGTTACATTGAACACAAAGTGCGAAATAATTTCCAACTTGTAATGCTATTTAGTATATTTGTTTCTTAATAAATAATTAGTGAATTATTAATAGATGTACATAAGATATTGTGTTCTTAATATAACACATGACATCTAAACTAATAAAATTAGTAATTGTGATTTTTTCTTAATAAAACATGCACACAATCACGTATTTACTGTAAGACCGATTTGAAATATGTCACGTGCGCATTAATAATACTAATTCGAAGCCTGTTTTATATATAGTTTGAAAGCAGGAAATATCAAAAATGAAATAATAAAGTAAATAGAAATGTTTATGTTGGATAGAGTCGTTTGATATTTTCCAGGAATTTTCACAGTATGTTTTTCTATAAGTTGTCTATTTATATTGAAAACTATTATTAATTGTTCTTACCATAAAAGTGTAAAAACCACCAGGAACCGTTTGTCCACCAAATTTAATATTAATTGTATATTCACCAGCATCTTCTACCTTATAAAATATGCTTACAGTTCCATCACCGTTGTCAACGATATTGATATCTAGATCGCTGCAAAGGGAAAAGTGATTTTATCACAGTTTCAGTAAGTTAATGAAAATACTAACCTTCCGTTCACTGATTTAATCCTACAGGTAACAGCGCCATTTCCTGCATCTTCGGTATTTAAAGTTATAGAATAAATTTCTGCAGTGGATAATGTTTTCTCCAACCCTTCTGTAATCGTACATTTTTCTGCCTAAAATAGTGAAATTGTACCAAGTGTTGTTTTAAGAGATATTTCTTAAAAATACGTACATTTCCGATGGCACAAGCTTGAATATGTACAGGTGTTATTGGAACATCTTTTCCACCATATTTAAGGTCCAATTTGTACCTTCCGCAGTCATCAGGGAGGAACGTTGCGTTTACTGTCCCATCTCCATTTTCGTGTATTTTCACTGGCCGAGGATGGCCATCTGGTCCTGTCACTTTCACCTCCAAATCACCAAAACCGGCATCGCTTGTGTCTATTTTTACCGTTGTCGGAATGGAAGCAGGAATTCCCTTTTCCGAGATACCGGGCCCAGTAATTTTCACTTTGTCAGCTTCCGCAGTGGGCTTGACTTTGATGGGAAACGGACTGTTTGGTACTGCTTTTCCGTTATACAAAATATGGGCTTGCAAATTCGTGCCCTCTACAGGTGGAATGTACGTCACGTCAAAGGTACCATCTCCGTTATCCTTGACTTCGGGTCTTCGTGAAATGGGCTCGGAATCGGAAGTAATGTTGACAGCGACTGGTGCTGGGCCCGCTTTCGACGCATCAATCTTGAATTTTGCAGGAATGCCTGCCCTGCACTTGTTGGGTTCTAAGCCAGGCCCGTACGCCTTTACGAGGGACTCGTCCACCTCTGCTCCTACCAACACCTTGAAAGGCGAGCCTGGTATGTGGTTGTCCGCGAATTTAATCGCCACGTCGTATTCTCCCGGTTCTGTGGGCACGTATTCGACCGAACAGGAGCCGTCACGGTTGTCCTTGCAGGTCATTTTGGCCTCTGATGGCCCTTCGATGGCCAAGCTTAAGCCTCCAGTGCCGGCACCTTTGGTTTCCACCGTGAAAACGTTAGGTTTGTTGAGCACACCGTTTTCTAAACCTGGACCGTAAGCTATACATTTTTTCGCGTCGCATCCTCTACGAACGTTGACTATAAAAGGCGAACCTGGCACAGGCACGTTGTCATAGAATATGTCGATGGTGTGTCGGCCTTCCTCGAAGGGCGTGTAGCTTACTTTGTAAGTTCCGTCAAGCAAAGCTGTTACTAGCTTTTCAGTTTGAGCTCCCGAAGGATTTGTTATGGTACATGTTACTTTTCCGTCATTGGTTGACTTGGGTATGGCTCTAGTGTCAACCAAGAAGTCAGTGGGCGAGTCAACATACACACCTAAATTAAAAATAAAGTTAAAAATATTACTCTAAATTTAAAATTTTATAAAACAACAAACATGCGTATAATGACTTTAGTACCATATAATAATAGTTATATTTTAAACATTGAAGCGAAAGCAATAACAGGAAAACAGAAATTTCATGACCTCTTATATCAGATTTAAGAAGCTACGGAATTAAAAAAAATATTAGTAAAAAATAAAATCGACATGAAAAAGGGAGGGCTAACAACAGTGGACTTGTCTTTGGGTTAATTAGTGAACATCAAATCAAATCAATCGTCTCTATGCACACCAGTTTACCATGTAGCTGAATGCCGCTGCCTGAGACCTTAATCATGTTCATATCGACCTCAGGTACGATGATGGCCTGGAAAGGGCTCCCAGGTATGTGATTTTCGTTGAAGGTTATGTTTATTCCGTAATCACCTACTTCGGTTGGTAAATAAGCGACAGACGCCGTGCCATCACCGTTGTCACGACAACTAATCGCAGCTTCACAAGGCCCTTCCACTGTAACACCTAATCCACCTTCACCGGCACCCCTCGTATCTATGACAAATTCTGCAGGCCTATTAACTATCCCTGTATGTAAACCTGGCCCAGAAGCTTTTACTTTTAGAGGGTCGCTGCCTGTGAGACATGTGAGCTTAAAAGGGCGATGTGATATGGGCTCCCCTCCAAAGGAAATTCCCAATAAATACTCTCCCAGTTTCGTGGGGGTAAAGTTCACAAGGTATCCTTCGTGAGTGGGTATTACGTGAGCTTTGATTTTGCTTCCTGATGGACTGGTGATGGATATTGCAAATTCAGCTTTCCCTGCGTCTTGAGTTATCACTCTAAATTGTTGCAGACTATTTATAGGAGCCGCTGATAAAGTTTTTTAAATTATAAAAATGTCATTCGGGATATATTAAGAATAATCTATATTTTCTTTGTGACTTACTGGGTTCTAATCCGTCCACTTTTATTTTGGATACGTCAACATTAGGTTCGACTTTGAACTTGATGGGGGTAGATGGCACCCTGAGTCCGCCGTAGTGCAAAGTGACAGTGTAGTTCCCGGATTCCGGCGCCTCATAGTCAACGGTATATGTCCTATCGCCGTTGTCAGTCAGTTTTAATGGCACTTCTTGATGCGTGTCGGCGTTTACTAAGTGGACATCCAGGTCACCATCCCCAGCCTCCCTAAACGAGTCAAAGATGATCAGATTACTCGAATTGTCATAATAGTCTTCTGAGATACGGCTGCAGGGTTGTTACGCTCACCATAATTTGTACGTATATTTATGAACAGGAGAACCCCTATTCATAAACATACGAAAATTTAGGTTTTGATTAAAAATATTATGAGCGTACTAATCCTGCAGCCGGATCCTGTACTATAAAGGACAGAAAAATACTTACCGGGCGTCAACATTGAAATGCGTTGGTGTGCCTGCTTTGACACCATCTTGAATTCCAGGTCCGAAACAAGAAACTTTTGAAGTATCGGCAGGTTCACCTACATAAATCCTAAAGGGAGAGTTCTTAACCGCAACTCCCCCGTAGTTTACTTGCACGGTGTGTCTGCTTCCGCTTCTTGGAGTGTAGGTTCCTTCGATGATGCCTTCGGACTTTTCAATTAGTTTCACGTCGACTTTGTTACAGTTGGAATCTGTCACTCTGACGTCCAATGGAGCCTGGCCGGCGTTCTTCGTCTCTACGGTGAATTTGGTTGGCACGTTTTTCTGTGGGCCGTTGGGCTCCACGCCAGGGCCGTATACTTGCACCTTTTCGGGAAAATAGTCTGTGTTGGGCAAAATTTGAGCAATGTAGGGACTTCCCGGGACGTCTTCGTTGTCGCAGAGGATGTGAACAGCGTATTCGCCAGCAGCGGTGGGGTAATATCGCACGTCAGCTGAGCCATCGCCATTGTCATGGCATTCGATTTTGGCTTGAGAAGGACCTTGGATACTAAAACCTAAGGCACCGCTTTCCCCGTTGGTTTCGACTGTGAATAGGGCGGGGTAGTTTATGACTCCACCAACTAATCCAGGACCGTATGCCTTGATGAGGGTTTCTTTGTAAGGCCCTACATTGACCTCGAAGGGAGATTTGTGAATCTCTTGCCCGGCAAAAGTGATCATAATTCTGTAGCGACCTTCTTTTAGAGGCTGGTAACTACAGTGGTACGTATGGCCCTCTACTTTCGACATTCGACAGTTCTCGCGAACTCCTCCGGGGCCGATGATTTGTACCTCTGGATACCCCTCGCCAGCGCCTTCGGTATATATTTTGAAATCGGCTTCGTCCTTCACCCTCACACCGTTGGGTTGCAGTCCTCTTCCACTGGCTCTTACTTTCCTTGGGTCTGATACTGGCGACACCCTCACTCCAAATGGACTGTTGGGGATGGGTTGACCAGCGAAAAAAATATTTACAGAGTGTAGTCCTAGGACTGTAGAGAGATACTCGCATCGCCATACGTCAGGGCTGGTCTGACGGACCTTTACTGGCACCGAGTTTTTGTTTCCTGAAGGATCAAGGATGATTACTTCTGGAACACCTTTTCCAGCATCTACAACAATACATTTAGTAAGAAAATTTATAAGAACCGCAATAATACAAGTCCGTACTTTTAGTGGAAATATCAAAATATGTAGCTTTCTTTATACAAACACCATCTGGTTGAAGACCAGGTCCAGAAGCAGTTACTTTAGAAGGATCTCCAGCATGGCCTTCTACTTTAACAGCAAACGGACTTTTGGGAACCTCTCTTCCAGCATATGTGACGGAAATTTTATGGGTACCCTCCATTTGAGGAGTGTACGAGACGGTGTAGGTGAGATTTCTGTCATTGTTAAAACGAACGTCAACTGGTTCTTTTTGTCCTTTGGGATTTTCTACCACCACATCTACGTGACCTTTACCAGCGGAGAAGGTTTCGACTGTGAAATTGACAGTAGCACCAACTACAGGTCCTGTTGGTTCAACGCCTGGACCGTATACACGAACCCTGCAGTAAAATATCAGTTAAATGTTTATACAGGGTGTCCCAGAAATAAGTGCAAGTATTTTAAGGGGTGGTAGATCTGGCCAAAAGAAACATAATTTTATCTTTACCATTTTTAAAATAAACAGATAATACCGAGTTATTTAACTTTGAAAATTTTAAAAAATAATGGCAACATTTTTAGAGCCGCCGACTACAAACGATAATGAGCCGCAAATACCAAGCAATTACCAGAATCTCAGCTGGTTAACACACCGACTTGAAAGATTTAAAAACGACTTGGAAAATTCAGGCTAAGCAAAAAACTTACCTATCATTTAAAAACATTATGTTAGATTAGTTAGCGTCGTTTTATCAGTTTACCTAAAACCGCAACTCTACTCAAACAAACAGTTTATTTCACTGAGATTCTTGACTGCACTACAATTACACGTGTATTTAGCACCAAATACATTCATATGCCATCTGTATTATGTAGGATTATTTTTTGAGAACTTAAACTCCTCTGTTTTTCTATCTCACACCTTCCCCCTCTATTATAACTTATAAACATACAGAAAGTAGATAACGTAGGAGGTGGCAACATTGCATTCTCTCGAACGACTATAAACAAATTTTCGGAAATTGAACAAGCGGCACTCAAAATGTTTTCAATATTTTCCGGAAAATATCACACATTTTTTTACAAAAATAAAACTCATGGACACGTTTCTGAGGTCGAACTATATTACCAGTAAAATACTTGCTCTTATTTCTGGGACACCCTGTATATTATTCCTGTTGGCGCAAAAAGGCGCAATGCATTTCTTATAATCAGCGAATGCGTTGTTCCTTTTTAACTCACTCAAACATAAACGAAAAATTGAACGATACAAAAAAAAACATTAAAATTGATAAAACACGCTTGAATGATGTAAAGGCTAAAGTATAAAAATAATGAGCCACCTCGTATATAACAAATATTTTGCAGTTGTAATAGAAAAAAAATATGTCATTATAATCTTTGGGTGGTTTACCATATTTATACACTTTTGAAGCAAAAATTTTAAATATTTAAATTTAAAATATGTTTACTTAAATTGCCCAATCCTGCTAAGTAGTTGTAAAATTCGTTTGTTTATATAACGTTATTAAATTAGATAGTTTGCTTGAGCAATATTACTATGCTAGACAAAAACAAACTGTATGTATGCAAAAATTCGCAAACCTTATTTTTATTTAAATATCTTACTAAACATTTTTCGCGTTGTAAATCGATACAGAAAGTACAAAAATGAGTTACTGGTAAAAACTATACCCTAATTCGAATATGTTTCCTTTTACCAGTATTTATTGTTAAATTGGCAAAGTTGTTAGTAAGAGCTATGTCATGTCGTGAGGAAACACCAATCATTTGTGTTAACGAAGGCCTTTTTCAATTTTCTCTAATGCCAGACTTACCTAGGCGGCGGAATTCTGATCACATAAACAAAGAAAATAGTTAATAAATTTCATTCATGTTGCTTCTAATTATATTACAAATATAATGCCAATATTTCTTTAAATTTGTGTTAACTGTCCCACTAAATATTTTGGGAATGAACTTACTTATTTGGACTAGTCCTAGGTCTCAGTGGCGCGCCAGGTTTAAGTTTCGCGTTGGGATATTGTGACAAATAAGTCATCATAGACTGTTCATCTATGTTGGGATTAACTATTTCCTCCGGTTTGATTAACTCTGGAATATTTAGCCAGTCGTCTGCCAAGCCCATGGCTTCTGACGCGTTCTGAATCGAATCCCTGGGGTCCCAGTCCTAGAAAGCATTTTTTTGTAAAACTAAAGTATCCGTAATGTGCGATGTCTTACCGGCCAATCAGGGCATAAACCAGGAGCTACTGAGTCCACCAAAGCCCCCACAGCCTTGCCATCGTTCCAGTCTGTAGTGAAATTTTTTATCGGCAAATCCGGCACTTTGCTTTGGATCCAGTTCATTAAGCGCTGCTTTGGTGTGGGTTCTGTTCCTCCATTGCCCATATCGTCCTCCCCTTCCCACATGGGCAATGAAATGGAATAATGTAAAATAAGCGTCCATATCAGTCCTAGAATTAGTTTCAATTTGCAGTCTACAATATGGCTGGAATCTGTAAAAAACGACGAAGGCTAGAGTTATTTTTTGTGAGTCATATACCGGGTGCGTCTCAAAAGTGGCTCACCCCTATAACTTTTTTATTTTTACAGTTAAAAAAACGTGATTTGGTATGTTAAAATATGACATAAATTAGGATTGATTGACGTATTCAATTGATTTCGGTCACTTCCTGTTTCATCGGAAATTACTACAACGTTTGATTTTTAAATGGCACCCTCGGTATTTTTCTACTTTATTTGATAGAAGTATGGAGGGTAGCTCTACCCTCCATAGATAGAAGATGACACTCTGAATAGAATGACATATCAAATGTCAACATTTGACATTTTCGAATATGGTTTATTTGAAATTGTAACATGTGGTTCATAACGAAAATTTGAGTCGAAATACCAAGTGTGTGGTATCAAATTATTTGTAAAAAAATGTTTTTTCCAGATATGATAATCAGCCACCCTTGTTCCATTTGGAAAAATTGAGATATGATTAAAAATACGATTTAGGCATCTTTTAACAGGCCAGGATAAGACAAAAAAAACATTAGACGATCAAATCTATTTTTCCAACTTCTTGATTAAAAATTTGTGTTTTTAACATAGCCATGGCACTCTAGATTAAAATTTAAAGTACAATTTTTTATTAAGCGAGTATTACAGTTGAGGGTTGGAACCTTTGGTGTTACACAGCAAAATAAAAACACTAAATCACCACAATACACCAAAACACTTTTACTTTTACACTGGATGTTAGCATCAAGCAGTTTATAATCATCTGCTGATGATGCTAACATGGTTAGCGAAACGCGCGTCCAGTGTAAAAGTAAAAGTGTTTTGGTGTATTGTGGTGATTTAGTGTTTTTATTTTGCTTTAAGCGAGTATGTCAAAAGTTGACATATGATATGGCATTCTATTCAGAGTGTCATTTTCTATCAAATGAAGTATAAAAATACCGAGGGTGCCATTTAAAAATCAAAAGTTGTGACTGAAAACAATTTTATTGAATACGTCAGTCAATCCTAATTTATGTCATATACTAACATACCAAATCTCGTTTGTTTATCTGAAAAAATAAAAAAGTTATAGGGGTGAGCCACTTTTGCGACGCACCCTGTATATTTTAAATGATTATGGGCCGTTGGCTTTGATTATTCGCGGTGAAAATTAGGCGTTGTGCAATTAAATCAATTAAATTTTGGTACATCATCCTTGAAGGCGGTCGTATTTGGTCTAGATAGACGTAAACCGTCGCGTCGCTGCCTTGAAAATTCTATCGAGACATAAATGGCCTAGTTTGAAAAAGTAGTGGCCACATTAACGGAATTCGAAGAGAGGCAAACTGTAAAACGATTTTCTAAAGATGGGCTGATGCATTTTCTATATATGTCAAAAGATATATCAAACAGTAAATAAATTAAGAGCAGCTAATGCATAAGAGCAGGCTAATGCATACATTGTTCGAACCGTTCTTCGATTCGAAGAAGAATTACGTAAGCCTGGTCCAAGGGCAAAAGTCGACAGACGTGAAGAGTTTTTGCATCTTAACACCACATAATATTTATACTACCACTAACGTGTTAAATCAAGAATCAAGAAAGGATTCTACAGTGCCGGAATATTAAATCCGGAAAAATGATAATTTTCAAAGAATTATGCCGTCTTCCTTTTTTTTAAACGGTGACGCCAGCTATGACGATATCTCCATTACCAAGAACTTCAAACATAGCCCCAATGACCCTATAAGATGATTTCACACCGCAAATATTTTAGATGTGATTTCAGTTGTGTTTACAGAGTCGAAAATATGAAAAAGCACTTTAGATAGAGAATAAAATCAAATAAAATTATCAAAAACTTAAATTGCAACACGTTAAAAAAAATCACACAGATAGATAAAAATCGTTACTTAATTATACCACAAGGCCGGTGCCATCAACAATAAGTATTTACCATAAATAGTCGCGTTATACTGGACATCTACAGGGTGTTTCAAAAAATATGTGCCATCTCTCGTGGGGAGATTCCTCACGTAGAAATAAAATGTATTTTTCATATCGGCATAGCTACGGGGGTTAATATCTTATTAAAAAAAATTAATATCATTAACTTGCAAAAGTGTTAAATAAGTACTGATTGATTCCCTTATCAAAAAATATGAAAAAAAGTTCCCATAAACGTAGGTATGGAAATGCATAGTTTTAAAGATACACAATGTTAAAACTTTTTAAAATTAGGTCTTCTGTAATTATCTTAAATAACATTACTTTTTTACTTGGATTTGCGGTAGGTTGGTTTCAATAAATTGAAAAAAAAATGAAGACTTTAAAACCCTGCATCTACAAAACAAAGCAGAATCGGACCTATGTTGATATGAAAAATAAATTTTATTTTAACGTGAGGATTTTCCACACGAGAGATGGCATGTGTTCTCAAACACCCTCTATATTTAATCATATAACCAGTTTGTAAATATTTAATTATTAACGGTTAATTTTGAAATGTCTTAAACAAATAAATTTAAAAATAAGTGACAAAAAAACGTTTTTCACCTTCGTCTTGGTACGCATATTTAATTAGCATCCTTTTTTATATTAATAGATGCCCAATCAAAAATAGTTATAGATAAAATAGCTCCCGATAAATCACCGGCATTTTTCAGTCTAGTATGGGATCAAATGATTTTTGGTATAGTTAGACGAAGTAAAACGAAAATGATGAATAATATTGAACAATCTTCCTGCGTAAAGTGGCTTAAATGACTCTGTATGACATGGCTAATGGCATGACATCATTTATTCTATTTATTAAAAAGAATATGGGTCTGTTTAACATCCAAATAACAAGAGGCCTCATGAATGGATGCATTCTACGTCGACCGAAAAATGTATAAAGCGATAAAGAAATCTATCTGTGTCGATAAATAAGTATGTTCTTAAATAAATGTTTTAGTGTGTTTTAGTGTTTCTTTTAAGTAAAATCATTATTTTCAATTGCAAAAAGGAGAATAGTAAAAATATGCTTCTGTAATACCAAATTTTTTGAATTTTATAAAATTGAATTGTTGAATAATAAATTGTTTATAGTTTAGTTATGGAGGAAGAAAAATAAAAAAGTTGCTAAAAATAGAAATGAGTGAACGTATAGTGAATAATATTTCGTTAAAATCATCATGGTCACTTTAAATGATTAACAGAAACGGTTTTATTAAAATTTATTCCTTTAACGGACTTCATTGATTTAGCTACCTATACCTAGGCGTCTGTATGCATTTTTTTAATGTTTCTAATAATATTTTACTATAAATAATTTAAAAGTACGAAACATATTTGTACAAATCTGAACGTTTGCAAGGTACGGGAAATTAAATAAACAAATTGTTATACAATTTACTGATAAGGTGCAGAGATATCTAAAAATACATATTCCATCATTTTAATAGTTTTTTTTACCGAATACACACAGCAATGTATAGAAATTACCACATTAGTTCATTTGGTTAGTAAAAAACTACAGCAGCCTTATCAGTATATGCGCTATAAAATATTGACTTTTTTATACAGGGTGTTTTAAAAAACTTAAATTAAAAAATAAGATTTATTTTTATTAGATATATTATCCGATTCTGCTTTGTTTCATAGTTACAGTTCTTTTTTTATCCATTTATTATAATTTTCCTCCAAGTGCTTTTGGCCAATTCGAATTAAATTTTACGGGTAAAAGTTATTATAAGTGCGATTCCCCTAGGAGGTGCAAGATCTTGTCGTTGGTGGAGGAGTTCCTAGTCAGGTGCTAGGAGGAATCCCTTCTAGCACTTTAGCTGAGTCTAAGGAGCATCTCGCTGTCTTGTCCCTGGCTGTAGTGTCGAGGCTAGGGAATTGCACCAAGACATATAACGATAGCGGATCTGACTACCCTGTCCGTCATACCTATAGTAATATACTTATAGTAACTCTTATCGTCAAAATTTTATTCGAATCGTTAAAAGCACTTGGAAGAAAATTATATAATACCTAATTCAAGATAAAATGAAGACTTTAATTTTCTGTTGGATCTATGTTGATATGAAAAATAGATCTTACTTTTACGTGACGAATCTCACCACGAGAGATGGCACATGTTTTGAAACACCCTGTATATAAAGTATAACTACTATAATTTTAAACCCTTCATAAAGTTGTCTCCTCATCTAACAAGTGTTGTATATTTTTCAAAAATTTTTCAAGTACATAAGATTTGATTTTTTTTTGAGTTAAACGTATTTAAGTATATAAATGGAATGAAAAAATTTGTTTTTGTTTACTTACCAATATTAACAATCCGAATGCCTTCCTCTTCTAAAAACTTAAGAGCTACGGAAACGTTCTCCAGTTTCTGCGACCTGAAAGACGGTTTCTTGTTGTGTTTAGGCAGCCTCTTCTGGGAGAGCACCTCGATGAGGGTGATGAGCCTCAGACCGTCGCTGAGGTCCGTCTCCAGGTTGCCGATGTGCTTGGAGACGGTTTTGAGGTGCTCGTTGGCCCATCTGGTGAAAGTGTTTTGCTGGATCTTCTTCCATTGGGCATCTTCGGCCAATTCCCGTTCTGTTGTTACCATCTCGTCGTCTAAGTCGTCATCGGCATCGCGCTGTAGAATGCATGCCGGAGCGGAGTCAACCGGTCTCAAACCGGTGTCTCCGCTTTGGGGGGGATAGGAGTTCATCTTGCTCGATCACTGATGGTACCCCGCGCACCGGCGCACTGACCACTTAATTCACGGTAACCACCCCTGAGGAAGGGATGAAATTAAAGGGCGGTTAGATTTTTTTACCCCAACTTTTTTTTACTCCCCCCCCCCCTAGTGAGATGTCGTGAATTTTAAAAATTACAGCATTCGTAGAAAATTTTATGTAGATTCAGAATATATACATTTAATTAAATTTTTATATTACTGTCAAACCTTAGATATGTTGACCTTTTGAGAAAATTAATTCTGGTAAGACTTTATATAATGGCCTATATTTTCTTATTCTACGCCTTTTAATTAGTAAATAATAGCAGTTTTAACAAAATGAAAAAAAGTCGAAAAAATGCCCAATTTTTGGTTATATTTTATACATTTTCAAGTGCCTTAGAAAAATAGCAATCATAGTCATAAAATTATGAAAATTTCAGCATTTGTAGCAAATTTTATGTAGATTCAGAATATATAACTTATTAACCTTTAAAGGCTTAGATATCCTGATCTTGTGAGAAAATTGATTTTTTGGTCCCTTGTTTTTAGCTATTTTTGATGATGGTTAAAACGTCTACATCCATTATAGTTCTCGTAAGACTATAATGGCCTATATTTTTTTATTCTACGCCTTTTAATTAGTACCTATCAGCAGTTTTAACAAAACACACATGTCCAATTTTTGGCTATATTTTTACACATTTTCAAATGCCTTAAAAAAAATAGTAATCATAGTCTTCAAATTATGAAAATTTCAGCATTTTTAGCAAATTTTATGTAAATTCAGAATATGTACACCTTTGAAGGCTTATATATCTTGATTTTGTGAGAAAATTATTTTTTGAACCCTTGTTTTGACCCAGTAGCTTATTAATTTAAATATTATTGATTCATGAACATTGGAAAGCTTTAACACATTTAATGAGAATTATATTCAATAAGTTTATTGCCATCTTATCAATAAAAACAAAGACGCTTTGTCCAAGAAACAGCACCATTATCTGTCGACCCATTTATTAATCAACAACTAAGAAAAATCTACAGAGTAAATATAATTAAATTAAGTACAGGGAAAGAAATACAATACATATTTGCAATTTCGGAGATGCATGTCCACCAAATTAATTTATATAACATAAAATCTCGGTAAATTCTAAACCACTTAGCTCTAATCTGAATTACTATTTACAAATACTTAATAATTTCTAATAAATTTTAAATTATAGGATATTATTGTCATACAGAATTTGTTTTTGCAGGGCAGGTATTTTTTATTCGAATATTTATTGCCATACACATATGCAAACGTATTTAATACAGAAATATCAATACCCTTATTAAAAAAATTAAACGCGCTGTGCCTGGCGCATTCGCCAAAAAACTAAACTTTTTGGCAATTTTTTTAGTATAATTTTAATTTAATTTATTAGTAACCAATAACAACTGATGGCAATTTGCTCAAATTAGCGGTAAAACCAGACTATGTTCTTTCTGTTATCTATGTTTCTCAAAACCTTATCTCAAGCGGTTTAGTAACAGGAAAAAACCACATCCGTTTTTTTGTCTATAAACAATTCCCTGCATTTGATTTTTAGATATAAAGAAACTAAAAATAAAACTTTTGCTGTGAAGAAATTCCTGGCAGATTTACTTCAAAGAGGCAGCTTAGCTCGGTTTAATTGTTTACAAAGATTATTTGAATTTTTTTAGTGAGTAAACGAAACATAAATACATATTTCTTCATTTGAATTTCTTTAAAAAAATCCAAGACTGTTTTTTATAATTATATTATACGTTTTATTACTAAACTCTTTTATAAATAATTACTAAAAAAATATTTAATACTAGTAATGAATCGATTAAATTTTTATGTTAAAATTTTATAATTTATATAATCAGATACCTATATTATTTTCTCTATCTGAAAAAAAAATTAAATATAGTTTGACCACGTTTTTTGATATGAATCATATTTTAAAATACACGGATAATCCTTAATTCTCCAATTTTTTGATTACGAAAAAATCTCGGATTTATTTGTTTTATTTTAACATTCGCCTAAAAGAATTTCCTAGGTTTATTATTGTTATATAAAAAAATAATTCCACATTTTCTGGTTAAATGAAAGTGCAAATTCGAATTTTATTAGCGTGTCCACAAAGCGGCCAAAAATACCCCTAAATGTCAAGAGCTCTCTAGTTTTATTAACAATTTTGTTTTGTACTAATTATACAGCGGTTAAAAATATCGACTGCTTTGAAAAATCGCAGCGAAAGATAACATATAAGCACTAGAAAAAAAAATGTAAAAAACCAAAAGCCGAATGCTTACCTATTCAGATTGATTTAAGAGAGAAAACTTAAAAAATTATCCTTAAAATCATTGCACTTTCACAGATTTTCGTGCTGGATACGAACGATCAACTCTGACTAAAGATATGTTCAAAACTAAGAATAGATCTCCGTCCATGAGTTAGTTGTTTATAGATTGTCTCATTAAAGTTAACCCCACTTTTTTAAAGTTGAATCCCCATTTAAGTCAGTTATTTTTACACCTTTGTACCGGCACTGTACTTAAGAACAATTATTCTCTTTATAATAATAATTATAATTTCGTTTCTGTACCTTTCAAATTTATTTTCTAGTCTGAACAACAGGCGCGCTCTTTGACTTGAGGCGGAGTTTTTTGGAATTTTACTGAAATTTTTAAAGAAAATTAGTTGACCTACATAAAAAAAATGGCATTGGCAGTTCTAGCACTTAGCCATATGCCAACAATTTCGGACGACTTTTTGTTTAAATCTAATGTCTCTTTTCCGCGGATTTATCAAAAAAATCTCCAAATGAAAATGAAATTCTTCACAAAGCCACTGTACCATGTCGACACATTTTTTTACTGAACATTTGGCGCGATATAATAGCCGATTCTGAGTAATGCGACCTAAAAAGAAATTTCATTTTCTTCCAAATAAGGCTCTGGTTCGGACTTGACCAATCTAGCCAGTTAAAAACAACATATGTTATCAAGTTGCTTTAAACCTCTTATTTTGATCTTGAAATACAAATTAAAATACCTCTTACAATTAACCGCGCGAACAGAAATAAATAAATAAAAATGTAGAAATTTTTGTCGATTATTCTTAAAAATAAAACCGGTAGTAGTAGGGAGGCCTGAGATGCTAAATGGGAATTCGCTCCCGGACCAATATTTTTTTACTACTCTGATCGCCTGCCCTACACGCTTGAAGAAAATGCCCATTTTTTTTTTTTTTTTAATTTTTAAAGGCCTTATAAAAATAGTAAACATAGCAATAAAATTATGAAAATCTCAGTATTTGTAGCAAATTTTATGTAGTTTCAGAAATAAAGACTTAGATACCTTGGTTTTGTCGGAAAATTAATTTTTTGGACCCTTGTTTTGAGCTATTTTTTATGACGGTTAAAACGTCTGCTATGTCCATTATTATTATCGTAAGACTACAATGGCCTATATTTTCTTATTCTACGCCTTTTAAATTAGTAAATAACACTAGTTTTAACAAAATCGGTAAGATGACGAAAATCGCCAATTTTCACAACTATGTATGAAAAAAATTCGGAAAAATGCCCAATTTTTGGCTATACCTTAGTCATTTTCAAATCCCTTATAAAAATAGTAAATATAGCAATAAAATTATGAAAATTTGAGCTTTTGTAGGAAATTTCATGTAGATTCAGAATATGTACTTGGTTTTGCGGGAAAACTAATTTTTTGGACTTTTGTTTTGAGCTATTTTTGATGACGGTTAAAACGTCTCCTATATCCATTACTATTCTCGTAAGACTACAGTATATATTTGATTATTCTACACCTTCTAATTAGTAAATAACAGCGGTTTTAAAAAAATGGTGACATGACCAAAAATGGCCAATTTTCACGACTGTGGAAACTAGTGGACTATGGAAAACGTATAGAAACTCATGGACAACGTATGGAAAAAAGTCGAAAAAATCTCCATTTTTTTTGCTATTTTTTACACATATCCAAAGGCCTTAGAAAAATAGTAAACATAGCCATAAAATTATGAAAATTCCAGCATTTGTAGGAAATTTTATTTAGATTCAGGACATACACACCTTTAAAGGCTTATTTATCTTGGTTTTGTGGGAAAACTAATTTTTTGGATCCTTGTTTTGAACTATTTTTGATGATGATTAAAATGTCTTCTACATCCATTACTGTTCCCGTAAGATTTCAATGGTCTATATTTTCTTATTCTACGCCTTTTAGTTAGTAAACAACAACAGTTTTAACAAAATCGGTATAGGTAAATCGGTAAGTCTTTTGGTTTTGTAAGAAAGTGGGTTTTACGAAAGGAAGTCCAACTCTGTTATTATTTCTTTCCAATCCGTATTTTGAATCTAATCATATAAATGTATCATTTATGTATAGGGGTGGGGGGGGGGGGTACTTAACAGAGTGCAATGTGTCTCCCCTTGTTATTTTGCCGTGCTTGAGTAAATCCCAAAATATCCGCTTGGGCTCTCCTACTATAGTAGGATAGTAGGTATGTTGTTAAATAACCCATTATGTTCTCATATTTCGTTTTTGTATCACCAATTCTGCTTTATGACCGGATATTAGAACAAAAGGCTGAAACACAGGAAGCTTTACATGGACATGCGAGTACCCAGATCTGAAAAATTGTTTTTGATGACAGTTTCAGTTCAACAAAAATATGTTGCGTGTAGTATTTGCAATATAAACCCTCTTTTTGATTTACACATCAGCAATGCGTATATGCGATTTTTTTCTTTGTTTTTCGTTCATGATGAAGATCGGTTTCGGTCAATTGTGGCAGGATCGGAAAATCGTTGTGTCAGTTAAACAAGGACTTATAGAAGGCGTAAGATATAAATTAGGCATAAGTAAATTAATTTTAATTCGTGTAATTATACATGCAGAAAACTGAATACACCGAGTCGAGAAAAATTGTTAACAGCTTTCTTGGAGTGCCTTATGCAGCTCCTCCCGTGGGAAATCTTCGGTTTTCTCCTCCTCAGAGACATCCGGGGTGGAATGGTACTTACCAAGCCACAAAACACCCTCCAAGATGCGCGCAATTACCCATCAAATCAAATTACAGCGAAGATTGCCTTTACTTAAACATTTGGTCTCCAGTGGTATAAAGCCTTAATCCTTTTATTAAAACGCATGCACATAAAAATACACACGGTGTCAAAAAAATAATGTTTCTCTTATGAACCTATGCTCTAAAATGCTTCCCAAGAACTTACAGCACTCGAAAGGTTAAATCAAATAATATATTTTATTTATTTTTAAGAACATTGATAAACCATTTTATTCTGAATATTTTTCGAGGACTGTAACTTCTTCAGGAATTATTTTAATCATATGTTCATAGGAACTTTTTGTTTTATTTCTATCCGTAGAATCACCCTCCAAAGTTAGATACATTATTTTTTGACACCCTGTATATTTTTAGAGCACGGGAAGTTACGCACCCTTGCCTGTAGTTGTTTTGTTCGAAGGCATTGATTTTTTCCAAAGCAGCGACTTGCCTTACTTGCCAGGGCAAGATTTTTCATCGGAAGGAGTCATATTGGTTACAGTGAATTACCGACTAAATATCTTTGGATTCTTTTGTCTTGGAACTAACGAAGCTAGAGGGAATTTGGGACTTTTAGATCAATACTACGCGATCGTCTGGATCAAAGAGAACATAAAGAACTTTAGAGGTGATCCAGAAAAAGTGACTCTGTTTGGATGTTTATCCGGAGCTGTGAGTGTGGCTTTGCATCTAATTTCACCGAGAACCTCTGGTTATTATAAAGCTTTTACCGTTTCATTTTTTTTTAAATCATGATATTGTAGGTCTTTTTCAAAGGGCTGTTCTAATATCGGGTAGCGCTTTAGCCCCATGGCAGGTAAATAATGACCCAATAGCAGCCTCAAACGAAATGCTACGAATCTTAGGATGCAATTTGTACACCACCGATTATTTAAGGTGTTTGCGAAGCAAAAAAACCGAAGATATATTGCAGACTTTACAAGAGTACTCCGAGGTAAAGTTATGATAATTTAAATTATTCTGTTAATAATATAATGTGTGTTTTTAGTCCTTGCAGTGGACTGATGCCTTTTTACCTGTAGTAGATAACTTTTTACCCGAGAATAATCGTTATCTTCCTTACGATCCTTCAAAAGCCTTTAGGGAAGCCACTTTCTTTCAAGTACCGATACTAACAGGGATCAGTAAACCGATCACCTTTCCAGAAACAAGTATTGAATAAAATCAAATCAATATACAGGGTGGTCCGAACCGAACTGTATTCCGGAAACTTCGGAAGCATATTCTGCACATAAAAATAAGTAAAAAGTTTGTATAAATGTACTTCCTAAAATGCTTAGTCTCGGAGATACAGGGTGTAGAAGGTTTTTTCAAATAATTTTTGAAGTAACGTCAATATTTGGATGAAAATTGGTACCTGGGAGTTTTTTCACATGAAAAATTTGATTTTGATGTCAATATAACTCCTGCTTCTAGAGGGCGCCACCTACATATGTTTTAACTGGTTTGAAGTGTAATAACTTTTCGTCCGTACCTGTATAAAACTACCGAGTAAAAAAATATACATTTGTGACGTTTTTTACGTAAAAAAAGTATCTTGGTAAAAATCGGAATATTTGGAACCGAAATTATCATATATTTTTGCACTACGTAGTTTTATACAGATACGGACAAAAAACAGTTAAAATACATGTAGATGGCGTTCCTTAATAGGAGTCATATTGACATCAAAATCAAATTTCTCATGTTAAAAAACTCCCAGGTACCAATTTTCATCCAAATATTGACGTTACTTCGGAAAGTATTTGGAAAAAATCGAAATAAGGGGGCGATTCCTTGTTCAAAATAAAGGGTAGTTTGCTTCATAAACGTTGGGTCAAAAGTCAACCATTCAGGGAGTGTTAATGTATTGCGTCACCATTAAGATGGCGGAAAATAATGTTTTTATTTTTTTTATCTTGAAAACGAAAACGAAAGACTACCGAAATTTTATGAGTATTGCTGTTATGAAAACACACTTTCTGGTATTTTTTCACTTTTAAAATGAGTGGATGGGTTGAAAATAACCTCATCATTTTGTTATCGAAATTTAAAGAGAAATCTTATCAAACACATGCAAAAAATTAATTTGGATAGCTTGGTTTGTTTAGAAACTTTTTTATCTCTTGTATTTTTTTGATAAAACTCACCGATTTGAAATTAAAAAATAAAATGTAAAGCATTACATGTCAGGACAAAAGACATTTTTAGATAAAGAATCTAGCGGGCTGCTCTAATTTTTTTAGGAAAAAATCTAGTGGGCCGCTGTCACTTTTTAGGATGTTTCTAATATTATTTTATTGACATTACTCTACTGCAATACGTTATTATCTAGATTCTTATTATTAGCGTTATTATCACTAGATTCTTTATCTAAAAATGTTTTTTATCCTGACATATAATGCTTTACATTTTGTTTTTTAATTTCAAATCGGCGAGTTTTATCAAAGAAACACAAGAGATAAAAAAGTATCTAAACAAACCAAGCTATCCAAATTAATTTTTTTGCATGTGCTTCATAAGATTTTTTTTAAATTTCGTTAACAAGAATGATAGGGGTAGTTTATTTCAACCCCTTCCACTCATTTTAAAAAAGTGAGAAAATTACCAGAAAGTATGTTTTCATAACAGTAATGCTTCCATAAAATTTCATTAGTCTATCATTTTTCGTTTTCAAGATAAAAAATAAAAACATTATTTTTCCGCCATCTTTGTACCGCGATATCTCCCTAATGGTTGACTTTTGACCCAACGTTTATAAAGCAAACTACCCTTTATTTTGAACAAGGAATCACCCCCTGAAATTTTTCGCATTTGTTTTGAAACACCCTGTATAAGCATTTTATGACATACATTTATACGAACTTTTTTGCTTATTTTTATGTGCAGAATATGCTGCCGAAGTTTCCGGAATATAGTTCGGACCACCCTGTGTAACTGTTGTATTTATTGAGTTTTATTTCAGATGTATGGTACGAGTTAGCTAGTAAAGGTTTTCAACAACTCAATCAATACATGGACAGAGCGAAAATATTAGAAATTCTTCGGGCTTACAGATTTTCAAACAGCACCAACCGAGACCAGTTAGTCGACATGATCAAATGGAAATATTCCTCTCCAAGTCAGGGAGACGTAAGAATTCTTGTCGACCAAATAAAACAATTGGAATTTGAAGCTAAGATAGAAGCTCCACATTTCCTGCAACTGTCTCATTTAACATCCTACGTTCAGCCTATTTACGTTTATTACATGCCTGATTTAGGATTTAATGTCAACACTACAGGTACATGTGTAACATTAAACTTAAGTATTTTTAACGAAGAAATGTGCTTGCAGATAGTTTCATCACGACCGACATGCTCTTGCTATTTGGACCATCCTTACTAAAAGCAGTTGCTAGAAGACGATTTGTAGAAGACGAAGCAAGGCTTAGTGCCGACCTAAAAAAAATGTTCATTAATTTTATTATGTTTGGGTGCGAAAATATTCAAAATATTTACGTTTTATTTTTGAAGTGAAATTTCTTTACGCGCACTACCTACAACTTAGAAATACCCCCTTGATTATAGAATATAGAACAGACAAGGAAAATACGTAGTAAAAAGACGTGTTATATTTTACGCGTAAAAAAATGTTTGTTACGCGTAAAAAACTATGTTTCACGCGTAAAAACACTTTTTTACGTCAAATCTTTCAATTTAATAGCTGTTAGACTGTTATTAGTAAGAAGTTTCACTTCTTCGCCGCCGAATTTGTCGCCATTCTTTGAAGAAAGCACTTAACCTCGCTTATAACCCGGCGAATTTTTCACCCACGGATATTTGTTTTTACGCAATGTCTAAGGAAAACAATTATCCCGGTAACTTACAAATCTCACACAGTAAGACTTTTCACAACTTTAGTCTTTAACTAAACAATATTTTCTTTCAAAAAAGCGGATTTATTTACAAAAACATAACAGAGCAACAGGTCAATGAACGTAAATCATATGGCTAAACGTGTATCGATAAGGTATCGGTCGAAGTGAAACCAGGGTTGCCAGATTTCCTTGTTCACGGCTTGTTAAGTAGAGTCAGGCTGTGACTTAAGTCTTAAGTCATTTTTAAAATCCAATTGATTTAAATCTTCAGTCAAATTCAACCTAAAAAAAACAAATGATTTAAGTTTTAAGTCTTTGACTTAAGTCATTTTATTTCAAAAAGTCAAGTCATTTTTGTAAAGACTTAAATCAATATAACGTTATTTAAGTCGTTTTTATGACTTAAGTCTATATTTTTGACCTAAATCATGATGGTCTACAAGTTAAGTCAGTAAAATGACTTAAATGAATATAATTACCCTCAAGTCAAGCCAACGAGAATTCAATTTAAGTACCTTTTTTAAATGTTAATATTATCTTGTAGGTAATACCAATTAGCCATTTTCTTACTAAGTATCATATTATTATAATTTATTGTAGATACAGATGAGACTAAAAACGGTTAATTTTCAGAACAACTACAAACACAAAAATATGTTTTTTATAAAATTTATAACTGATTTTGTAGCACTCTATATGTATCCATAACAGATAGATGTCATCGAACACGTATCTATAAAAAAGTGGTGATGTGTTTTAATCGCTATATGTAATATATCATATATCGATTACTAACCAAACCAAAGTCTTTTCAAAAAAACTTAAATCTTTTTCTATTTCGGAAAAAAGATTTAAATCACAAATCATTTTAAAACAGACTTAAATTTTAAGTCTTAAGTCATTAAAACGATTTAAATAAAAAAAAGGCTTAAGTTTTCTGTGAACTTGCAGCTCTGATACCAACCCAACCCAACACAATTTTTTTTTCCAAATTATCTCTATTTTAGAAACCCCACCCCCAGTAACAACAGGATTAGGCAGTGGAGGAAATACAACCCCAACGACCCTTATATAGAGGATTTCTACAAAGCGACGTATACACAGGCAGACCGAGTGGAAACAGTATCATTTTGGAACAATTTATTACCAAAAATATCTAAATATCGTACAACATATTCCCTGCCGAGAGAACTACAAAATAGTCCTGGTAATATAGAATACTAATGAATCGGAAGAGAAACAACAGTTTGTTTTAGATCCTGCAGCAGCTTTTCGACATGGCATGTATACTTTAGTTGGACTTGTAGCTGCACTTTTAGGATTACTTGTTATTTGTATTATACTCCTGAAACGGAAAAATCATGAACGCGAAAGGGAGTTTCACATAGGTTATTAAGTACTTATTTACTATGTCCACTTTGTATATAATTCTTTTATGTATTAAATTTATTAGCAAAATATATTTTTTAAATTCCCACAAAATTTTATTTTTCTTGATGCCACATCTATCGTTCACTAGTGAAATCAGGAATATTTTGGTAGCAGTGTCCTGTGTTCTTTTTTAAATTCAAAATTTCCCTTGACAACACGGGGGTGTCACTTGTATGGGAAAACAGGCAACAGTCAAATTTAAACGTGCCAGGACCAACGACAAAGAAAGCAACATCTGCCAGGCACTGCCAGGCATTGGCTTTCTTTGTCACTCACATTGCTTTTGCTTAAATCATGATACCGCGGCCATTTTGTCAACAAAGAAGCTGGGGCCGGGCTGTCCTGGCAAGTGACTTAAAACAATTTTGCTTTTTTACAATATTAAATTACCGTTTGGATGTATTTAATGCGATTATTCAGTTAACTGGTAAGTCAGAAATTACACACAAATACTTTATTTGTAAATACAGCTAAGATGTAAACGTATTTTTGTATTTTTAGATTTCAACTTTTGCAAAGACCCGCCGATAGAACTTGCCTGGCAGCGTACCTGTTTAACTAAACGTATTATTTCCTGATAATAATATCAAAACACGTAAGTACCTCTATAATTTATGATGAAAAATGATTTTGATTATGTTTTATATTATTTAAATACTTTCTAACCTCAAATAATAGTAAGATCCTTGTTTATATCGCACAGCCCGTTCAAAACTGTATTGTCTTCAAAAAATGTTTACAAAACAAACAATTATTACAAAATCAATGTCCTTTTAATCTGATTTATACCTCAGAAGGATGCCAGTAAAATTTTATTAAATCAACATATTATTTGGCCAGTTTGGCGTATTATATGCAAAAAGGAGCATATTACCTTAACTTAAATTTTCTTTTACTTCTCCTGACAATGTTCTCTATATTCTCTATTTTGAGTTAGTAAACTTTTGAACGGGATGTGCGATATATAAAATACATAATATATCCAAGGGTATGATCTGATAAAAGTATTTTTCATGCATTTTTGGTTGTTGTATGCACGTTGGCTTGGTTTATGTTTTATTCAGCTTATATTTATTTGGTATAACAGTTTTTTTTTGCCTTTGGAATGGCATGCATTGAGGCTAGATAGTGTTTCATTAGATCATTAAAGGAATTTAAATTAGCATATATTTTTTGTGATATTATGTTTTTTGTATATATTTTGTGTTATCATGATACAGGTAGTTGTATCGTAGTGCCTTATGCATGTTATTTACCTATTATATACTTATGTATTATCAGTAAATAGATGATAACATACTACTAAAATGTCTTTTTAATAGTATGTTTATCTTTCGAATTCACTAGTTATTTGCAAAATGTATTTTGAACTAATTTAAGTTATTAATTGATCGTCTTTCTTTTTCAGGTTCCGGGATATTCTTTTTCATTGTTAAAAAAATATATCTATTTCAATATTATTGTAATATAAATCGCAGCTCTAAAAAATAAATGATATTGTTTACTATAATAATGTGTAATTTATTTACTACGAATTTTCTCTGAAAATAATAAGTCTTTAATAATATCATTGATTTGCTGTGTAAAGTTAATAGACATATTTTTTAATACATTAAATTATATTAAAGTAATAAAAAATATGTTTATTAACTTTAAATAGTAAGTCAGTGATACTTATAAAAATATTTTTTTTTAAATTTCCCCTTTTTTAAGCCCCGCCCCTCCAATTCCCCTCAATTTAGCTAGTACTGCCAGGCGACACCAGGTGGCGTCTGTTTCCATTTTTTAACATGAAGTTAGCATTTCTTTAATGTACCTATTCTCTGCTTGACAATTTGACACTGACTGACAGACAGACAGAGACAGATAAACATTGTTTTGAGAATGTGCATGTGTTTGAAAATTCTCTGAAAATTAAATGAGGCAAGCTATTATTTAATTTTCCAGAGAAATAGCCCAATTTTTGGTGTATGTACACTAAGTACTTACTCTCCTATGGTATTTCTACGTTTAAAATTAATTTAGATTACAATACTTTCTGTATTATAATTTTTAAAAGTAATCTTTGTTGTTTGGACTTTGAATCTACTATATCTGCCAAGATATATACATTTTCAAAACAATATTAAACATTATAATCGACAGTACAAGAGCTACTTAATAAATATGTCTTTGTGGAATACGCTTTCTTCATATGCCAAGCAAGAAATTTACAAGGTATGATATTATATTATATCAACAATTTAACACAATCTTATGTCTGTTTTAAGGTCCCAGTTCGATATTTAAATCTTTTAGAATATCAGAGTAAAAATTTACTTCGAAGGAGTAATGTAGCCATTCAAGATTTCTGTTTGATCGATGATCATGGTAAAAATGAACTTCAAAATTTCAGTAAGTATAATTTTAGGTTTTAAATCATCTTTCAATTATTGTTTCTTGTTTTAGATGCAAAGGAATATGTTATAAAGGCACAAATCTTGGCTGGTGGTAGAGGCAAAGGTCATTTTGATAATGGATTCAAAGGGGGTGTGCACATAACAAACCAGCAAGTTCATTTTATTTAGAGATCCTTTAAATGCTTAATACGTATGTTTTAGGAGAGATCAGATCCCCGATATTGTTAAACAAATGCTTGGATTTAAGTTAATTACCAAACAAACGCCAAAAGAAGGTATTCCAGTAAAGAAAATTATGATAGCTGAAAGTGTAAATATTAAAAGAGAAACGTACGTTTGTATACTGATGGATAGGCAACAAAATGGACCTGTTATAATTGCTTCACCAGCAGGGGGTGTGGATATTGAGGGAGTGGCTGAAAAAACACCTCATCTCATTAAAACCATCCCCATTGATATATTTGATGGAATTACTGATAAAATGGCAGAGGAGCTTGCAGAATTCCTACAATTTAAGGGAAATCTAAAGGCAAAAGCTGCAGAAGAAATAAAAAAATTGTGGCATTTATTTGTAACAGTAGATGCTACACAAATCGAAATAAATCCTTTAGTTGAGACTGATGATGGTACATCACAATAATTAATACTCTTAATTGGTTTTACATATAAAAAATCTTGCAGGCAAGGTGATTGCTGTCGATGCCAAATTAAATTTTGATGATAACGCTAAATTTCGCCAAAAGGACATTTTTGCTATGGAAGATATTACCGAGAGTGACCCAAGAGAAGTAGAAGCCGCAAAGTACAATCTTAATTACATTAGTATGACAGGGAATATAGGGTATACTTTTTATATTTTTACCAGTTATTTTGTTACCTTAAGTTAAGGACATATTTAACAGGATTTTTTCCTTAGGTGCCTGGTAAATGGAGCTGGTTTGGCAATGGCAACTATGGACATCATCAAGCTCTATGGTGGAGAACCAGCAAACTTCTTAGATGTTGGTGGCAGTGTTAGAGAGGAACAAGTAAAAGCTGCCTTCCACATAATTACATCTGATCCGTCTGTAAAAGCAATTTTGGTAAATGTTTTTGGAGGAATTGTCAATTGTGCCACAATTGCCAATGGCATTGTTGGTGCATTAAAAAGTATGACTTTGACAGTACCTCTGATTGTGAGATTAGAAGGTACAAATGCAGAAGAAGCAAGAAATATTATTAAAAAGTCTGGCTTAAATATACAGACTGCCAAAGATTTAGACCAGGCTGCTCAAAAAGCTGTACAATCAATAAAATGATTTTTTATACGTTTTTTAAGATAATTTTATACTGTTGTTATTGAAAGTGAAATATATGTATTTTACTAAGTGTTTTTTTTTTAATTTCAAATATAATAAAACATTTAATAGATACATGAGCTACAAAGGCAAAATTAGCTATATTGTAATTCATTATATAAAGGTTGATGATTTATGATTCATCTAGAATTATTACCCTTGTTTATAAATTTTTATGTACAAGGATGACAAATATTTTTATAGCACTTCTATTCATACACAAAACAATTATATACTGACTCTAGTATAGCAAATATTTTTTAAAAATTTTTTGATTCTTTTAGTTTATAAATTAATTTTAGGAAAGGTATAAAGATAAATAAGCAACTTATTGATATTACATTTATTTCTCCCAAACCAAAACAAATATTAAAAAAATGAATTAATCTTTTTTGATCTGAGTTGCAGCCTGTTTGGCTTGATGGGCCTGCAATACAGCCACTGCTTCTTCGACCTTATTCTTGAGCGACTCGTTGTGTTCCAACATGTGCAGCAACTCAGTGTTGTCAATCTCCAACAACATTCCCGTAATCTTACCGGCCAAGTCTGGATACATGCGTTGGATAAGAGGGAACAAACGTTCTCCCAGCATCTGTTTCTGGTCCGGTGGGGGAGCGGCAGCCAGCATAGTAGCAGTGAGTGGTTCCTGCCCCTGGATGTGGACCGCTTGTTGCACTGGTGCGGCAGGCATGGTGCCCATGGAAGGCGGCGGGTTGCGCATGTTAGACGTGTATTTGAAGTTGGGCGTGCGACTTCCACCGGCAGCGACCACGCTTTGACCAGCCAATGGGCGTCCTTGGATGTTGGGTGGCTGTTGGCCAGTGATGGGCCTGGGAACGTTGATGTTACTACGCATGGCCGCGGTTTGATTGGGTGGTCGTGCTGTGGCTCGGTAAGTGGTGGGCATATTGGCATAAGCTGTTGGTCCCGCTTGACCTCCTGGTCTGACGGGGTTTTGGGCCGGCCATCTGGGACTGGTCCTCATTTGGGGTATCTGGGCCGCACCATAGAATCTCTGGGCCGGCAGTGTCGGAACGAAGTAACTAGAGCCTCCAGGCTGGATGAACGGCCCCATTTGGTGCATACGCATGTTTGCCATACGCTGCATGTACTGAGAGGTTAAGTGAGCCTTCCTGTCCTCCTTCCTCTGAGCTAAGGCGACGTAAAGTGGCTTGGAACCGACGATGCGGCCGTTCATTTCCGTGACTGCCTTAGTGGCCTCTTCGGGGGAAGAAAAACAAACAAATCCAAATCCTTTGCTACGACCCTCCTCCATCATCACCTTGGCGGAAGTGATCGTTCCAAATGGAGAAAACTCCTTGCGTAGACGTTCATCGTCGATAGTGTCATCCAAGTTTTTGACATAGAGATTGACTCCTTGGTAACGGTTCAATCTTTCTATTTTCAGTGCTTCAAAGCGACGCTTCAGTTCTTGTTGACGTTCAGCCTTCTTTTGAGCGCGGCCTACATAAAGAGATTTTCCTTCTACCATTTCCTTACCTATACAAAATCAAACAAAAACAATTAGACACTTATTCAACACAGGTAATATCAAAACTTACCATTCAAATTTTCCACAGCCGCTTCTGCTGCTTCAGGGCTCTCAAATGCAACAAATCCAAATCCCTTAGATTTCCCATCATCTTTGCTCATGATCTTGTAACTAGTAATTTTTCCAAACTTCTCAAACATGTTGCGCAATTGTTCTTCAGATAAGTCTTCTCCAAAATTCTTTACATAGACATTAGTAAAGAGTTTGGCTTTTTCTCCAAGTTCCTTTTCTCTTTCTTTACGGGGAATGAAACGTCCAACGTAAACTTTTTTTCCATTCAACAACATGCCGTTAACCTTTTCTATGGACTTATTAGCAGCTTCTTCAGTTTCAAAATGGACAAAACCATAGCCCTTGCTTGCCCCATTTTCATCTTGAGCTACTTTGCAACTAAGAATATTACCAAATGCAGAAAAGGTGTCGTACATAGCCTTATTGTCAATGGACCGATCCAAGTTTTTAATAAATACATTTCCCACGCCAGATTTTCTCAAGGAAGGATCACGTTGGGACCACATAATCCTGATGGGTCTCCCTTTGATCAAGTCAAAATTCATAGTATCTAGAGCCCTCTCAGCTACAAAAGAGAAATAGAATTAGGTTAGGGATCCGAAAAAAGCGTGGAAATTTAAATTTAAAACAGTACATAGTAAACAAAGAATTACAAAAGTGAAAAAGTTAAAGATATTCTCCTTGAAGTGGAGTGATTGCACCACGTGTGATGAGTCATGGTCGTTGATACGTGACAAAGAAAGGGTAAAGTAAAAACTAATTTACCATATGGAAACTTACCATCGGCGGGCTGCTGAAAATTTACGTATGCATATCCAAGAGATCTTCGGGTTATCAAATCTCTGCATACTCGGATTGAAAGTACGGGACCAGCAGTGGAAAATTTCTCAAAAAGCAAGGCCTCGGTAATATCAGAATGTAAATCCCCGACGTACAACGACGCCATGGGGTAATTTGGTGCCCCTTGATTCATTTTTGTTGCTAATCTTTACGAAAATCACACTAGCACGTGCTTAATTCCCGTTTGCTAAAAATCAAGGCAAATACACAGACGAACTAACGCTCCCGGAACATACAAAACGAAATTAAAATATCGCTTATTTTGGATTTTCCACTGTTTTTTCGATTTTTTTGGTTGCTTTTATGGGATTTTTTATATTTTTTTTGTATTTTTAAGTAAATTATTTCACTTTTTTTTGGGTGGTTGTGTGTCGTTGAACACGGACACAACCACACGCTTAGACCACTACTTTTAACAAAATGGAGCGCACAAGAGGCTGGTGACCTGTCTTTTAAACCAAACGGAAATGACGTTCTTTCGCAGCTGTCAATGTCAATTTAAGCGCCAAAATTCAAAAGGAATCGAACGACACACTTGTAATGATCATCCAAAAGACAAAATTTACTTTATTATTGGTTAATTGGTTGTGAAAATATAAATTTATTATGCATATATTTTTATTTTATCTTTATTAACTTTTAAAACTCTGAAAATAATCTAAAATATTTAGGGTTATTGAACATATGGCATCCCTGCGAACCATATGCTAGGACATACCTTCGTTACGTCGTTCAGTATGTCTGAGCTTGGATCAGCTCATGCTACCTCAGTGCTACCAAACACAGAAAATTTAATTTTAACATGTTCCCTCTGGCGAGGCCAGTGCAAGTTGCAGGAATAGAAATGACGCCATCCGATTGGTGGGGTTTCATTAGCCAAACAATAACATGGCGCGTTCAATGTGGGTTGTCAATGTGGTTGTCAAAATTATTATCACTGCCGATATGTAGTTGCGTTATTGGCGATATTAATGTTGTTTCTCGGTTAATATCGCGTCATAACGTATGATACAGTTCGTTTGAACAATGTACGTGAAGTTCAAAGTGTGGACAGTTCCATAATATTTGAATTTCAAAGTGTAGGAAGAAACAACAGTAGGAGGTCTTGTTGTACAATGGCTGGGACCGATATTGATATCAATGCCCTTTTGGCACAAAGAGATGCCATTATTCGGGAACAAAACGAACAAATTATTCGATTAAAACGAGAATTGGATGGAGTTGCCAGCGAGCGAGATTTACTCCTTTGTGAGAACAGTAATTTGAGATTTGAGCTAGAAATGGTGGAATTAAAGAGATTGCAGGAAGAAAGGTAACTTTTTATTTATATTCTGTAGTATTTAGTTTATGTCCAATATACCTATATACTACATTGAATAAATCCATAACCAGTATGTAAAGATATTCATACTATCCAAAAAAGGTTAGGTACAAAAAATACTTAACAACAAAGTTTGAACTTGAACTTTAATTTTTTTCCAGCTTCTTATGTATACTTTGAGTTATATAGATGATATACATTTGATAGTTTACTGTGCTTTCTCAATTTTTAAGTCATTGTACTTGATTACAAGTAGCTTTTAATGAGAATGTTTTTTTTATTCACCAAGCACAGATACTTTTAATTTATTTATTGTACTTAAGTGTTTTTATAGATCTAGTCACGCCTGCGCTTCACTAAAAATGTATTTGTTTCTCATGTAAGAATCACCCTTGAAATCACCCCTTATATTACTTTTTTCTCCCCCAAGCTATAAATTTCTCAATGTCTACCTTCCAGTAAATCTAATCCTCTTGGATGAGGTTTTATTTTTTATTTGATATTTATTATACGTGAATATCTCTTTTTTCTTTGGATAAGAGGACAGAAATTAGTTTATTAGTTTTTAGTGAAGATAAGATATATTTAGCCCCATTAGTAACATAATCAATTAGCAACATTACATAGCAAAGTTATCAGCATTTTTCTTAATTATTTTGTTGAATAATAATGTGTTTATGTATTAGGACTTATTTTTACTACTATTTAAAATTACTGGAAATAGACAATATTAAATAAATAATAAATAGGTATATATCCAGATATATCTTAATAATTAATTTATTCGAAGTTTTATTTGTTGGCGAATGCGCCAGAATATGAGAACATTATGTACATTATTAATATATGCATATGACGTCAGGCTCCCAATAAGGAAATTGAATAATTAATTATACTGAAACACCATGTAATTATAAAAGAACCCTTACGCAACATATTCTCCATGAAGACATCTGTGCTTTTAAATAAATAAAATGGGAGTTACACAATTTTTAAAAAAAATCAGCAACATCAACAACAAAGCTCAAAAACCAGATTCATAATTTTTTTACAACACCAAGAAATCTAGGCCTTTAAAGGTGTATAATTTTGACTCTCCATAAAATTTTCTACAAATGCTGAAATTTTCATAAATTTCTGACTGTGATTACTATTTCTCTAAGACCTTTGAAAATGCGTCAAACATAGCCAAAAATTGTCATTTTTTCGACTTTTTTCCATGGTGAAAATTGACGATTTTTGTCATGTCACCGATTTTATTAAAACTGCTGTTATTTACTAATTAACCGACGTAGAATAAGAAAATATAGGCCATTGTAGCCTTACGAGAACGATAATGGATGTAGGTGACGTTTTAACCATCATCAAATATAGCTCATAACAAGGGTCCAAAAAATTAATTTCCTCGCAAATTCAAGATCTCTAAGTCTTTAAAGGGTATATATTATGAATCTACATAAAATTTCCTACAAATGCTGAAATTTTCATAACTTTATGACTATGATTACTATTTTTCTAAGGCCTTTGAAAATGCATCAAAAATAGCCAAAATTTGCAATTTTTTCGATTTTTTTCCATACATATTAGTCGTGAATATTGGCGATTTTTGTCATGTCACCGATTTTTGTTAAAACTACTGTTATTTACTAATTAAAAGACTTATAATGAGAAAATATAGGCCATTGTAGTCTTATGAGAACACTAATGTATATAGGTGACGTTTTAACCATCATCAAAAATAGCTCAAAACAAGGGTCCAAAAAATTAATTTCCTCACAAATTCAAGACCTCTAACCCTTTAAACGTGTATATATCGTAGTCTCTTTTAATGAAGATCCTAGTCACTTAATGAAAAAAACTAACCTAATAACATAACTAAACTCTTAACCAAACCGACGCTTCATGAAGTGACCTAGGATCTTCATGAAAAGACGGAATACCACCTGAGACTACGATATATTATATATTATGAATCTATATAAAATTTCCTACAAATGCTGAAATCTTCATAATTTTCTGACTATGATTACTATTTTTTCTAAGACCTTTGAAAATGCGTCAAACATTGCCAAAAATTGTCATTTTTTCGACTTTTTTCCATCGTGAAAATTGGCAATTTTTGTCATGTCACCGATTTTATTAAAACTGCTGTTATTTACTAATTAACCGACGTAGAATAAGAAAATATAGGCCATTGTAGCCTTACGAGAACGATAATGGATGTAGGTGACGTTTTAACCATCATCAAATATAGCTCATAACAAGTGTCCAAAAAATTAATTTCCTCGCAAATTCAAGATCTCTAAGTCTTTAAAGGGTATATATTATGAATCTACATAAAATTTCCTACAAATGCTGAAATTTTCATAACTTTATGACTATGATTACTATTTTTCTAAGGCCTTTGAAAATGCATCAAAAATAGCCAAAATTTGCAATTTTTTCGATTTTTTTCCATACATATTAGTCGTGAATATTGGCGATTTTTGTCATGTCACCGATTTTTGTTAAAACTACTGTTATTTACTAATTAAAAGGCGTATACTTTTTAATACATTTTTTCGACTTTTTTCCATCGTGAAAATTGGCAATTTTTGTCATGTCACCGATTGATATACCGCTGTTTATACTAATTAAATGGCGTAGAATAAAAAATATAGACCATTATAGTCTTACGAGATCAGTAATGAATGTAGGAGACATTTTAACCATCATCTAAAATATCCCAAAAACAAGGGCCCAAAAATTAATTTAAATAAATTCAAATTTTACATGCCTAATAAAAAAAAGAAGAATATTACTTCTTGCCTGTTATTTATTGCCTAGTGGTTACAGCGTTTATATTTAAAGGTCCACGTGATATTAATAATTGCAATAAGAATAGGATCCTTCAAGTCATTAACCTTTTGATGCAGTTTGGCAAACTCGCCGCTGTAATTGTTACCGTATAGAAAGTGTCGTGTTAATGTTGAATTTACAGTAAGCTCTAGTATAAAAAAACGTGAAAAACATGTTAAATGAATTTCACATTTGCCGGTAGTTAACAGACCAAGTTAATTAGCGATTTGTGTTGTTATTTTCCCCTTAAGATTTCATTTTGATGCTGCAACTGGGAAATCGGCGATTGTCTTACTGGGAACGTCTATTCCGTATGCATCAATAAGCAAAAAATTCTAGGAATATGAAGATCGTAGCTGAATATTAATGGCGCCATTGTGAACCGCGCTTTAGCGTTAGCGTATAGTGTGAACCACGAATGCCGTATTAGTTTCTAAATAAGGGAAAGTGAACGGATATCCTGAGGCGAGGCGACGTAACGTTACCAATTGTAGTACATTTGGGGACTTCTGTTTTTTCTTCGTGTCATAGCACTTTGTATCGGCTATTTTTCGTTTATATTTAGATATACAGGGTGTCCTAGGTTGAGCGTGCATTAGAAGTTTCTAGAGAACTACATTATCTAGATTGGAGATTTTTGCACATCATTGTTTCACAATGAGATCTATCGATTCATTTTTTTTTCAATATGGCGCCACTTCCGGAAGTTGACAGCAATTCCCTGTAAAATTTTATGATTTTTGACATCAAACAGCCTAACGTTAACCGTTTTTGGAGTAAAAAAAATGCCTGTCAAAAAAAATAGTATAGCCTGAACGTCAAATCTAGTGATTACTACAGCCACTGTGACAAAGAAAACGTATGGTGCTACTTATTTCAAAAATTAAATTGTTCGAATGTCATAAATATAATATTGGTCGGAGCTGTCACGGAATTGAATATCACGGAAAAAATTATCATAAATCATTTTTTTTAAATGGAAAGCCACTTTTTTTATTTCACTACTGGAAAGGTTTTTCAGTTCCTGACTATCTGTAAGGAAAAAAAGAAGTACCATCAATAGTACAGAGAAACAAGCCCTATAACATAGGATGCAACATTTTAATGAATAGTGCTTTCCATAAAATCAATAAAATGAAAAATGAAAAATGAACCCTTCCCGGACACAAAGGGTACATTGTGAGACAGGAAATTGTAGAGAGAAACAAGCCCTATAACATAGGATACAACATTTTAATGAGCAGTGCTTTCCATAAAATCAATAAAATGAAAAATATACGTAATAATATACATGTACTGATTTCTTTCGAAAATCGACAACAATGAAACTATGAACCCTTCCCGGACACAAACGGTACATCGTGAGATAGGAAATTGTAGAGAGAAACAAGCTCTATAACATAGGATACAACATTTTAATGAACAGTGCTTTCCATAAAATCAATAAAATTAAAAATATACGAAATAATATACATGTACTGATTTCTTTCGAAAATCGACAACTATGGAAGTATGAACTTTTCGCGGACACAAACGGTACATTGTGATACAGGAAATTGTAGAGAGAAACAAACCCTATAACATAGGATACAACATTTTAATGAACAGTTCTTTTCATAAAATCAATAAAATGAAAAATATACGATTATTAATTATCCTAATGGAAAGTACCCTTTCAAGGCTATTACGGAATTTTACACTGTCGCCATTCGCATTGGCATTAAGATGTGAGTACCAAATTTCAAGAAAAACGATTTACTAATATTCTTAAAAATAGAAACATTTTGTTTTATTTTTATCTGTAGAATCGTCCACTGAACTGAAATTGTTTGTACGGTTAGATTTTCTGTATTTCTTAAAAACCAGGACATGTCTGGGTGTCTGGGTAAATTTGGACGTAGGGGGACCCTATGTATATGCTAAACATTTCTTGGCGCAGTAATAGTTGTTATAGTAAGCGGCATTCAAGATCCTGGAAGACTCCATCCGTAACCTGGAATGGGAATCTTCCAACGGTCTAAGAGACTCGAAAAAGTTTCTCAAAAATCTTTAATTTTTCTTGATTTAAGCAAGAACAATCTTCGGATTGTCCACAGGGTTTCTAACAGGACACTGTCTCCTCAACGAACACCTCAGTAGATTGAAGCTGAGAAACAACGGCGAATGCAGACTCGCGGGGAAAATGAGGAAACGCCAAAACACCTTAGCACTGTGCCATGAACTTTGGTAAGGCTGATGTCGAGGATGGAGAGCTGGCATCTGTGGAGCCGTCTCAGATACTGGACGCCCTGAGACTGTATGATGAGTTATAACTCAATATAACTGAAGAAAGAGGAACACAATAAAATGATTAAATGCGATTAAAAGTATATTACGCTAGAGGTGGGAATTCTAGTTCCTTGGGAGGAACTAGTTCCTTAGTTCTAGTTCCTCCAGAGGAATAGTTCCTTGAACTAGGTCTTTAGTTCACAATAGTTCCCGACTAACATTGACATCCCCCTTGCTTGCTAATGCGTTTCGTTGTCAGTCAGAACTATTCACAGTATGATCTGTATAATTTTTATAATGTACGGAGATATAACGAGACGTGTAATTGTGTATGTTAAAAACATATAGGTAAGTTTTATAGCAGATAAAAAAAATAAAAAAAAAACTCAAATCAGAATTTAAAAAACCATATCACAAATTAATTGGAGCAAATATTACAAAAATTTTACGAAAAATTGCATTTTTCCTCACTTCAAGCTTTTTGTTTTTGTCTAAAAATTCAGAATATCTACTTCGTTTTATAAGATATTTCTTAATTTTAGGGAACCAAAGTGAAACATTCCCATAAAATATTTAAAAAACGAACTAAAAATCAAAAACAGTATCCACGACAATTTTCTGTGGTAATACGCCGCGCCGGCTGCGGCAATAGACAAGGCCGAATCCATCGTCGTCGCCTTGTATTATATCTCGGATCTGCCGACTGAATAGATTCCCGTGAACTAGTCTTTTAATAGTTCCTCTATGTCCTGATCCTAGCGTCAATCGCGCTGGCTGATCCATACCTAAACTAGTCTTTTATTTAGTTCCTCTAGTTCCTTTAGGTCCGGATCCGATAACATACGTCATAAGGCTGGCACTCCCCACTCCTGCCTAGCATCGATCGCGCTGGCCCGATCCGTTCGTACGTAAACTAGTCTTTTATTTAGTTCAGTTCTGTGGTTTAGTTCCTCTAGGTCCGGATCCGATAGCGTACGTCTGGCACTCCCCACTCCTGCCTACCATCAGGCTACGCGCGCTAGCCGATCCGTCGCCGTCGCATATTATTCTATATCGGACACAGTCTCGATCCCGGAATAGGTCCTGAGGAACTAGTCCTTTGAGAAACCAGGAACTAGTTCCTTTCATTCCGGGGTCGGAATAGTTCATTGGAACTAGTTCGTTCACGAACTACACACCTCTATATTACGCTGTACCGTTTGGGTCGCTCTCAGGGGTCAGGTAAAGCGGGTGCATAAGAAGGAAATATATATTAAATTTCAGAATTTTGCCTGAGGCTTACCCCGATCCTGTCGTGTTAAGCCACATCCAAAGTTCCAAACAGACTTGCTTTGATTAAGGTTTGCAGAGCTTCAGCATTTGCCATAAAATAGCGGGCAATTTGTTACAAAACCATATAAATTATATATCACTGTAATCACAAAACTTTAATCTATTTCGGTATTGTAACGGAATTTTAAATTATGTCTTTGTTTTCGAGAAAACTTAGTCCAAACATGAGGAGTATTTTGTTGATGTTTGACCATCAATATCTTAAAAATAAAGAAGTTGTCTAAAAATGTCCTACAATACAGATATAACATAATCCTTTATCTTTAATTTCCTTCTTCATTTGTGTAAAAATACCTAGCCAATTTTACGTAAAACGTTAAATGCCGAACGCTTATTTTGCTACTTTTTCGGACTAATGATATGGACTCTTAACCCTCTTCCTAAACATTCTACATGGGTTGGTTGTTTTTTTTGGTGTGAATTCGTGAAAAATGGTCATCGATCTCGGACACTGTAGGTTGTGCAAAGCCGAACTTTTCACCCACACCTCCGCCGATAGTTTTATCGCTTGTTTGCCGTCTTCAAAGTTGCTCGAGCGCGTCATTGTTTCCTACGCGAGTTCCACCAAGTCCATGGTAGCCGCGACATAAGCCGCGAGTTAGTGCTGGCCGCCGTCGTCGAGGAGCTGCACCAGCTCCTACCTCATAGAAAATAACTAGATATATGATGTAACGCAAGGTTAGACTGGACGCTCGGATCACATTTACTTTTCGATTCTAGCGAAGGCAGTTTTGTTTGGCATTTCTGGCCGGTGGCTCGCGTCGGGAGCGACAAGAAAAAATAACACCGGGAAACATGGCAGACGCAATTCCAGAGTCCCCGAATCGCGTCGAGTTTATTTCCGGGATTGACAGCAGTGCAGTTTAATGTGTGGGTGAACCTTAAATAAGTTTCGTGCTAGTTTACCGCGTTCAAAGTACATTTTTTTATTGCCACTTCCTCCGCGGTTTACTTCCAAGTTACTTTACGATTTTTTTCTCTCGAATTTCAGTTCGAAACAAGCAAGGTTACGAATTTTTCTTTAAAGTGCAGCAATATGTCTGTGGCAAAAATATGATTTTATAAAGAAACTTTCCTCTATGAAAATGGCAGTATTTATCACTTCCGTCGACTTTTTATTTGTATATAATTAGCGACGTATTTTACTGCAATATACAGGGTGCCAAAAATTAGTGTACCATACTTCAGTGGGTGATTCTACAGATAAAGATAAAACAAAAAGTATACCCTAAAATGCTTCCCGAGGTTGTTACAATCCTCGGAAGGCTAAATAAAAATAATATGGTATTTTGTTTATTTTTAAGGACATTAGTGAACCGTTTTTCTTGAAATTTGATATTCTTACATACAGTTTATTGCCAAAACAAATGGCGTTAATGGTAAAAATCCATAACAGTTCTGAAAGGGTACTTTCCTTTAGCGAAGAGGGTAATATTTAGTGGTACTTTCAGATCGATTTTAGTATTAGCGAAATCATTAGATGTAACGACATTTTTGACATGTAATTAGTGCGATCTACAAAAATTACAAAATGTTTCAAATGGTGGCTGAGAAAGTTTCAGGAAGCATTTGTTTTCTTTTTATCTGTAGAATCATCCACTGAGTTGGTTACACTGTTTTTGGCACCCTGTATAACTGTTCTTTTCTACCGTATGTCCCCGAATGGTCTTTACAAGAGGAAAAACTTTTTATTATTGATATTCTAAGAAAAAAGCACAAAAATTTTTGCTTGTTCTAAAATGGTTAATCCAGTTTAGACTTTTCCAAATTTTCATACCGTTTTAGAGAAAATTAAAAAAAAAAACATGAAAATATCGTTGAATGGTGTTTCTACGATTTTGACTAACGTCATATTTTTTGCTGTTGTTATAGTAGATATCACATTTTCCGATAACTATTATCACCCTTTTCGTAGTATTGAACTAAATAAATTTTTTGCTTCTTTTTACATTTTAAAACAGAAAAAAATATGTTAACTAAAATTCTATCAAAAAATGAAAACGAAATTATATTACATAGTATACTTTTGATTTTTAGGACTTGAAAATGAAAAAATTAAATTTTAGTTTTTTTTTAATTTTCTCTAAAACGGTATGGAAATTTGGAAAAGTATAAACTGTATTAACCATTTTACAACAAGCAAAAATTTTAATAGAAAAAAATAAATGCATTTTTCCCAAAATGTCAATAATAAAAAGTTTTTCCTCTTGTAAAGACAATCTGGGGACATACTGTATAATAGTGAATAAATAATAGCTATGCAAGTGATACAAACGAGATAAAAACATAAGTTGCGAGTGTTAAACAATCGAGTCCCGTCATGAGGAACCATCTGACACCTTCGCCCGCACCCCCAGGTGCCAGCGTCTACCACCAGCGGTATCTACCTTCCAGTAGCAGCGGTAGCAGGCATGCCAGTCCAGCAAGATCAGGACACACTGTCACCACCGTTAGCGATGTCTGCGACAGGACTATGGTTAGGGTTAAACGGTCTGGAATACAGCAGGAGCGCATCAGGGTCGTTTGTACCACCAGACGGCAGCATATTAGCAGGCTAGTGACCGTGTCAGATGTCTGCCACTCTCTACCACCCTTCAGGAAGCACGTGACTGTTATCAGGTTAGCACCAGTGGCTCTAACCTCTCTGAAAGGTTTCCCTTTGTTGCTTTTTCAGGTCATTTACTTATTAGGATCCGTAGCTATTTGTTTTCGTGTTTTTAACAGCCCTGAAACCATACATACATAATTAAATCAAGTACATAATCAATGCTGATACGGTTATCGTATGAATCACGACATTTTTCGAGTGAGACTCTTGTTACAGTGGGTGGATTAGCCGAGAGAAGCTTCATATTTCGCTGTATTTAGTAGAAATTACAAAATCCAAGGTTTATTATAAAGTAGAGCCATAGAAATACGAAATTCGTCATTGTTATGTATATAGGTTTGAAAAGTTTCAAACACCACACGTACGTGTTTCGGTTGACAATTGACGCAGAACCACATAAACGGTACTTCATAAAGTGACGTATGCCCGTGCTTTAAAGAGGTTACCGCTTTAAAAGCATATGCGCTGACCTCAGTTCCAATTATTATTATTTGTTGACTTTATTTCATTTTTATGTGCGTCCATATTGGTTCGTCAGAATTCAGTTGGATAAACCGAACTTGCGCTGTGCAAAAAAAAACATTATTCTATAATACGTCCATCCTTGAAGACAGCTGGTACTAATCGTAAATGATGATGAGTCACCCGAGCGCAATAAAATTAACAGAATATGAAATAAAGCCAAGCTGTTGTGCCTTTAAAACGATATTCGCGTTTAACCCATAGATGTTTAAACAGAATTATGGTAACTGTTACAGTATGTTGCAAAGATGGCAATAAGAAGTTCCACCTTTAGTTAAATAGGCTAATTGGCTATGCAAATTTTACTTCGGCTGGGTCAACCCTTGTGTTAACAGACTGGGTCAACATGGCTTGTTCATTGCGGTTAAATTATTTTAATTGTCTTTATTCCTTGTTCTTTTAAGGAAATTGCTTGGATTTTTCTAGGGCATCTAATGCTTTTTAGATTTTAAACAAAATGAAATGAAAGAATCACACGGGACAGAATTAATTTAAAAACATTTATCCATTTATGTGGCCCAGTTCGTAAACAGCCTATAGAAGCAAAGTTTGCAAACGCCACTTATATCAACACATGCCTATTAATTCCTAAATCAGTACAGCGACTATGTACTTAATTTTAATTACAAATGGCTGAACTCGATTCATTTTAAAGAGCTTGTTGGCTTTATTCAAATTCAAATTATTTTAGCGATGCTTACAGAACTACATCAATATAGGCTTATTTGTTTAATATGTTTGCACTTATTTTTGGGGAAATACAGTTTAGAGGTATGTGAAAGTTAGCATGTTTTCGCTAAAAACTAAGATACAGAATGCTTGACTCTTAGGTTTTCTTTTTATAAAGTCGAAATTCAATCAATAACCCATTACCCTTGTTTGTTTTCTTTTTATTGGCATCTATTTGAAGATAAATTTTCAATCAGGCAGAAACCTTTTCCAATATCTTTCCTACAATAATTCTAAAAATAGGTTAATGATTGAATCTATTATCTGCCGGAGATAAAACTGATTCAATTAAAAGTATATTAGGAGTGTTAAAATTCTAGATTAGATTAGATTTTTCGAGGTGGCCTTCTCATATTTATTCTGGTCTTCTTCATCTTTAAGAGGACCACAATAGATATTTGTGACTGAACCTTCCATATAGCTCTTTGCCTACGCCTATTACAAAGAACCGTAGATTTGCCAGTAGAGTGCAAAAAAATCAAAAAATCGATTTGAAATCAATTCAAGTTGATGTTTTTGATTTAAATCCATGAAATCAAGTTGATTTAAATCATTGCACCCTGTTTGCCAGGCTGTGACGTATTACATCTTGGAACAAAGAAAATCTCAATGTTTTCAGGTTAATGATTCCTTTTTCGCTCCAAATTTTGATCTCAGACATAAAAGAAATATTTTTGAAAAGGTCCAGACGGTTCTTTTAAGGATTGATAAATAATCTTGAATTTTACCTGGGTCTTTTTCGAGTACACCTACGACAATTCACTGTACCCATGATAATAAGAATAAAGTCCGAAGTTCTGTGGTTGATTTTGAGTCTCCTTTGTTTTTGTAAATATATCACAATTAAGGATTCAGGAGCGTCAAGTGAGAATGATACTCTCCGTTTTTAAGTATCTATTTAAAGTCTCTTGTTGAGATAAAACAGAACTGGAGAAAGTCGTTTGAACTGTATTAGGAACAGAAATAAACGTAAATAAAACAACACGATCTAATAAGTAATCTAAAAGGTTCAACAACACTCTTAAATAATAAAAGTACGTTTATTTCTCTTATGTTTTGTTCAATTAATCTATGAAAGTGAAACTGCGACATCTTAAAATTGTTTTCTATCGCTTTGAGAGTTTCCACTGAAAAGTTTTGGTAAAAGGCCAAATCGAGTGGGTTTTTAATGGCGCTAGTTAAAAAAATTACTAGAGCATGTCGTTTGTTAATGCAGAAAAAAAATAAATGCTCAGTCTAGAAGTAAATATTGCCAGTTAATTATGGTTTATGAATAAACAACTGTTGGTAACTGTAAATAAAAGCTCATATAAACCTTACACATATATTTTGTATAAGCATAAAAACATGACTGATTTTTTTTAATTTTAGCAGTATTGTATGTATAGTGTTTTAGATTAAAATGTCATGTTCTATATTTCCTGTTAATGATTTAAATAATGAGGGTAATTATGGAAAAACTGATTTTAACAGCGCTAAAGATAATTTGTGAGCAAAATGGTATAATTTCGTTTCGATTTTATCAAGCTTTCTCTTTTATGGTATATTTATGCATAATTCTGTGTGGGTTCGTATTTTTTAAGCAAAATCCGACAATATAAAGGTTTTCAGTATTGGATAACGCCAATAAAATATGTACATAATCAGTAATTATCGATATTTATTAGGAAACTAATTTTCAACAAGGAAAAGACTGGCCTCTGTGTTATATATAACATTTTGCAAGGTTCTGAATAGGTATAGGATTTTGAACATATACAGGAGGGCAAAAAAGTGTGATTCTAGAGATAAAATGATATATACTGTGATAGAAATTTGGAAAGAACAAAAATGGAAAAGGCAGAAGTTAGCTTAATCGACATACAGTTGTTTCAAAAAAGGTATTAAACAGCCTTAACACCAGCATATTTTCTGGCATTGATTATAGATCCTCTGGAATAAAAATATATCCTAAAATCAGAAGACACTAGTTCCGCACTAAGAGTTTGTGAACAAAATGAATTCACACAAATTACTTCCCTTAAATCGGTCCAATATTTTAATACATTATTGAAGTAGGTGTACATATGTGTTATAATCTTTACAATTGATTTATTAAAAGTATTTAACGTTACAACAGCAAGTGTAACATTTTATTTGATGAAGAGATATAAAGTATATTTGTTATAGAAATAATTTTTTATAACTTCTACAGATAATTTTCGATTTATAAGTTGATTTTTAGATTTAATTCCATGATATTAAAATACATTTTTACTTACTTAATTTACTGTTAATTCAAAGGCGATCAACTCAGTATCAATCAATTCGAAATTGGTGAAAGAATGCATAGAGAAGCTGAATAAATTAGGCAAAGAAAACAAAGTCCTCCTACACTGGGTGCCTGCTCACCAAGGGATAGAAGGCAATGAAAAAGCAAATAATCTAGCTAGGAAAGGAGCGAACACTCCGCTAACTGGACCAGAACCGTTCTGCTTTCCAAGTGGTAACCAACTCAAGGCGGAACTCAAGAACTTGGAAGATTCCATCCGCAACCTGGAATGGAAATCTTGCAATGGTCTAAGACACTCGAAGAAGTTTCTGAGGGCTTATGATCAAGAAAAATCACAGATCTTCCTGGGTCTGAGTAAGAACAATCTTCGGATTGTCACGGGGTTTTTAACAGGACACTGTCTCCTCAATGAACACCTCAGTAGATTGAAACTAAGAAGAAACGGCGAATGCAGATTCTGTGGGGAAGATGGGGAAACACCAGTACACCTCATCACTGAGTGCGCCGAGACGACAACCATTCGTGCCATGAATTTTGGTACGACTGATATTGGAGATGGAGAACTACCCTCTATAAAACCGTCCCAGATACTGGCTTTTGTCAAAGCCCTGTGACTGTATGATGAGTTATGATTCAAGAAAGGGGGACACAATGGATCTGTAAGGTCGAAGTGATTAACCCCCCTCCCACTCATTCTAAATTCTAAAAATTCTACTGTTAATTCCCTAATCTTACCCTAAATGCATCTTTTTTCCCTAGTTAGCCCATCCCTAGTTCAAAATTCGAAATGATTCGACCAGTTTAGCAACAATTTAGCTGGATATTGTTTCGTTAAACAATACCAAGCAGAAAAAAGAAAAAATGATATGAAATAAATATGCTGTTTCACGTTACAATTTACGTCAGTTGTTAGTCCTCAAATATGTATTTTTAGATCAGCCACTGTCTTAATTGCCACCTTCCATCTTAATTAAATAATTTGTGCCACTATTCGCACCACACAAAATGGTTTCATGAAAGTTCTCAGACGAATGAATGGCAATAGGTAATTGAATTTTGATTTATGAACAACGCGTAAAACTAACGTATGTGCCGTGTCAAATAAACATCGTTTTAGTGGGTGGTCTATTTAATAGTAAGTGGAAGTGTCAGATGGGCGTCAGTTTTGAATTTCTTTAAATTAAAAACATTTTATAATAATCGCACAATGAAATTTCAATTTCATCACAGCCACAAACTAAATTATCTCTTTTATCCATATATTTTATACTTTACAGCTATACCATAAGCAACTGTAATTTAAATAACGGTTTTACAACTACTGATAAATAAAAATAAAATCATATATATCTATATTTTGTGAAAGATTTACAATCAAACTCAAGTTATTATAGTTTCAAGGATTTAAGCTGCATTGTTTGTTTTATTTTATCTATCCCCTATTTATTTTACCTACTTATTAACTGTTCTTAAGTACATGATAGTTTTATTATGACATTTCAAGGCTGTTCAAAGATTTTATTATTAACGAAGTTCAGAGATTTTTTTTTAAATAATCAAAATTTTTATATATTTATAGTAATAATTGGTTTAATAATTGAATAATACCTGATATTGGCAGATATATTTATCTTAAAAGTTGGCTACTTTCTCTAATTATATGGGGATATTTTATATCTATTGAAAACTAATCGATTTTATATAGATACTGCTATTTGGACAGGAAAAAAGTCGAACCGTGACTTTGCTTTCATTGCTTTTTTTCTATCGATTATGAAAGTAAATTTTGACGTGGTAATTATCCAGTTCATCTATTTTCGCAGAACGATTTTCAGAAAAAAAGTAAAAATTTTTAGAAGGTTTGAATTTAGAGAGATAAATATTTCAAGCCAACTGAAATTCCTGCCTAAATTCGGGCAGAATTTTACTTAAATACCGTCCAAAAGTTGTTCGATAATTAGTTTTAATATTGGAAAAAATCTCATCCCTACACACAACACACATGCCTAAAAAATATGATATTTATATTGGAGAAAATTTTGAGGATAAATAAATTATTTCTTCAATTTGAAAAATATCTAAATAATAACAAGAGATTGGCATCAAATCAAAAGTTAAAATAAATATTGATTGTAATTTTCTATTAAAATTTGCTATACCTACTGATTTTTTACTATTTCCTGAAATATAAAATTCCTGTTGATTGTTAGGGAATTTACAGAAAGGAACTAATAAAATTTCTAACGTGAATTTTTGGCTATTACCGCCCGTATATTTTTATTTTTCTATTTTTATGTCTTGTCATCTGGTTCCTATTAAATAGTTCACTGAGTTAAACCAACTTTTTTATTTTTGTTCAGGCGTAAATTATAAAATTCAATTCTTCATTTTTTTACGCAATAATAAATTATTCTGATTTTTTAGGACAATCTAATGTTGATTTTCAGTACTGTTGACACGGTAGTGCAAAAATATAATAGTACGACAGTACTAATATTGACAAATACCCAGATATTATTAAGCTTGATTCCATACTCTTAAATTCGAATTAACTATACGCGCGATGGGCCAAAATCTGGTGGGGCAGGGCAGTGAAAAGCAGGTGTTTAGCAATCTCTTCGTGGCATGTGGTACAGGGCAGATGTTTCTTAGGGCCTGATACAGAAATTTCTTTTGTATATACAGAAAGAATCTTTACTATTCCTCAGATTATTTATTTCGTTTTTTTTTCTATCAGAATTTAGTACTATGCTGTATCAAAGTCCAGTCATATATTTCACGCATTATGTACGTAAAAACTACTAACCCATCATGATTTTTTTTGTGTACATTGAAAAAAAGTAAGTAATATCAATAAAGAGCATTTGAATTCGCTGAAAACCAACCAATACTTTGAATTTAAACGAAGAAGTGAATGATAATAGACGGTTATCTTAAGTATTAATATATTACTGTGTCGTCTTCCATGTTTGATAGTAAATTTCAATTTTAATATGTTAAAATGGCAGGTACGGTAAGTCTGTAATAACCATTTTTTAACTAATGTAAAGCAGCGTTTATTTTAATCAGATTTTTTTATTTTGGTGAGATTTTTTTTATTTTAATCAGATTTTTTTATTTCTATCAGTTTTTTTTCGGATTTTTTTATTTTGGTGAGATTTTTTTATTTTAGTCAGATTTTTTTATTTTAATCAGATTTTTTTAAATTTTAATCAGATTTTTTTATTTTAATCAGATTTTTTTAAATTATAATCAGATTTTTTTTTATTTTAATCAGATTTTTTTATTTTAATCAGATTTTTTTATTTTAATCGGATTTTTTCTATTTAAATCGGATTTCCAAATAATTAACGACTTGTTTCCAATTAAAGTTCTATCTTAAATGGGCTAAATCTTGGTAATTCTGCCAAATATCGATAATATTTACATTTCTACGGCGTGTGTGTTTTTCCACATCGTTCACCGATATATTAAGGTACATATATTATTCTGTAAATTTTGCCGATGCCGCTATTTCCGCAAAAGAGTCGCCCGCTAGTTCAAAGGGATTTTGTTTGGAAATGATCATGACTCTGTCTTCAGTCGAGAATAAAATTAGTACCATCTAATGTTCAAAGTGCAAATTACTTACTGCAGATCAAAATGTTGTAGAAAATTTGTGATAGAAATTTGGAAAGAACTAAAAGATAAATTGGAGAAGGCAGAACTTAGCTTGATCGACATACAGTTGTTTCAAAAAAGGTATAAACCCTATAAAACACCAGCATATTTTCTGGCATTGATTATAGATCCTCTGGAATAAAAATATAACCTAAGATCAGAAGACACTATTTCTGCACACACAAATTACTTCAAAAATCGGTCCAACATTTTAATAAATTAAGTAGGTATATGTGTTATAATCTTTACAATTGTTTTTCGATTTATTAAAAGTATTTAAACGGTACAACAGCAAGTGTAACATTTTTTTGATGAAGAGATATAGAGTATATTTGTTACAGAAATGGTTTTTTATAACTTCTACAGATATTTTTCGATTTATAAGTTGATTTTTTTAATTTAATTCCATGATTAAAATAAATTTTTGCTTAATTAATTTACTGTTAATTTCTTACTCGTACCCTAAATGCATTTTTTTTATTTGAAAGACATACTTTGATAACGTAAAAAAGTGATTCGATTGTAAAAAATCTAGTCCGCACTGTATACTGTTCTTGGTAAGTCGAGATCGAAATTTAAAGCACATTATCGGAAAAGACACCTGAGGGTCTTTGGGCACACATGCCCGCCGAACACATGATTTCGGTCCTGTCAAAATTCGAACAGCTGCTGCACCTTCTATTTTTTCCCTCTTCCTTTCGCTACCTGTGATTTAGTACCATCTCGATTTTGGGTGCCTGGGTCCCTTCCATCAACTCAGTTCCTTAACTGCTTCCTTAGGGATAGGAAGTTCCTCTTGTGTTATCTGATTATTTTATTTGGAAAGGGTGTAATAGATATAGACTGTGCGGTGTGTGTTTATGTGTTGAAACAGTTAACATGATTATTTGTATATCAGGATTTCTTGTGGGAACGTAAGTTATACTGTTTTTTTTTTATAGTAAATAAAAATACTTATCGAAAATTAAATCTAATGATATCTAACGAAAATAGTACCGTGTTCTGCGAGCGCGTTATACCAGAATGTGGAGGTTTCTAACGCTGCTTTTACTTTCTTGAAGGTCGTTCAAACTTCCTATTTTTACGTCGTGATATAAGATCAATTTTGCTGGGAGAATTACAAGAAATGGAGTCTTATAATCGAAGCGGTATTTAGTACAAGGTACATAGATACGCAAGATAGCTTCGGAATTCTTATATATTGCGCATTGTAGCGTATCCTAGGATCGCCCCAAGCCATGTTCATTATTTTAAACGAAGAATTATATATTTTTTATTTAGAATTATTAAGTTTTATTTTTTCTTGCTAATGTTAGTTGCGATGAGTGGAATTTTATGGCAATCGAAGCATTCCTTTATTTATAGTTTGCCGTATGTCATAAAATTATATTGATAAGAATTAACAGAAACAAGGTACATTAGTACCTATTGCTTGTCTGCGACTGTTCTACCTTATAATATTACAATATCGAGCTGCATTTATGTTTTCTGATTATTCAGCATATCTATAAGTGAATGTCCTTAGTTAACCAGCTCGTGTCGTTATAATAATGAACGTATCGCGATGGGTTGGTGCGTGTCTAAATTGTACTTCTGTTTTAGTTTCCCACCGAAAATGGAGCGGTCGCAGATCGCAAATACCCTCGGCTCTTCGGACCATATCCAAGAACAGACGTACATCCAGGCGCCAAATTTCGTCCAAACTCAAAATTACACAACTCCAGCTGTCAGCCCCGTCTATTGTCGACCCTCTCCTAACAACCCCGGCTATGTGTCTGTAGTGCAGCCCCTTCATAAAAAGGGATCCTTAAGGAACGGCGATGTTCTGAAGCGTTCGAGGGTTCAAACGACGTAAGTACAATTTAAAATTGATTTTTTAATCTAGGGATTTTCTGCTACAAAAGCAAAGCGCTCGAAAAAAGATTTTATAATGGTATAGAGTGTACCCGCGACTTCGTTCGCGTCGAATTAATGGTGATGATAAAGCAAAGCAAGAATTTCCATTAACATACAAACTGGAAAAAAATTTCTCACATTTATGTCAGCATGAGAAAAAACAATATGGCAATATTATTATATAACTTGGTAATATTTGAGGGGTAGTTTCATCTCGTTGGAATTTGACTTTCGAAAAATCCGTTTGCCAAAAATAAGCTTTTTACGTCAAGCAGTTTAAGCAGAATCCTGGTTAATCAATTACCCAACTTTTTGGAACACCCTGTATGATTTTTTAAAACAATTCAAAATATGTAAAAAAACAAAATAAATTATGCGTGTTCAAGCGTTTTCCCGAATCGTGATTACTCAATGGTCATATTTTATGAAACACCCTGTATACATTTTTAAAAATCTTAAAATATATAAAACAACAAAATAAAATATACGTGTTTAAGAGTTTTTCCGAAAGACTCACCGGTTTTTATATAAAAAATATTCTAATATTTGAGGGGTGGTTTCACCCCCTTAGAATTCGAGTTTCGAAAAATCCCTTCTTATCGAACCCTCTACACCCTAAAGTCAATCCGTTTTCCAAAAATCAGCATTTTACGGCAAGCGCTTTAAGTAGGATCGCCCTGTATACATTTTTAAAAAATCTTAAAATATGTAAAAAAACAAAATAAAATATATGTGTTTAAGCGTTTTTTCGGAAACTTGACCGTTTTTTAAATAAAAAATATTGTTATTTTTGAGGGGTGGTTTCACCCCCTTGGAACTGGAATTTCGCGCAAAATCCATTCTTATCGAACCTCTACACCCTAGAATCAACCTGTATGCCAAAATTGAGCTTCTTACGTTGAGTGGTTTGAGTAGGTTGATTATCAGTGAGTCAGTCAATTAAGGATTTTATATATTAGTATAGATATTTTAGCCATACAAATACTAATTTTCGATGTTTTTTTAGGTACGAGCTGTCACAGGATATTTTAGATAAGCAAATAGAAGTACTTGAGAGGAAATACGGCGGAGTAAAAGCTCGCAATGCAGCTCTTACAATACAGAGGGCTTTCCGAAGGTACACGCTGCTTAAAAAATTCGCCGCTATCACTGCAATGGCTAAAGCAGAAAAAAGGATCAGCAGAAGGCTTCCTCCGGCCACCGAGGAAGCAAAAGGTCCGCTGGAGGCCGAACAGCCGTGCGGCGAGTACATGCGGCAAAGTTTTGAAGGCCACGATTGCAATAACGTCCGAATTCTTCCAGTAAGGTCCATGTCGTTACGGGAAAGGAGGAACATCGATAGCATGTCGATTCCTCGGAGCCAGTCGGGGACTCCAACTGGCTGCTGGGAGAATTATTCTTCGTCTTCCTCCCTCCAACACTATTATTCCCCTGCCGAAACCAAATCCGATTCCCTCGGGACCCCGGTCACCACCAACCCCAGTTCTTGCAGCACGTCAACCACCGGTTCCAATGGTTATATGCGCACACGAAGTAGTTTAAGCAATAGGAAAGTACCTCCAGAAGTTCCCAAGAGAACGTCCAGTATTACTTCCAGGTCCATGGAACCGGGTAGGCACAAATCAAACGGATTATCCAAAACGGCAGAGAACGGATCCTTGTCCAGCGTCCAGAGCTCTGGCAGTGACAGCAGCATCTCAACAGAAAGAATCCAATGCGAATTTTCCGGGTCTCCAATCTGGAAACGGAAAGGAAACAATATGTCGGAGTATGCTGAACCCACCTTGGAGACTAGCTTAGGAAATTTATCAAATGCCAGCTCTTCAACCTACACGCTGGTAGAGAGGTCGTCGGACCAGCAAGGGGCTCAACAGAGCTACAAAATATCAGAAACGATCCGGAAACGGCAGTACAGAGTGGGACTGAATCTTTTCAACAAGAAACCCGAAAAAGGAATCACTTACCTAATTCGTAGGGGCTTCCTAGAAAATTCCCCTCAGGGCGTCGCGAGGTTTCTCATTACTCGGAAAGGCTTGAGCAAACAAATGATAGGAGAGTACTTGGGCAACTTGCAAAATCCTTTCTGCATGGCTGTTCTTGAGTGTTTCGCAGCTGAGTTGGATTTGTCCGGCATGCAAGTCGATGTGGCTTTAAGAAAATTCCAGCAACATTTCCGTATGCCTGGAGAGGCACAAAAAATCGAAAGACTCATGGAGGTATTTTCGCAACGGTACTGCCAATGTAACATCGATATTGTAGCAAGGCTCCGTTCTCCAGATACAGTAAGCAACACCGGATCATCACCCGAATCCTTATTGATTTATTTGTTTTTTTTTTTCAGATATTCGTCTTGGCGTTTGCAATAATAATGTTGAACACCGATCTGCACACCCCAAACATTAAATCCGAAAGAAGAATGAAGTTAGAAGACTTCATCAAGAACCTGAGGGGCATCGACGATTGTGGTGATATAGACAGCGACATGCTGACTGGAGTCTACGAAAGAGTCAAAGCCAACGAATTTAAGCCTGGGTCGGACCACGTCACGCAGGTGCTCAAAGTTCAAGCCACCATAGTTGGAAAGAAGCCCAACATGGCACTACCTCACCGCAGATTAGTTTGCTACTGCAGGCTGTACGAGATTCCCGATATTTATAAGAAAGAAAGACCAGGCGTTCACCAAAGAGAAGTGTTCTTATTCAACGATCTTCTAGTCATAACGAAGATCCTAAGCAAAAAGAAATCTTCAGTCACTTATACCTTCAGGAACAGTTACCCTTTGTGCGGAATGGTCGTCACCCTATTCGAAGTTCCACGTAAGTTGGTATAAATTAGCTATTCAAGCAGGTTATATATATATTTTTCTTTTTTTTTTTTAGATTATCCCTATGGTATTAAACTTAGTCAGCGAGTTGATCAAAAGGTTTTAGTCACTTTTAATGCTAGAAACGAGCACGATAGATGCAAGTTCGCGGAAGACTTGAAAGAAGCCGTTAGTGAAATGGACGAAATGGAGAATTTGAGGATCGAAGCGGAATTAGAACGACAAAAGTCCAACAGAGGAAACCGATCTGGTAAGTTTATTATAGAGTTCTGCTAAAGATATAAATCTGCCATTCTGTGACAAATAAATAGAAAAAATAATTAAATGGAATCAGATATAGAGTTGAAATACTGTAAGGTCTTCTCTGTATTTTTAATTAATATATTTCAGCTTTAAGTATGCTTAATGTGCCAAAACTGAGTTTGCATGCCAAATTATATGCTAATATGAGTCTGGAACATAATTATATTTCCTTGATGTCCATAAATTTGAAATAACATACACAGTAGGGTGCACCAAAAAATATTTCTTTTTTTTTGTTGCTGTGAAAATATCGTTCACGAAAAAAAAATCTGATAAAGTTTGAGCTCTTAATATTAATATTAAGTGGTGTCTCATCGCGATTTTCTAGTCCCAATTTAAATAACACTGAAAAAACATTGTTTTTTTTTTTAATTTTATTGCTTTCTAACAAATCTATTTTCAAAAGATATGATTTTTTCATTTAATCGACTCGTTTGAAAGCTATTGAAGGTGTAGCAGATTTAGTTAATAAAAAAAATTATAATCAAGAAAAACAATTTTTTTGGTGCACCCTAATATACAGTGTTAGAGATAGTCTGATCAACTTAAGCTTTGACTAATTAAGATATAGTTCATGATACAATAGATTGCATCACAAAAACTTTATTTTTTCAACAAAATATAACATTTTATCACACAAAAATTATTATTTTATTCAAAATATCAACAACTAAAATCAAATTTCATATGTGGCAACAAGTAAAAAAAAAATAAATTAGTTTAAAACATTGCTAAAAATATAGCTTTTAGTCTTTAACTAACAAACTACTTTACGCCTAGTAAGTGAATCCTTACACTAGAAATGTATTCCAGGAACAGAAAATAGAGATAGTGGTGTTGCAGATGTAGAAGTGTGCCCTTGCCAGTGTCCCTGCTCGCAGAATCCAGCCATGGGCCCAGCGGACAGTTGTACTGATGACAACCAAATAAAAAGATCAGCTCTGAGTAATTCCTTGTTGGACATCCACGAACAATGTAAGTAGAATAGCCTCTTTGTCAATTTTTAATTTACCAGAGTGTTATTTAAGTATGTAAATTAACTTTCTCTGTTAATATTGCTGAAAAAATCACTTCCTGATGGCGGGATACGTACTTGAAAAACGCTCTGTGTGTAACATGCCCCTTTGTTAGTGGCGTGCGGTTAATTTTTTAGCTGGGGAAGCGATTAGATAAAGGTGTTAAAAAAAAGTTGAAAAATATTATTGTATAGGCTTGGTGCATTCTCCGCCGGTGCTGCTACCATCGGAGAATATTCTAAACAGCGGACTAAACAAATTAAACGAGTTTACATAGCGAATACACGAAAAAATTGACATATAACACAGGTCTACAAAAAATTATTTTTTTTGCTGCTGATAATTCCATGTTATAATTTAATTAACTAATCCTCAAGTAGTCATTTACTATTGAGGGTTGGAACCTTTGGTATTACACAGCAAAATAAAAACACTAAATCACCACAATACACCAAAACACTTTTACTTTTACACTGGACGCGCGTTTCGCTAACCATGTTAGCATCATCAGCAGATGATTATAAACTAAAGTACAATCTACAAGTTGAGCGTTTATATACTCGCTCAGTGGGCCCCGAGTGGGCGTGGCAAAATCTAGCCAACCGAGTCAGAGCCAACTGAGCGTGACAGTTAGATTTCCGCCACTAGAGTAGTAGGAACAAAGAACTTGAAGGAATTGGACCGTTGACTCTGTTCATACTATCTTTACATTTATTAATTCTGATGCTTTCATATGCTGTAGCTGAGTGTAATGGATATTCTCCTTCACTAGTTGAGAAATTAATTAGAAAACGTAGGTATAGGTTAATAAAATTCGACTTTTCAAGTGGAGAAAGATACGTCTAAATATTTTTCGATACCGTTTGATAGAGAGTTATCCCGTGGTCTAAAAGGAATTTTTAAGAATGTCAATTATAAACTTGTGTATAGTGCTAATAATAAATTACAATTATTAGGTAATCCAAAAGGTAAAACACCTACTTTAGTTTATAATCATCTGCTGATGATGCTAACATGGTTAGCGAAACGCGCGTCCAGTGTAAAAGTAAAAGTGTTTTGGTGTATTGTGGTGATTTAGTGTTTTTATTTTGCAGTCATTTACTACTTGAGGTTTAACTTATTTACTCATGATTTATGCCATACCGAGCGCTACTGTCGACATTTCAAAAATCAACTGAAATGCGCCAAGCCTATAACTACAGGCATTTGAGATTATTATAATCCACTACTAGAAAAATTAATTTAAAATCTTGTATATTGTACTGACTTTAGTGTAGTTGCAGGAGATAAAGCCCAAAGACGCGGAAGTGTTGGATCCTTGGACAGCGGAATGTCAGTTTCTTTCCAGTCAACGTCTGCTAGCAGTTGTTCAAGGTCGGACAAATTAGCAGGAAAACAGACTAAAGCGAATATGCACCATCATCAGGGCTTTTTAGGCGGCCTGTTTAATAAGCGCCAAACGGGCGGTGTTGTACCTAAGTCAACTGAAGTATAAATCAAAAACCGATTGATTTCAACTGCAGTGTTAAAAAGGTACCGTATGGCCATGGATAAATATAAAAATATATGTACAACAGGGTTGGCACATTTCTTTATTTCAATCTGTTTTTTTTTGTTTTTTTTTTAATTATAATAAAATGGGAGAAGATATACCTGCTGAATCGTTAAGCAGTAGGCAAAATTGGTCTCCGTTGGATTAACAACGCAGCGGAGTTTACAAAAAATAACTATTTTATTTTCTAGATTTTTTTTACAGTACAAGTGGCGAATTATCCAGAGAATTTTTTTGAAGAAATTTCAATATTTTTATCAACAGTTCATGTGTAATAATTTTAGAACAGTGTTGGCGAAATCAAGTGTTTTGAAATTACATAAAACTGAACTGTTTTTTTTTTGGTTTATTGTTTTTCCACTCACATGCGCTCCAGGGTTCCTATTCTTGACATCATTCGCAACTTTGCTTATACTCATTACACGTATTGTTATACAGCTTTCTGGGAGATGCGAGTGGTTAAGAATAAATATCCAGTGGCCCTATTTTTGATTGCATTGCTATTATTCTTTTCAAAAAAGTTCTATGGGTATTTTGCCACTTGTACTATAAGGAAATCTATAAAATAAAGAGTTATTTTTTGTAAACACTACTGCGTTAATCCAACGGAGACCAACTTGTCTGCAATGATTTACTAATAAACAAATTTGCTTAACCAAAAAATGCTTAACATTTCGGGAACTACATATATCTCTTCCCGTCGTCGGAAGCAAAAAACACAAAGAACGAATAAAAAAACTATTTAAAAAGCTAAATACATCTATTCAAGAACACTTTAGTTTTTTCAACAGTTACGTCTATAAAAACTATTGGCGTTCTGTTAAAATAACATTATATAAGTTAAACTTCAAAATTAACAATTACTACCTGATGACAATTTCTTAATTAGGTAAAAACGACTATTTTATTTTGTAGACTTTCCCATAGAACTTTTTTGAAGAGATGAATCCGCTACAGAGGTATAGACTTTTTTTGAAGGGTAGGTTTCACTCCATCCCTAATTTCCTCTCTAAAATTAGTGAAAGCCAACACACTTCAATTCAGCTGTGAAAAGCAGATTTCCCAAAGTTTCACCAAATTTTATTAAAAGTTCTTTCAGAAGAACAGGTGGTTTGATTTATAAATTATACCAACATTGCCAACCCAACATTTTTAGCAAATATTTTAAATTATATTTATTTATCGCCATATGGTATGTGTTACAGTTTTTAAAGAATAAAATTATTGTGTTAGTGGTACAAAGTAAATGAGATTCTATTATAGTATAGGTGTAGCTGCAAAATAGTCACAATCTTGTCTTTTTTAAAAAATGAATAAGACGAGATGTAACACAGGGTCGAAATAAGCAAATTAAGTACTTAAAACTGTCCATGACTAAGCAGCTTTAATTCCTATGTCACCGTTTTGAAGTGAAACAATGCATTCACGAACGACTGAAGAATGTTTGTTTATCTCTCTTCACATATTATCGTAAATTAATATGGCACGATTTGCATGTGATTTTTTTTGGTATTTAGCGCGAACAAATAAATTAGAATTGAGAGAGGTAAAAAGAATTGAGAGAGGTAAAAAACGCTTTTTCATCAGACTGATTAGCGAATTGATTAAGTCATTGGATTTTATAGGTGTATGCATTGTTCTTACATTAAAAAAAATATTCTTATGCTGGCCATAGGCAACTTATCATTTAGGTACTGTGTACCTTAATACTGTTTAGTAGTAGTGGGAACTATCGAATGAATACTATCGAAACATTCGATAGTTGCAATTCATTCGAATAATTCGATAGCTAGTAAAAAAACATTCGTTGAAAACTATTCGAATAAAAATTATCGAATAGATGCGTCATCTGCCTTGAAATATTGTATTCTAGTAATTCGGCAGCAAAAACCATTCATTTATAAAATTCATTCATTTATTCGTCAGGATCGATTATAATAAAATATTAACTGGATTTTAGTTGTAGGTTTCTTTCCGAGAAACCCGACAGCGGTCGGTGGCAATGCTATGAAAGAAGCCGGCATCTTTGATTTTTTTGCGGAGTCATATAAAGATAAGGACACATTATTTTTTTATTGAGGTGCTAGTATTTACACAAAAAATAAATTATGAAGGGCGCTGTTGCCATATATTGGTATTAGTTGATATTAGCAAAGAATATTATTGTTTGGCTTTAGTTAGTTAAGGATAGTATGTCTATATATATTGCATTTTTTTTTATTAATGTTCTGTTGTTACACTGCAATAATACTTGTTATTTTGGATGTAGGAAAATGATTTTTAATGTTTTTAAGCAAAGACTGGTTTAATAAAAATAATAATAACAGTAATAATTTGTTATACCTATTAACAACAAAATTTAAAATAATTTAATATAAACATTTTTTTTACGTAGTAGCAAAATAGAACAACAAATTAGATGTCAAAATTATTTATATTAGATCCTATTTAAAAATAATATAGTCTTTAAATTTTTTGGCAACGTTGGTTTATTAAATAATAATAATTTCAGAACTAATTTGTTATATTAACAACAAACTTTAAAATCATGAAATATAAACATTTATTAATTTTCTAAGCATGCAGTAATGGAAGGAAAATATAAATAAAAAATTAGAAATCAAAATTATTTATATTAGGTAATTTATATTACTATTTAAAAATAATATTTACTTTTACTGGCATTTACTTTAAAAAATAAATGAAATATTTCTTCGCAAAAAACTACATGTAAGAGAATTAGCATAAACAAAATACAAACATCGTTAACTTTTTTTTTTAAATTGGCACGTGTAAAACTTTCAATTTAATTTTCACACCCCATAGTTTGAGTTCGATAACCATTTACTTAACCACATTACTTAAATATGATTATTAAGTTCAACTAATTCATATTATTAAAACATCTAAAATACAAATATGTATTTTTAAAATTAATTCTAAGTTCATCTCCTCTTAAAAATTGCTACTTCTCAAAATTTCCCATTAAAAAATAGACCATATATACCATATAAAATAAAATAATTGAAAGATCGGGCTACGGAAAATCACACAAATTTTCGGAAAAATTTTGACACCTGCACACGCACATAATCGTCAATTAAAAAAAACTGCTATTTTAGTATTTTAAATATTTTAATAAACCCAAAATTGGCACAGTATTTATAAGGTGAAGTTATAAAAATTTGGGAGAACTAATAATGCACTGACGCACACAAAAATCAAACGAATACTCTGACTAAATTTCATTTATCAAAAGCATTCGATAGTCCTGGCTCAACGATAACCATTTAGTTGCACGGCGAGGTTGTCACATATGCTTTAGTATACAAATGAATGAATGATTTTATTTGAATAAAACCATTCGATAGTTGAAATCATTCATTCAGTAACCATTCGATAGTCTAATTCATTCGATAGTTCCCATTGCTACTGTTTAGTATGATTCCTTATGCAGTCTTTTCTTTTTCAGTTTTCTAATGTCTAAGGTTATATGATAGCTATATATTAAGATTTTTCTCTGTGTAATCAGTAACTGTTTTAAATCTAAATGTTTTTTGAAAAAAAAAACTCTTGTAACCAAATAAAAGTAGACCGTTTATGAGTGTTACCAAATATATTACCAGTTAGTAATCAAACGTGGTCTCCGTTTTGGTATTTTTTTTTAATATGATGTCAGGCAGTGAGTTATACTATATTATACAATATTATACATACCATTCAAAGTAGATATTTCCGTGTACATATTATGAAATTTACAATTAGGGTTCTTTTCACACCTTTACGAAAAAAGAACTTTAATTTCAAACAAATATTGACTCAAATATTTTTTTATTTGTATTTTACCAAACTTAAGTAAAACTTTTGTTAGCCTATTTGAGGGTATTCCTTTTTTTACACTTGTGTATATATATATATAAAAAATGTAGCGCACTTTTTTTGTTTTTCATTATATGGAGAGCAAAAGCATGTTCTAGTCGAGTGTAAATAGTTAAGAATCTCATAATACTGATATTAATTTAGTTTGATCTAATGTGCATTATAAGTGTTTTTTTAATACCTAATAAACAGTTCAGTCTGCATATTAATCAGTTACTACTGTCGTTTTATTGTTGAGTTTTTGTTTTAATTGTTTCCTGACCTTTTTGGTATCCTTGTTTCTTGAACTTATTAATCTTTGTTATATCTTTGATATCAAATCCTTATCTCACGGAATTGTCTTAGCATTGAGGTTTTATTTACAAACAGTGCGATAAACAATTCTACTTGTATACTTTATTTGAATTTAGCGCTAAAGGTAAGTTAGCGATATCTCTGTCAGAATATTCGAACTTATATATTTATAAAAGTTAGGCATCTTTTTAACAGATGTCTCTGATTTTTTTAAGCCGTACTGCTTCTAGTATGAGAATCTCCTGGTAGATGTCACTAATTACTTATTCCTGTGAAATTTTCCAATAAATACAAAAACTTTAACGGGCGTTTTTTTATAAGGCATTTTTTAATTATTATTTGGTCTGCTTAATTAAGTAGACAATATTATTTATTGTTACTTGTAGTATCTTAAAGATTTTAGGTATTATTTTATTATTTATATGGGAGGGATTTTAGTTTCAAAAATTTATTTTAAAACAGGAATATGTTAATATTGTGTTTCCGCAGGAGAGTAGTATGATTTAAGTTCATGCTGCTTTGGGGAGTGACGCCCCCACGGTTCCGAGTTACCTGATCACCTCTGAGACCCTTGGCTCCTCAGAAGTGATCACATGAAAATCCTGAATGGTTCAGTAACTGTTCAGTACAAAGCCACTATAAGTCTCAAGACGGCAGTGTTGGATGTTCCGAGACCTTTGGCCATCAGAAGTGATCACATGAAAATACAGAATGGTTCAGTAACTGCCCACTGTCCAATACAAAGCCACAATAAGTCTGAAGACGGCAGTATTGGTCTCTCTATGGTTAACGGATTATAAAACTAGCGCGGTGTTGTTTTAAATAGCGCAGGAAATAATGCGAGACGGTGTTGACTTGTTAATTTAATGTTTTTTTAATTGCTATGTTGCGGAATGGAAGATAATGAAGTAATTAATTGAGCGGTGCGAGCGAGCAATCGTGAGCTAAATCGATGCTTCGGTAAAAAGCCGGCACCGCCACGGGGGGACAATTACATTAGAGCGATTAATAAGTTGGGGCGCGCACCGCACAGGCGGCCCTACGTAACGATAATCGCTTGTAAATAAGCCCTAGCGAAGTATCGCGTTGCTAGAACTGACTCCGCGCACTCACGGGCCTTCAAACACCGTTGCCGTTTTGTCTTTGGACCCTCTCCGCACGTCTTAAATCATCATCTCTCAGCCGTAAGATATTATACAATTTATATAGAGATGGGAACAAAGCAGCGTTGGTATGATACATCGAGATTCAGAACTCTCTGAAAACAAACATCCAAATGAGAATGGGATTGTTGGTAGGCCACAATACTAGACTTTTCATGAAAAGCGAATGAATTATTGTACTTGTTTAGATGAGGGTCTTGGCACAGATTAGGTATACTATATGCATGTATACAGATAAAAATCTTGTCCCTAATTCGTGGTACAAAAATTGTTTTTTATGACGATGAGCAAACGAGAAAAATTTCCTGTGCGCAATGTGGTCCTGGTTTGAATTGTTTCATAGTTTAAAGCTTGGCAAGAGGTTAGAGGGATGTAACAAGGCAAGAATATTCTGGCTGGTTCATGGAGACTTGAATGACTGAAATTTATATGGGCCACTGCAGACTGAGTGAAGGTAAGAGAAGAAATTATGCAAGGTTAGACTGGTTCGGATTTAAAACTTGGTAAGAGACTGGAGGGATGCAATAAGGCAAGCGCATTCTGGCACGACCTTCAGCTCAGAACGTGAGACTAAATAATTGCAGTGTATGCACTGTGAAATTAAATATAGAGACTATAGAGCACGTATAATATTTCCTCTTAACATGTCCGTTTTATGGTCATTCTTGTAACCGCTGTTATATGTACTGCGTCGCAGAAGCATTCTGGGCCTATGAGTGGCACTGATGAGCTTTTTTTACCATTTCATCTGGAGCAACTTCATGGAGTAGTTCATATATCTAGTTGGAAACATGACCAAATTTTAATAATTATATACTGGTCCTAGTGGAGCTTGGTGACACTTGGCCTGAACCATCTGTATAAAGAAGTTTGGTGTTCAGAAATTGAATTTGAGTAAGTTACAACAAGTCTGCTGCAGTGGACAAGTTCTGTTCTGAGCAGTAATGGGCGGTGGGTAAATATCCAATGGGTGTAATATAGAAATTTGGGTATATACCCAGAAAGTGTTACCTATTGAGAGTATATTTCGTCGGGGAACCCTCTTATAAAATTCAATTATTAACCTAAATTGAACTGCAATGTCTGCATTGTGCTGTGTTTTCGATACAATTAAGGATATTGTGCTGTTCTGCAGTCTTTGTGGGTAAGATAAGAAAGGTCACAACAAATTGTTAAAATTTGTTATAGTACATTAAATTATCAAAGTAAACATACTTGGGTATATAAATTCAATGTACCCTGGCACGGGTATTACTGGTATTTACCCCAATTACAATATAGCGGGTGTTTGTCCGTCTCTGATTCCGAGACGGTGTATTGTTAAAAAATCAAATAGATTTATCGTGTTTGGTAAAATGAATGAAAAATGAAAATGCCGATGAGAAAGAAAATGAGTGGGAAAATTGTGCGGTTTGGCAACAGGGTATAGAACGCGGGGATCACCTCGTTTGGGCGATTTCGGCCGCCGCTGCTTCCGAGAGCGGGTGTGTGACGTCGCGCGGTCGCGCTCCGACCACGCGGTTGTTTGTCAACAAACGGCAGCGCGCTTTTCAAACGGCCCATGCCTCTCGCAGAACATGTCCGCCGAAATCAAGGACCAGTCGCAGGAGTACCTGGCCGTTTCCAAACAGCAGGACGTAGACACCGTCCAGCAGCCGTCGTCTTCGACCAACCGGTGTGCCGCGGACTTCCACAACAGTTGCAGTGCGCGTCTGGAACGCTTCTCCTGGCACGAGCACGTCTACCGCCGGTTGACCACCAAACCGACACCCCATTACATCGAGAATATTTTGGGGCTGGCCAACGTGTCGCCCCCTGCCTCGCCGAACAGCCCCGCGCTCACCACGGACCTGGATATTAACGAGCCCCTCAATCTTTCCGTCAAAACTGAACAAAAAGTGCGGACGAGAAGTGCCAAAGGTAACTTTTCCTACTTATTTTATTACTATTAAGTTTATCCTTTATCGTACAACAGACGCGCATTTTTTGAACTCACTCAGACGTTAACTTTTCCAACTTTAATCATCTGTTGATGCTTTTACCATTTTTGGTTGTCAGATTTTAAATCCATATATTTTGCGAAAATATCAAAATAAAGTTGCTGCTTTCTAAAAGCTGTATTTTACAGCCAATTATCTGACTTTGTACGGCTTTTAAAGTAGCTTATTTTTGACAAAAAAAAAGTGTTTATATTGACATTGTACATTTTTTTTTGGAGTAGACTCCGTTTAGTATAGACAGAGGTCGTTATGTAGAAGTGTAAAAAAGTGTTTATTTGGAAGAAAAGTCTCTTTTCAAGCGTTGAGCATTTGCGGTTGGGATTTCAACGTTCAAATACTTGTGACAATTTTGTTTACTTTCCGTTACCGCCATTTCTGTGAAAGGTCGCTCTAAAAAGTAATTTAATAAATCTTTTTCTCCTGTCTTTGAGTAAACAGCAAACTGCTTTTGAATCAAAAGGCGAAAAAAGGAACAATTATACTGATTAAAGTCAATGAGCTCTTTTTTAAAAGGAAACTGGAATTTATTTCTTTGTGCTGAGACGGCTTTTGTCTTGCCTCACAGTTATCGCCGCTCTTAAGAACATTCAAATTATTATACGGGGTCTGCCTTTTTCCGAATGGCACGTAAATAAAAACTTCCGATCGATGGCTAATAATTGCCTGTTCTGCGCTGAAAAGGAGCTTTAACAAAAACTTAGATGTCTGAAAAAAATGTCTATTGTTAATACAAATTTGAAGAGCGGAACGTTTCAATTTATATCATTTGAAATCAGCGGAAAAAATGATAATTTAGATAGCTTCAGAAAAGTGACATTTCTAGCTCATTAATTCCTCAATGTGGAATAGATCAAAATATATTTGAACCCTCTATTTAAAAAGTGGCGTCACGGGTATAATGATGGCTCTCATATTTTTTTTCACTCTCTTCAAATTGAATTTGAATATATAGGATTCTTCTTCCTCATCCCCCAATCATCCACTCCTGGATATAGGTCTCTCCTTTTCTTTTTACATATCTCCCTGTTTTGTTCTGTATTTAACCACCGTTTACTTGCCACTTAATGTCGTCCACTCAACGTTTTTGTGGACGTTCTGCACTTCTTTTAGTTTGTCTTGGCCTCCACACTGTTATTCTATGCGCCCATCAATCTGTCTTTATCCAGTTTAGCAATATGTCCAGCCTATTGCCGTTTCATCTTCCTGAATTTCGGTAACTCTTGTTTGCCTCCTGATGTTTTCATTACGGATTTTGTCTCGCATAGTTCCATAGCTCTTTGAGTTGTTTCTTAACAACTAAACTTTTGTTTATTTGCAAAAGATTTTGTTACACTGGTCGTTTCCAGTCCGTATGTTTGCACAGACAAAATACATCAGGTGTTATATACTTTTCGCTTCAGATTTATAGGGATCGTATTGTTTTTTAGAATGACTAGGACACATGGGCATTATTTTAAATAGGGTTAGATCAAATTAAAATGAAAACCATTTATTAGAGTGGTTCGCATAAGTCATACAATATGGACCTAAATAATAAATGACCAATATTTTCCGACTATTTGTTCATAAAAGCCTTTTAAATAGAAATAAACTGTAATAAATATTTTAATTACCGATTTAATAAATTACATAAATGTATTAGCGCTGAAGTATTCATCCGTTCCGTGATATATTGCCAACGAAAAATATTCTAAATTGCCTCGATCGGTTTTATAAAATTTTAATTTTATATAACAACATTATTTAATTTTTACGCGCTTTTTACATTCATTTATTGTTTAAATATATAATAAAGGTTCAGCTAAAATGAATCCATTATATCTCGTTAAAATATTTGATCGCGTGTTGCCTGGTTAAGTAGCTATGATTAGTTACATGCATTAACTGGAAAACCATCATAAAAATGCAGGGGAATTTAACTGTTATTAGTTCTTCACTGTGACATGTTTTGTGTTCGATAAAATTCTCGTATACACATAATATTTCTTTTTCTATGAACCATATAACATCTATCACAGTTTAATCATTATTGGAACATTAATAATGCATGTTAAGTTGTTTGCCTCTATTTTATTGCTTTTTTCTATAGTTAGTATTGGCTACAAAACAAAAAAAAAATATTACCGTTATTTTTGCATAAAGTTCATACCGTATTTTAAAAACACTTTAAATTTTTGACGCCTTTTTATAATTGCATGGAAACGGGTATTTTATGGGCAACTAAAAAAGAAAGGTATCTGGTTTAACAAAAATAGAGAGAGGGTTTAACAATATTGAACATTTTTTTTTAATATTAAAGGGTACCTTGTGTTACATTTATTTTTTTTATTGAAAATAACGATGATACAAACGTATCGATGCTTTTGATGTTAACTAGCTAATCAGTAATTCGCCCTTTTATTTGCAATGATATTGTTTATGGGCTTTGTTGTCTGGCGGTGCATTAGTTCACTATTGATTGTATATGTCGAACATAACCATTTGCTCTATACCGGGAACTTGACAAATGACTAAATTATTGAAGGCCGCTTGAGAATTCAATCGGCCCATCGTCCGTCCATCGCACAATGTTTACTTAATAAAACCTATTTGTCTTATTTAGGGTTGACTATTCCGATAAATACTTTAAACACACATGCACAGACTTGTCTTTTTTTAATTTTATTTTCCCATGAGCGGTTGACCTGAACCACAAAACCTCACTTCCTGTTTGTCTATTATTTTGGTCTCAGTATCAATATAAATTTTCTTATATTTTCGCTCGTGGGATATATTGTTTTCTTTTTATAACATTAGGAATGAGGGATATATTTCTTTTTTTAGAATCTGCGACGAGAAAACGAAAAAAGAATCGGGAACCTCTCGATTTGAAAGTTCCTTTAGCACAAAGTGCTTTGCAGAACGATAACCAACGTCAGCAGAGCAACCAAATCGACACTGCACAACCCACCGTCGTAGAAGATACAGCAGAAAATAAAAAAGGCAAAAAGAAAGCTAGAACAACATTTACAGGTAACGATTTTTCATTTTTTTTTTATTTGCAAAGATTTTTTCACGTCAAACAGCCTAGAATCCTGTACTCTGTACTCATTTCTTATACAATCTCATTGGACATATGGAATTCTAGGGTGGGGTGGTACGACTGAATGTCATTTAAAAATCTTGAATTCTGTTCAAAAATGCTTCATAAAAATCATTTACAATAAAAAGTAAAAAGAAAGTCTTCTTTTTAAACATTCTACGTCACCTGTGTTGCTTAGATATAAAATTTATTATATCAGGGGAAAATACCCATATAATATGTTAACCAGCTTAACCTAGCTTATCCTCTAAAACTATTGGATAAAGATCATCAACATTTTTTGCAGCTCGTTTATAACATTTTACCAACCCTTTTTCTGGGTTTAAAAAAGGGGTATGCAAATGGCCGACTGATCAAGGTAGAGATATGTTTAATGATATAGTTAACTTAAATTATACAAAATAATTATTCACAAGTGCCAGTGAACATTATACAGAGCGAGTCTTAAATAAGTGCAAATATTTTCAGGGCTTGTAGATCTCGATAAAAGAAACATATTATTTTCTCCTGACCGTTTTTCAAATAAATCCAAAATGATTTTTTAGTTAAATTTTGAGAATCATTCTATCTTTTCTCGGTTGTCTTTCTTGTAAATTTAATTTATTTTCTAGGTTGCCATATTCCAGATTCTGTGTTTTTGAGCTTAAAATTAAAAATTTTCAAAAAATGTTTACAAAAAATTCCAAATTTTAATTTTTTTTTTTCACGAAAAAAACCTCACAGACGTGTCTCCTAGGTCGAAATATACTACCCCTAAAAATATTTGCACTTATTAAGACTCACCCTGTATATTAATGTAAATTACTGTATTCTTTTTCACACACAAGTAATTCTATTACTTTGTGGTAATTCCTTAGCGTTTATGTTAATTATTAATATTTAATTTCAGTTTTAGTTAAAGTGTACTTATACAGGGTGAGTCTTAAATAAGTGCAAATATTTTTAGGGGTAGTATATTTCGACCCCAGAAACACGATTATGATATTTTTTCCCAATTTTTTTTTATTTAAAAAAACATAATTTTTTGATAATATGGCAATATAAATAGTAGATTAAAATTACAATAAAGAAACCCCAGAAAAGATTCAGTGGTCCTCAAAATTTAAGCAAAAAATCATTTTTTGTTTGGAAATTTTTAAAGTAAAATAACTCGGTTATTTGGGACTTATATGGAATTTTTTTTCCAATCTACCAGCCCTGAAAATAATATTTGCACTTATTTATGACTCATCCTGTATAATGTTATACATAATATTAGCATATTATGTTATGTTATACTATTTTATATCTAGTTAATTCAAGAAAAAATGTAACGATACTTTAATAAACGTTATTCTTATTATTATTAAAAAAAAATCACGAGGAAGTTCAATGCTAAAGTGAAAAGAATTTGAGGGTCAATTTTTTAGGACTAATATTTTATGAATAATGTCCGTAATATGAGCCGAGGTATTGTTCTTTGTTTGGCTTCTGCGAATTTGGTCTTAGCTCGATAAAAAATCACAGGTATAAGCTATAGAACAACAGAAAACTAATAAGGGTATAAACGGGCTATTAAGCGGGGTCATTACTGGGAAAAGCCTCATCCAGACCAAACAAGCATTATTTACTCCGTCTGCAATATCGACTTGACTTTCGTTCCTCATTAAAATCGTTGCATTATCGATAATTTTATGTGCTTGCTCCCTATACCCTTTTATCGCCCTTATTCTTTGACATATCAATGCACATTTCTTCTTCGATTTGCAGGAAGGCAAATATTCGAATTAGAGAAACAGTTCGAGCAAAAAAAATACCTCAGCAGCAGCGAGAGATCCGAAATGGCCAAACTGCTCAACGTAACGGAAACACAGGTTAGTATTAAATAAAGACACGACATTCTCGGGACGATAATAACGTGTTAAAACGGGTGTCATAAAAAGGATACCTTTAGCCTTTAAATTTTATTTGTTTTCGAACTTGGGTCGCTTTTAATGTCTTAATTGCTAAAGCATTAAATGCCGATTTATTTCGGAAGATCGTGTCAAAATAGAATATTAAACGGATTTTCGATCATTGGCGGAACATTTTATTACAAAATAGTATTTAAAAAAAAACTTATGTCTGTCTGGTGGACTATGTTAAACTTTATTGGCCCAGAGCCACCCTTAGGGCAGTATAGCATTTTAAAACGGCGAGTAAGTGCGCGTAGGATGATCGCGGCGAGCATCGCATCGAGATGCCGCACTATGTAGTATGTAGGTACCCTTAGATACTAAAGAACCATATTAAATATTACCCGGACAAAATTGCTGAAGACTGGCTTGATAAATGCAGGAATTGTCTGTATACAGGGTGGTATACCGAACTGTATTTCGGAAACTTCGGCAGCATATTCTGCAGATAAAAATAAGTAAAAAAGTTCTTATAAATGTATGTCCTAAAATGCTTAGTTTCGGTGATACAGGGTGTAGAAGTTTGATTTTTATTTTTATTTTTCTCAAATAATTTTTGAAGTGACATTAATATTTTGATGAAAATTGGCGTCTGGGAGTTTTTTGATATGAGAAATTTAATTCTGATTTGGTCAATATGACTCCTATTTGTAGGGGGCGCCATTTACATGTGTTTTAACTGTTTTAAAAAGTAATAACTTTTCGTCCGTACCTGTATAAAACTACTGAGTGAAAAAATATACATTTCCGTGACTTTTTACGTAAAAAATGTCTGTTAGTAAAAATCGGTACTAGTAACCGTTATGAAGATAAATAGAACGGAAATAGTCAATACATGTCATTACTGAGAAAAAATAAACATGTTGAGTAGATAGTTGTTATTTGACTGAAATAATAAATTTGGGAAATATTTATTTTTTTATATTAACCATAATTTTTTTTGCGCAAAAATGATGATAAAATTTATGATTTCAGCTTAATAACAACTATTTAGTCAACATTTTTAATTTATGTCATTGATGACAGGTATTGATAATTTCGATTCCAAATATCTCGGGAACCATTACTCGTAGCAATTCTTACCAAGAGACTTTTTTTAGGTAAAAAACATCATAAATGTATATTTTTTTTACTCAGTAGTTTTATACAGGTACCGACGAAAAGTTATTATTCTTCAAACCTGTTAATAAAGATAATAGTTCTAGAAAACAAATCTAACTTAAAATTTCAATTGCTTTGCTGAATAGTGTAAGTTTGTTCATCGTTTTTTATCGGTGATATACGATTTAAAATTGGCAAATTCAAGTTAATATTTGATTCGTGTAAGCTGTGCCGGCAATTAGCAACAGCGGAGTCCGGAGGGGTGGTTTGGGGGGGCTGGGGGGGCGTCAGATGCCGCAGTAACTCATCATAACCCTTCGTCGTTCCCGGCGAGGATTGCCAGACAGTGGTGTCTCAGTTGTTATTAAGGAAGCAAACTGGTTCTAATTGGGCAAGGGGTTGCTTATTGATTTCGAGTTTTGCGTTTCTTCTGCATTTTCTAGTAGGTATTAGGGCTTTGTTTCCTCCTTTAAATGGCCTTTTGATTATAGGTTGGTTCGCCCTTAGCCCGGACTTAACTTAGTTTGTCTTGCCAAATAATATACGGCTGCAAGTAGGTTTATTAATCGCATCGAATTAAGGAGGTTTAAAATGAAGAATTATCGGCTACGGAAAAGTGATTTTTCCGGAAATATAATGACTAAAAGATAATGATGCAACAAATATTATAAAATATTATATAAGAGATGTACAGGGTCCGGCAATAGTGCCGAATAATAGGGAATTTTGTTTTAAGTGCAAACCTAAACTATGTACTAGGATGTATTTCAGGAAAATATTTTAACTTCTATAAGGTGGCTCAAAAAAGTATGAGTGGATCGGGATGATTTTTTTTAAATGGAACACCTTGTATATTATTGCACTTTTGGCTTCCTTTCAGATCACTTTACATAATCCTAAGACATGAGTAATTATACTTCGATAATTTATGAGATATTAATAAATAAATAAAAATTATATATTTTTAAGCCTTTCTCAAAAAAATTATTAATAATACAAGAATTACTCTGAAATCAAAACTATAGGTATTAGATATTTACTTTAGATGGTCTGTAATTACTTTGCTACAAATATGGAAATCGTAAATCGTACAGGATGTTCAAAATTCTACGCCAAACTTTCTAAAATATAAAATAATTTTTCTTCGTTTTTTTTTAAATGGAACACCCTGTATATTATTTTTTTATACAAAATAATATACAAGTACTGATTTCTTTCGAAAATCGACAACTATGAAACCTGAACTATGGTACATTGTGAGACAGGAAATTGTAGAGAGAAACAAGCCCTATAACATAGGATACAACATTTTAATGAACAGTGCTTTCCATAAAATCAATAAAATTAAAAATATACGAAATAATATACATGTACTGATTTCTTTAGAAAATCGACAACTATGAAACTATGATCCCTTCCCGGACACAAACGGTACATTGTGAGACAGGAAATTGTAGAGAGAAACAAACCCTATAACATAGGTTACAACATTTTAATGAACAGTGCTTTCCATAAAATCAATAAAATGAAGAATATACGAAATAATATACATGTTCTGATTTCTTTCGAAAATCGACATCTATGAAACTATGAACCCTTCCTGGTCACAAACGGTACATTGTGAAACAGGAAATTGTAGAGAGAAACAAGCCCTATAACATAGGATACAACATTTTAATGAACAGTGCTTTCCAAAAAATGAATAAAATGAAAAATATACGAAATAATATACATGTACTGATCTCTTTCGAAAATCGACAACTATTGTTCTAAGCAATTTGTAGCTAAATTATTTGACTTTTTAGAACGTCATTCTAAATTAGAAATGAAAGTTACCATCTGTCAGTTATACGTGGGAAAACAAAATGTTGATATTGTGGTGCCAGTTTATAACACCCTGTGGAGTACGTTAACAATGCAAGGAATTTAAAAATCGTTTTTTCATCTAGGTGTATCTTTTCTCGATAATTTGTTTTTTGCTTCATTTCAATAGTTTTTTGAGATATTCGCTTTTGAAGAAGACACTAATATTTTTTAGTATTTTTTGAATTAAAAACATACCTTTGCTGCGTATCTAGATGATAAAATAATTTTTAAATGCTTTGTTAATATATTGTTAATATACATATTTTACAGATATTTTCAAACTTTTACTGAAATATCAACATGTTGTTTTCCCTCGTATAATTGAGAGATGAGAACTTTCATCTTTAATTTAGAAAGAGATACTAAAAAGTCAAATAATTTAGCTACAAATTGCTTAAAAAATCATCATAATCGGCCCACTAGAACAAAATATATAAAACTTTAAAATACATCAAATTTTAAGGTGTAGTTTTTCGTGCCGGTGAGTGTATATTTTTTTGTCAAAAATCAGTTTAATAGAGGATTTTTTGCGAATGTTCGGCTGCATCAGTAGTATAAATATACTTTTTATTGCTGATATTTCCAATTATCTAATGGATGAGCCCTCTTAATGGCAGATTGAAAAGGACGGGAGTTATTGATTTGAGAAATTTCACATTTTGGGGGTCCAAAAGAGACAGTGAGTGTCTCGGAGGAGACAAAACTCCTGTCGAAGCCTTCGGGCCCTCGAACCTTGCCAGCGATCTGCTGAAATTAAACGACAACTTATTTTCATTATTCACGCTTCATACTTTGCTGCATACTAAAGAGATTGCGTCCCGGATATAATCCTGTAAGACGAACCCGAAAATACATCGATAATTGGCATATGTGAAGCGCGAAATGCCCACAGCAAAAGCACGTCTATGTCGATATATACTGAGTGCTGAGTGACAAAAAAGGACAAACCTTATATAACAAATTCATAATATTTTTATAATTCTTGGTGTAAATGACTGCTTCTCATTTAGCAATCGATTAGGTTTTCATATAACAAAAAATGTTATAAACAATTACCATTCTCAGCTTACTCAACCATTTCCAATTATGGTGTTGCCTCCCTCACATATTTAGATACTCTCTTTGTAGATAGGCCCATTGTTGTCTATTGTTGGCTAAGCAGGCCCAAGTTATCCCTGCTAATTTCCTAATATCACGGTCCCAGTACAGGTTTGGTCTTCTTCTAGGTCTCGTAATTCCTCATGGATATCATGCTGAAATTTTTGTGGTCCAACTGTTGTCCGTCCTTCTTGCCATTTCAGGGATTTGATTCTGTTGATGATCTCTATTACCTGGGTCTTTTGTCGTATCCGTCTTTCTTGGTTATTCCCAACATATTTCGTTCGATTGAGCACTGTGCGACAAAGGAAGGTCAGTCAAGTTTGCCCCCCGTATTAGAGGAAATTCAAAAATAAATATACCACTATTTTGCACACATTTTGCACAATTTTGCACACCATAAATGATATTTTGCACACTTACCTAAGAGAAACCAGGGCCGTTTTTTAAACGGGGGGCAAACTTGACCGTTCCTCCCCATTTGTTAAGAAATTGATTTATTTCTATGTACACCGATTCAGCTAATTTTGCACAATTTTGCACACCTGTTTTTGAATTTTGCACACCCATCGGACGAAAGTTCTAAGCGGTTGAAAATTTGAAATTTCCCCCCCCCCCATCTGTGACTAAATTGAATTTTGTTTATATCAAACGAATCGGCTAATTTTGCACAATTTTGCACACCTGTTTTTGAATTTTGCACACCATCCTGATTAAAGTTATGAAGGTTTGAAAATTTGCAATTTCCCCCCCATCTGTCACGAAATTGAATTTTGTGTATATCAAACGAATCGGCTAATTTTGCACAATTTTGCACACCATCCTGATTAAAGTTATGAAGGTTTGAAAATTTG